ATGATATATGCTGTCACGCTTGTACGCTTCAGCCTAAGTACCTAAGTCGTAGATCACATACAGTCCTGATACCGGTACATTGATGCAGGTACCAACATGTGAGGAAACCTGCAACCCTGCAATCCTTCACTTTCTCGCAGGGGAGATCGAAGCAGAAGACCTCTTCTCACTGCTCCCAGACTGTCATTTATTGACTCCCTCACGTTTCGTCTCTCAAAAAATTGTCAATCACCACTTGACAAGAGCACTGCAGTGGACCCAAATGTGGTCACGAGCTTAAGGTTCACATTTCGCAGCACCATCTGAGTCCTCTCCTCTACGTGGCGCCCGCTTGCACCGAAGCGACTCTACAAGCAACTACAGTAGCATTTGCGCCATTGCTACCAGGTGCTTTGAAGCTCGGCAAGTTGCCAAAGGGTCGAATTAAGGTGAGTCTGGTCGTCTGGAAGTTTGTTGCATTGTCCCACAGCGGTCCAGCCACTGATGCGTATGATAGTAGTATCCGGTGGGTTTTCAAGTGCTCGTGATGGATGTTTCTCGTCTGCTTTGAAGTTACTTGTCAATATTGCTGATAACTTTCAATTTGCAACAGCTCTTATCAGACTGTCAGCAGGGATAACGGATGCGCATACGCTAAGACAAACGGGATCTTGATCCATAGCCCGTTCCTGAAATGGAACCCACTGCAAAAGCAGGCTGTGATCTGCTTATGAAGCGTTGCCTACAACTTCTCTTGCGGCTGCCAGTAGTACTCGGTTATGTGAAGCACTGTATCAAATCCAAAACAGAGTTTTACTGGAAACTACTTTCAAATTCCTCCTGCAACTATTCCTTTCAGAATAGTTGCCACTTTGAAACCTCTTCTCCTGCAGTCACAAGTTGTTTCTATCACCCCCGTGCGTAAACCAGCATCACAAACTGGGAACCATTCTCTACCCCAAGCCTGGTTGTCCACCGTTACCCAAACCTCCATATGTCTGAAAAGGTTCCCCCTTGCTCTGAGAAGCAGTACGATCTGAGTGATTTACTGAACCAAGTGTCAAACTCAGGACATCACCATCGAGTCACTGACAATCTGCGCAATGACCCCTGCAGATTTGACTACTATGGAGGCCAACATGAGGAGCTTCCTGCTTCTGCTCTGTGTCAGTACGTTCGGCGCCGCGCACGCTCAGAGTTACACAACCCTGCTAACCGCATTCTCAGACCAAAACATCACTGGTCCATACATCCAGACAGGGGCTCCAGGGCCGCGTTCCTGAATGCTTACGCTGCAAACTCCACCAACTATACGTAAGTGCGCCGAACTATTTATAAGAGAGGAACATAGTCTTAGACAGCCCAGATGGTCATTTTAAGGACTGAAAAGCATGTTCTCGTAGTCCCTCGCTCGTTTTGGCATGTGGTTCCAATGAAACACTGGGCTCGGCACAGAGAAAGACACTGCTGTTGCTGACGTCAGATTTGACGTCAGCATGACTTCAAACTATCATTCAAACTTTAGTTGGTCAAAGGGCAACGAAGTGCAATGCATTCGACGACCTGTCACAACTGGGTCAGCGTTTGATGTACCTGTTGATAGGTGAATATGAATAACAACCTGCCTGTGTTGGGTGTCACTAATCAGCCCTTGGTGGAAATCTTCCGAAGATGTTTAGTGGACCTCTATTTTCAGCTTTGTGTCTTTCCTAAGCCTTACAGAAAGTCCTGATGCCTTGACCTCTGGAAACCTCCTGTGCTGATGCACGCAACCGGTTGTCGGCACCTTGAAGAGCTCTCGTTCACCCAAGACATTCTTCCACCTCTACAAGTAACGGATTATTAATAGAATAGCTGCGATGGGTTAGACAGTGACTAAAAGTGAACCTTGCTAACCCCCAAGGTCAGGCCTGACCACGTCGGCTGACCCAAAATCCCTGAAGGTTTTCAGTCAGTTGCTGAAATTAAAGCTTGCTAACCCCCAAGATCAGGCCTGACCACTTCGGCTGACCCAAATATCTCCTGAAGCCCAAAGCCTCGAAACGCTGAATCCGAGAGAATCAACTCGTTCTTTCTGGTGCAGAGCAACCGCCATCACGCAATACGTCCAAGGCGCGTACCGCCTAACTCCCGCGTCCAACAATACGGTCCTCTCCGCAACGCAGCAGCTGCTCTCAAATCAGACCATCCCCCTATACGCTATGGACAACGCCACTGCCCCTGTCGCCACTCTTTCGACGTTTGCGATCGCTTCGGAGGGAATCGACTTCCGGATCGTGCTGGCCAAGACGGCGGACCAGCCGCGGGGGTTCGTCCCGGAAGACGACACGAAGCTGCTCGTGGGGGGGGTCGTCATCACCTTTCCGGTGAGGGGGGGTTTGGAATCACATATTCTGAGAGAAAGGGGAAAAAAGGGGAATCGAATTCAATGTGTTGAAAGTTGGCCGCAACATCACGGCGCTGCCCGGTGGGGTGTCGTGATAACTTGGTGAGGGGCTCTGGAGGAGTCTGCTGAGATTACTGCTTTTCTGAAAAAACGACACGTAAGATTCAGCGAACCCGGAAAAGATTTCTGGTTTTAGACATTCGGTCCGAGGCTGCTTGTAGGGCTCGGGGGTCATTGTGTTCATCTTCCTGGTCAAGGCCGTTTCTTTTACTTTTTCTGGATGTTAGACTCGGAGATTAAAATCCTCTTCCAGGAAGGGAGCGGAACTTGCTAGGTTTTATGGTCTGTTTTCAAGAGGTAATTAAGGGTCTCGTGAAACACTTTTCCTTTGTTTTAGTGGCGAAGTTGCTCGTGAGGAGTTTCTTCATCACCTTCTATTGACGAGGTCTGGATCTTTGTCGCTTTCCAAGGCGATACTCTTCCTGGTACGACGCTGCTTGTTGGGGAGTCCGTTTTCATCTTCCTGATGAAAGTGATGGAGGTTTCTTCATCGACTTCTATTGAAGACGTTTGGATCTTTGTCGCTTTCCAAGGCGTAAGGTAATCACTAGTCCGACGCTGCTTTCTGGGGAGGTCGTGTTCCCATTCCTGATGAAACAAAGTCCGTCAGCAGTTTCTGTCAGACGACCTTTCGACGCGAACGAATCGAAATGTGTTTCTTTTTGCCGCCATCCGGTGCTACAGATAAGGTGAGATGTGACCCCGACTCTGGTAAGGGGTCCGGAAACCTTTTGGTTTGTGATATCTCCTTTCGAGCGTTTTCCTCTCGTCGGAATTTCAGGAACGCGCTTTCTCCAAGTCGCCTGTCAACCATGACGATGTCTTAACCATGTTTTCAAGGGCACCCAACCGGCTTTGAGCAGATAAGCTTCTGGTACACAGACATATAAACCACTTTTCCTAACGACATTCACTCTCTTAGTTGCGACCCGCACTACGGGGCTGCCCGTCTCATCAGCTTTCCGGTCAGGACTCGCTCCAAACCTTTTCTACTTCATCTAATGCCGTCGTAAAGAGTGTTTCAGCCTGTCAAAGTAGACGGCGTGCGACTCAAGGCACTGATTCGAGACCTCCGCTTTCGAATTCGTCCCTCTCTTTCTGGGCAAACGTAGAAGCCTCGAGACCTACTGGGCGGTTCTCTTGCCAGAACACCAGCGTTCCGCATCGAACATAGCACAAATCCTGCCGCCTTCCGAGCTGACACGTGGCATCTTTTTCGTCGCGTTGCAGAGAAACTACACGGCCCCGGCGAGCCTCGCCATCGCACCGGGCAAGGTCTCCTTCTACGGCCTGTTCGTGGTTAAGAACCTGCTGGTTAACGGAACCCGCAAAGACTACCCCATCCAATACCAAGCGGACCAGTCGCTCACCCCCGGCAAAACTTTTCTGACGGTCCAATCGGACGCTTTCGGCGCGGGCAACTTCGAGTGCGCGTCGACGCACCTGGAGAACGGCGTGTGGTACATCGCGGGCATGTTCTGGTTCAAGTAGGTTAGGCGGCGGGTTAAAAAGACGATTCTGTTAACGATGAGGTTTTCCTTAGAGTGGAGAATCGGCTTCCGTTTCGGACGGCGTACCGGGCTAGTGCGGCGACTTTCTGGTCAGGCGGCGGATTTACGGCGCGACCGTGGGGGATTGAGAGGAGCGGGAAACCAAAATTTGCATCGAATGACGTTACAGGCATGGTCTGGCTAGAGTAGGTTAGGAAGCGAGTCGGTGACGAGAACGATTTCAGCTAGAGGGCTGTGAGGATCCGCCGTCTTAGAAAAGTTGCTCCTTTGCTCTTCGAGCGGTTGGCAACTGTACGTATAGGAAGTTTCCAAGGTTTCTGACGGTTAGGCGAGGCGCGTATGATTGGGTTGACATTCAAACATTGCTCGAGTCAACTGGACGAACAGTCAATGTGCGTTGAGCTCGGTCCTTTAAAGTGACCTCTACTATCTGGTCAGACGTCCTCCAGAGCTTAGAGCAGGTTATCAAGGAACACAGACTCTCAAAACTTACTTTATGCTGATTACGTTCACAAAAACCGCCTCCGAATCAGTCTGGCTCTATGCTGGCTGCTTGGTAGATGGAGGAGGGGCCCTTCAAATTGCTGTCGCGACGAAACCGTTTCATGATCGTCTGCGATCATCCAGTTCTGATCAATGTAAAGCGAGTGCTGCTTTTGTGCGCCGCGCACGCTATATAGCTGCAAACAATCGAATAATCACGCTTAATCTGACTCTGAACCGGGGACCGTTGCAGAATATGGTCCCTTGAAAACATATGTATGAACCTCGTTATCAGGGAAGAATATCGAGCGTAGACCTTATACGCTTGTTGTACATGCAAGGTTGGATGGTGGGCAGCTTGATATTCCATTGGCAGACTAGGGCTAGTGAACGAGATGTTATGAGCCCATACGTAGACGATCAGCGATCAGCCGATCGGACGATCCAAACCCTTCGGAGGACCAATTACGATTATCATTTCGAACACGTTGAAAGCTCTGGACAGAGTCACCTTGCGTGATTTGCGGATAAGATTCTACCATATTCAACGTTGTTCGATTCCTAATTCCGGGTATGGCGTCAGTAGGGTTCATGCTTGCAGGATGTTTTCATTCATGTACTTGCACCGCCTGAAGCCCAGTTCAGACGTGTTTTCGCACCCGCTACTTACAGCTTACAGCGGCCTCCATGCCGGCCTCAAAAGAGAACAACTGCAACTGTTCTGAATCTCGAGCGGAAACCATAACAAAGGAAAGGACTCGAAAATGCACTAGTGGCTCGATCACCAACAGGTCAGTATCTTCAGTCTTGCTGCCTGGCATCCAGCTGACTTAAAAATCGTACGCGTCACTTGTGGTTCTGTGGGCTCGCTTTTCGGACGGTATGAAAAAATCGCACCCTTGCAAACTGAGAGAAACCTTTCAGAGACAGACAGAGAGGTCATACAGGAGACCAGTTCACTGCGTCGTTTGACGTCCTCAAATCAGTGCTGAGCTGGGCCCAATGGAGGGCCCGAGGCGACGTTTGTCAGGCTGAGGGGCAGTCCGCGTAGAGCGCGCGCCGGTGGACATTCCGACCGTCGTACGATCGTAGGCTCCGCCGATCGGACGGTCAGTGGGCTGTCCGATCCGGCCGAACCGCGGCTTCGCGCGCGCGGCGAAAAGGGAAGCGGCTTGACGGACCAGATTCAACCCCCTAAGTTGTCAAGTTGTGCGTCATTGCGATGCTTTAATGTACTAGTTTGTTCGCTCTCTTCTCAGCTGAAGGAACCGTCTTGTGCAGAGCTCAGCACCTCGACTTCCTTTTTTTTCGGCTTAGTTCCATGATGATGTATTAATTTTGGATTGACCACACCAATGTATACTAGTGTACGTACCCGTTAGATCAGCTCTCAGAAACACGCAGACGAATACTATTGTGACGAGCTGATTCGAGTTCTTTCATCCTTCCAACGTTTCGAAATCCAAAGTGTCCGCAAGAATGTGTCTGTACGTCCCAATGTCCTCAAGAGTATTGGTCGCTCAACTTATTGCCAGCTGGCACTCGTCAGAGTCAGGTCATGACTAGCCAGTGAAATAATGCGTCGGACGCATTGTAAGACCTTATTTTGAAGGACTGGAATCAAGATGGGCTCCAAATATTTTCAACTGTACATAAGTTGGACGAGAGGTCACGAAGCCCCAGCAAGAGAGCTTGAGCTGACGTACCGGAGGTTGACACAACTTGGTCAACTTGGTGACACGTGCATGGCAGTACTGGCACCACCTTCAATGCCTGCGCTTATATCAGAACCTGCTGCACTTGAAGTAGTGCAGAAATGACATCTTACACTGAGTGCCAAGGGTACATTGGAAAAGCGTGTCCGGTCAATCTCAGAACGAACTAGGTCGGGCCACATTTGGCGGAACCCCCGGTGGACAGGGCACCCAAGTGTATTCTCATGTGTACCTCTTGAGCTCATTTGCAAGCTCTGTGCTTTCACTCTCCTTCACGTATGAGTTTTTTTGGGCACTTCATATCTTATAGCATTAGTACAGCCTGTTTTGAAAAGTCTTCGAGGTCTATTCGTCTGTCGAGATGCTCGGACGTCTCCTCGAAAGGAACCTGCCCACTTTAGCCCCGGGTGACTTTTCCCCACCGGGTTAAGTACCGTCTGTGTTCCTGTTTTGGCCAGAATGAAAGACACTGCAAGAGGATATTTTCAGGCTGACAACCATGGAGATCTTCGGAAAGGTTCAAGAATAAAAGCGGCTGAAGGGCTTGCTGACTTCTGCCTACCCAGGTTAGAGAAGTCTGCAATTGTGGGCTTGCTTCTCAGAATCAGTTAACCAAGCCCTGTGCAATTATAAACTCACTGTACTCAGATTCCAGCCGCAATTAAACGTTAAAATGGCTAGTAGGCACCCCCAAGAATGTTACCTTCATCAGCAAATTAAGGTAACATTCGTCGAAGACTGTCGGCGAAGCGTGCCGACCGTCCGACCGAGAGTTTCGAAAGTGCGGGTTTGACCGTAACCCGGAACCGCGGCTCTGCCTACTGCTGCCGAGTCTGGCAGGAGGAAAAGTCGCTTGCGCGGAGAATGATTCGCCAGAACAGCTTACATTTGAATAGATCAGGTAAACAAGCTGGGATTGCGGTCAAATTTCTCGGCCCTTGCTCTAATAGAAACATTTTGCCTCAATCATAGTTGAGGGACTTTATTTTCCTGATTTAATTTAGCCTTTTATGCTGAAGTTCCAGGATCAGAAAGCTTCTTCGAGCCGTTAAAAACCCGTAGAAAATGGATGAAAAGCTCATCTGAGGTACCTGTGATGATTTGATCTAGAATACTGCAGCGACGTACCTGCAGAACTGCGCTCGACCGAGAACAATCAGCAGAATTTCAAGGAAATATTGATGAATTGCAGATTGGGCAGTGCAGCGAAAAACACGCGCTTCGCATGCACTGTAAACCAAATTTTTGCGTAATCTCCATGTGATCCGGCTATGAGAATACCCAATATTCCAGAGATGATGGGTGGAACCGAGCGGGATCGAGCAAGAGAGCAGAATCCGACCAAATGGTGACACAAGCTGACACGTGGCAATGACACCACTTCTCTTGCTTGCACTTTTACCACAATCTGCAGCACTCGGGATGGGCAAAACACGTCGGAACCGCAACTAACATATCAAAAAGGTTACTAATGAACAATAAATGCAATGCTGTGCATGGAGAAAGCAAAAAAGAACTAGGTCGAGGCGCATTTGCTGACCCCTCTGGGGACAGGGCACCTCGGTGTTTCCATGTGTCTCTTTGAGCTCAATTCCGAGCTCTGTGCTTTCATGCTCGGTGCTTAAACCACTTTCTCCGGCTTTCAGCATCTTTTTACCCTAGTAAATATGATATGAAAGATAGTTCTCGGGTAATGTTTGTCGCGAGGTGATGAAACGTCTCTCCGACATCCACCTGCCCACATTTGCCCCAAGTTGAATTTCTCAACCGGGTTATGTCTTGCTGCGTCGCTTTATCTATGTTCTGAGCATTCCGTATGGATAATAGGGTTCTTTTGGCATTTTAAAATGTGGGATAGACATTATGAATCATCAAAAGACCTTTCTCTGGAACTGGGTTTTCGTTGCTGACGTGTCCGCTTGTCAGATTGTTTCCTCCCATGTTTCAGGTGTGTGCCATTCTCTCCCTATTTCGCGCTGCGTTGCCTGCTTCTTTCCTTCATTTTCAGTTTAGAAATCAGTCGGAATGTCTATATAAACAATATAGAACCACCTTTGATGATTTTCAATGAAGGAGGACTACATACTGTCTCGCTATTTGTGTTTTTGGTCGACCCCTCAAAGACCAAGCTCGCTGGAAACTTGGAGTCATGTTCGGCTCACTACTTTCTCAAAATGGACACAAGAAAGCAACTTCAGACCATTAAAAAGTACTTTTTGGCCCTCATCCATTGTCTGATAAAGAAAATGATCTTTTCTAGATTGTTCAGGCTCCTTTTTGTCGCTCCTGATGATCAAATCTGGTTGTCCTCGGTCCTCCGCTTTCCAACAGCTTGGTCTGCCTTCTTTCAAGCCTAGATAGACACGAAGGGAGCCAGGAGAGCCTTAACTTGAATGTTCTTAGCTTAAAGGATGCTCAGGTAACCATAAAAGGTCTGCACGCCCGTTACTTTGCCGGCCGACGAGCACAGCATTCTATGCGTTCCTCTGGCCGCCGCTAAGGCGGCCCAGTCGGGTTCTCCTTATCGAACGGTCGGGCAACCTTCAGTCAATTTGGAAGGTCAGAAATCGGACGATCGAGATGCGTTTGAAGGGCGTGTCATTTTCGGCCAATCAGAACGCTCCGCGCTGGCAGCCAAATTTGAATTTGAGCTCGACGCAGCGTCGTGTCGTACGGGGATATTGAAGCATCCCGCTGCCGCGCGCGCTTTGCTAAGCCGAGAGGCGCCGCGAGACTAAAATCTAGCGTACGCAGTCTTGCCTTGGCATGCAGGCAAAACGTCTTTCTTGCAAGGAAAGGCTTTTGCAAAACACTTGTCGTTTTTCAAAACGCTTCTATCAAGCAAGACCTCTCAACACTTCTCAACAACGTCAGGAAAGCTCCTCTCCCTCTTCTCCACTGTACAGGACTCCGCATCTTCCAGCTCGCTTAGCAAACAGCAAACATGGCTGACGACGCCGCTGCCCCTGCTGAGGCTCCTAAGGCCGAGGAGACAGCAAAGCCGGCCCCCAAAGCCAAGGTGGCGAAGGCACCTAAGGCGCCTAAGGCACCAAAGGCACCAAAGGCAAAGGCTGAGCCCAAGCCAAAGGGCCCTCCTGCACACCCCACCTATCTAGAAATGATCAAAGAGGCGATTGTCCACTATAAGGTGAGCATCCTGTTCTAGGACTTCTGGAAATCTTCAGTTCCGCGGTGGTGTTTCTGTCCTCGAAGTCACCCTCAATGTGAGTGGTGCACTTTACCAGTCTGATAGGATAGCTGCTTTTGAGAGAATCTGCTTGTTGATTTGGGACTTTGAGCACAATCCGCCTGCTTTGTTCCCTTTGAGCCTGCAAGGAGCAACTTGCTTATTGAAGCTTTCTTGCATTACAGGACAGGACAGGGTCAAGCTCACAAGCAATTGAGAAGTACATTGACGAACATTACGCCGGTGAGCATTGTAATGCAATTCTGAGGAAGGAACCGGTCAGGATCAGGTGGAATTTGTGTTGGAGACAAGGTCAAGAAACTTGAAAGGCTTTTGTCATAGAACAAGACAGCAGACGGCCTTTTGGGCTGCATCAAGTCTCTGCAATTCTGTGTCTTCTAATCAGCAATGGTAGATCATCTGGGGATGCTGGAGGCAGTCGGCTGCTGCAATCTGCACACTAAGTTGCCCATCTCATGCTGGTGTCTGCTCTCCAGCTCACTCACTGTGGACATATGCTTGACACTCAAGAACCAAGTGCACATTCCGGAACAACATTCAAATGCTTGAGCAGCCTTTCCTATGTTGCAGTCCAGGGACATCAACTCTTCTCTCCGACAGAGAGTCTGTGCAGTTGACTGGTTTGAGATGCTCCTCTGGGCACGCAAGTATCTACGCCTGATGATCCTTACAATCTTGAGCGAGGAGCATCTGCAAGATCTTTCGGAGAGTCTATGCAATTGGCTGATGTCAGCTACTTCTCTGGCAGGCAAGTTGCCTCCCAACCACCACAAGCTCCTGGGCAACCAGCTGAAGAACTTGGCAGCGTCCGGCAAGCTGGTCAAGGTCAAGGCCAGCTTCAAGCTCGGCGAGGAGCTCAAGAAGGTCCCCAAGAAGAAGCCTGCTCCCAAGAAGCCCGCGCCTGCCAAGAAGCCAGGTAGGGCAGACGGCATCTTTCTTTGGTTTGTAGGCATGGTTGTCTGGACGTCAGGGTACTGATTTGTGCATCATGAGCGTGGATCTGTTGGCTCGGCGTCTAAGTTTCTTCTGTTTGGTTGGGGAGCATGGTTGCAATGTCAGAGTGTGATGGAATTCAAGTCAGGGGCAGACCAGCGGGGGAAGGTTTGGTGCCTCTGTGTCTCAATTTGGTCGCACTTGCATCACAGCTGGCGTGAATGGAAGGTTTTTGACAGTCAAGGGACGATTTTTGACAGTCAAGGGACCGCAGCTGATCTGTAGAGTCTTGATGAGGTGAATTTGGAACATTTGAAGGTGCATCTGATCTGCTTCTGTAAATGACAGCTGGCGGAGAGGCGGTTGAGCAGCGAAAACCACTCGCTGACTTCAGCAAGTTTTGTGCAGCTGCTAAGAAGCCCAAGACTACCACCACTCCTAAGAAGGCCGCCACTCCCAAGCCCAAGACTGCTACAAAACCAAAGGCTGCCGCCAAGCCGAAAGCTGCTGCTAAGCCGAAAGCCGCTGCAAAGCCCAAGACTGCCGCGAAGCCTAAAACCCCCACAAAAGCTAAGGCCCCGGCTAAGCCTAAGGCCGCCTCAAAACCCAAGGCAGCTGCCAAGCCGAAGACAACAAAAGCAAAAGCCGCGAAGCCTGCGAAAGCCACTTAGAAGTACGTAGGTGTAAGTATCGGAGTACTTGTTTTGCAAGCATTGGCCTGATGATTGTGCTGATGCCCGCTGACAACATGCGTGTTGGCGGGGGGGGTTCTTTGGGACTGCCTTAGTGTAACATAAACGAACAGATGAAGCTTTGATAGTGAGCGATGACTAGCGGGGCTACAGTCAATTGTAAATAGGACGTCGGCCTTGGACAAATCGTGTGAACAATTGTCACACGTGTTGCGGTTCTGCATATGCAGTCAAGGTGTCCGGCTATGAAGTCGGAGCTAAAGCAATCACCACATCTGTTTCATTTCCAAGGCAGAGTGTTCTGGATGAATGCATACCTTTAGAATGGACCCTTTTAAATGTGCCAGGGCATGTATTATGGCAATACGTCCACTGCCGCCTTGCGGCAGATTATGTTTGCTGCAAATGTATGACTCTGTAGCCTGCAGCTTCATATGCTCTTTTTCCTCGAATCATATGTGAAGCTGTCACAGCAAACGCCATGGTGTCAGGCCCCGCAAGATGGTATGGTGCAGAGTTGCTTCAAACTCGGAATTGAATTGCATGGCATTCTTTCCAAGATCACTGCTCTGAACGGAATGCGGCGCGCGCGCGTGCATCAAAACTTGAGCCGCCGGGCCTCTAGGATAAACAATTCATGAATGGATGAAAATTTAATACGTGCTATATCGCAGAGCCTGCGAGACCTTCCGCGACAGCATGCTCAATTGTGATCACACGATCCTATAGTTCGAACTATTAGGACCGTCCATGCAGGCCCTATTCCAGCCTCCAACCATACTTCACTTTTCGCCCCGCCTGGCGAGCAGATTCGGAGTCCTCTTCGGTACACGGTGAAGTCCCCAGTCTGCACTACCTAGATGAGTCAAACTCACCTAGTGACTTTCTGGCATGGCGGCCGCCGCCTTGCGAGGCCTGAAGTCGGTTTACTTCTATTTCGAAGAGCAAGCAAAAGTATGGCCGTCCAAAGTTGTTCCAAAGTGGTTCGTCCTTGAAAGTTATCATGAGAAATGCAAAAAGGAAGGCCATTCACTTTGGTTTTCCTAGCTGTAACTCACGACCTTCGATCGGTCAAAATCGGTCAAAATCGGTCAAAATAGCATGTCCTGCTCAAAATTACGCAGCTGAGCAGACACATCAGACGGTCCTTTTTGAGTGAAATCAAGTGATCATTTTCAGCATCCAGCTTCTGTCAACAACTCTGATTGGTTGTTGCATACATTCTCTGAAGAAGAAGCTCAAATTAGAAGTATACACCACCATGCACATGATGGCTACCAGGGCCTCTCAAACGGCCAAGTCAGAATCATGGTCTGTCGCAGTCTGTAGTGTGCGCCCAGGGCTTCAGTCACCCGACGGCAGAGTCCCCTTGAGGAAACACCCCGGTCGAGGGCCCGGGGGAAAAGGCTTGTTTCCCTGAGCCTCAGCCAAGCCGAAAAGTGAAGTAAACCATTATTGCGGCTATAGCAAAACGAGTCTGAGCCGAGTCCAACTGCGCGCATGGTTGACAAATTATCATATAGTATGGCCCGTGTGCCATAATAATGTACAGTACAATGCCCAATGCCTGAGCTAGTATGTGCAGATAATTGCGAATTGAGGCTGTACTATATAGCCTCATATATTTGGCTCGTAATCAGTGCATAACGTATATAAGCTCATGCAGATTCGACCGTCCGTCCAGGCGGCCCAGGCTAGCCAATTCCTGGATGATGCGTGCACAGTACGTTGTCGGTGACTGCGTTGACAGGGTGCAATGACTCAACCACATGATCATGATCCGTATGTGCAAACAGACCAGATTGATCAAGCTCATCATCAGCCGCTGAGCTTGCTGACAACCAAATCTGCTCGGATCCGTATGCCATCAGCGAGAGTTGCAAAATGCAAGTGTTTCGATGTTTAGTGCTGCATGCTCTAGCAACGATGCTTAGCCGACGGTGTGTAGGCCTGTCCGATCGTCCGTAGGCAGACCCTACCTCGGAGCTGAGAAGCCCAAAAGGACGTCCCTGTAACATACCTTTTTCTTCGGCTTGAACCCCACCCCCACACTTTTCGTTTGCTCCGCGGTCTTGACCCCGGAGTCCAAACTCCCTCCGACTACCTCAAAGCTTCCCCCGACCGCTTCTTTCACCTGGGGTGCGGTCACCCGGTGACTGGGAGGCAAAGCCCCGGGGACTGTCCCCAGTTCGAGGGGTGACGACGGCTGTGAGGTCAACACAGCGCACGCCTTATGGTCAACAAGCTCGGCGCCAGGCCTGGCCCTCTTTCCTGCCCGTGACGACAGCGTGACGTCATTCCCGGCCCCCGCTCCAAGTGGCAGGTCGCTCAAAGGGCGCGTACGCGTGCCCGCCGCGAGCGTCGCTCGGCGCGCTTCCGCAACGCATTCCGCTGGCCGTTTGCCATTCCGCCGCTGCCGCCCAGGATTTTCTTTCTCGCTGTCCGACCCGCTGATCCACCCCGCAGAACAGAGCGTCGGCAACGCACATTTCTCGCTAACATTTGCACTCGGCCCGGAATCGTAACCAAACGCCCGTTCCTTAGAGACGCCGCGGCGCCCCCCCCTATCTACCCCCCTGAGAGAAGTCGCAGGCTGAGTGTCGATGCTCGACAACGGGGCGGCCTCTCTTCTAGAGGCTTGAGCCCCGGTCTCTGCACTCGCTATCCCTGATGTCTGCGCCTGCGACTCGGCATCGAGACTGCAGCCGAGCAAGCTTTCCATCCTCGGTATTCCGCACCATTCGTGCTCCCCGGGATTAATGTTGTTAAGCAGCTTCTTCGGCCCATGTAAGACATCGTCCGTTCCGTTTGATCGGTCAGAATCCTGCCCCGGTTCCATTGCCGCTTTTTGCACCGAACCGCAGTCGGCGCCCGTCTTAAAGCCGCCACTTGCACCTCGCTCCACCCTTCTGAGTAATAGTAGATTCGCCGACTGCGAATCCACTTGAGACTCGGCGTTCGAGCCGCTTTGAGACAAGGGTTCCGGCGGCCTTATCTTTGCGTCACTAACCCGCTCCAGACTTGGGATTTGAGCGGAGGCCGACGGGGAGGTTTGGGACGGGTTTAATAATAAACCAGCGGGTTTTTCAGGTGGGTTACGATCTTCCGTGCAAGGGAGACTCCGTGACAGGGCCTCCGCGGCGGTCTCCAGTCGGGTTTGGAGGGTCGCTCGGAGCTTCGACTCACTAACAGTGCTCTCGTGGGCTGGTTGAGGGGAGTTTTGGGAGGGTTTCAGGTTGCGATTTGTGCCCGACGAAGGGTGGGGACCTGAGGCGGCGCTGGGACTGGCGGTCTGGGGCCATTCGATCGCCGATTCAGGCCTGCGGATCAGAACACGGGACGCGTCAGGTCAATCCACTGGACGTCAGCTTTACGCTTTGGCGTCTTTCGCTCATTTTGAGGTCGAAGAGTTTCCATGCCACGCGCTACTCACGTCGTCGTCAATATCGTTACACGAACACGTAGAGAACCGTCAAAGCCGGCAGGCGAAAAACAAATGGCCGAACCAGAATGGCAGTCGGAATTGCGAGAAGTCGGAGTCAAATCAGTCGCACAACACCAGGTTTTCGACTTCGCTTAATGGCGTCGGCATACATGTTCGCTTTAATGAAGAAAGAATATTCGTCATCCGGTGCTCTTCTCGTGACTATTGCGGATGCAACGACTTGGGTTGGCGGAAGGCGCACACGTAGTCGACTTCTTCCTCAGATGCATGTAAAAGCGATCAAGCGCATAGACACATTGACTGGAATTTGAATAGCACTGATTCGAGGCTGCCAGGACTTCAAAAAGGATAACCCTTGGTAACTCGTGCTCCCCAGATGGAACATTTTTCTGTGACTTCGCAAGAACTCACACAAACTAGCAAAGCTCGCTCACTCTATTTCGATCGTCCCGTCCTGTTCTATTGACAACCTTTTGCACACGTAAATCAAGAACGCTGGAACTGCTGTTGAAATAGATCCGTGCCCTGTCGCATAATACTCAAACGAAACCCGCTTTTCAGGAGGACGCAACCAGAACTCGCCACGTACCTCTCAGACTTGAACAAGACGCACACGAAAAATGGAAGAGTGCACCAGAAACATGAGCTACATCTACCGGCACTAGCAAGCGTCGTCTTGACGTAAGCGGACCCAGGCTTCTGCGCTTTTCGGAGCCCCAGGAAAAAGCGGAATGCTGACCTCATGCTGAAGTCAGCCTCGTTGAGCATTACTCCCCGGGCCAGCGACTCTTCCGCCCAACCCTGGCTGACGACGGACACGGCCGGACGCCGGAGCAGCCGCTGCTGGGGGTCCGTTTTCCTGCACGAGAGTCCGAAAGATTGGAAGTATGAACAAGTACGAGCCTTTTTGCGTCTGGCGGCTGTTGGTGCGAATCTATCTGGGCTGCTGGATTGGCTAAGAATGAACAGTCCCCTCTTTGCAGCCCCGAGATGCGAAAGAGTGCGACATTCAACCTTTCTGAATGCGCACAACCGCTGACTCACTTCCCTCGAAACAACTGTATGGGTCAGCCTCCCGTTAGGCGCTTCATACGCTTTGGAAAAAGGCACGACCTTATCAGAACCCAGCATTCTTCCCCGGACCCTCCAAACGGCTCTCTTGAAACAGGTGTCCCCGTTGATTCTGGCCGTTTACTTCTTACAAGCAACAGCGATCGAGAAACTTTGTTCCGCCGCTTTCGAACCCAATCTGCAGCCCTCACCGTTTGAGGATTCTGTCGAAGCCCAGCGGCTGCGCCGGGCTGACGTAGACGACCACGTGGGTGACGTCATTCGAGAGCGTGCTGACGACAGCACCGCCCCGGAACTCGATCTCGAGCCCTAGCCGCCGGAGGGCGGCCGCCGCCACCTCCCGCGAATCCGGGTTGCTGCACGGAAAAGAAAGCGGAACGGGTCAGCTGAACAGGTTAGCGAAAGGGGGTTAGCGGAACGGGATGACCGAGAGCTTAGCAGGAGGGTTTGAACTTGTGTGGTTGGGTTGCAAATAGCATCTTGTGAAACTTAGCCCAAGCATGCAATTCAGGTCTTCGATGGCCCAAGGAAAGGTAACGGAAGGAATGGGAGCGAGAGCCCGGAAGAGATCAACGGCGGACTGTTTGTAGAATGGGTCAAGGGTGACTCCGTTGACAGCGTCGGGTTTCAAGAGTGCGCGAACAGTTGAGGAAAAGGCTTTGAGCTTCTGCGCTTTTCCCTATCTCCGCTAGGCTGCTTGACGATTTATTGCTTAAACCCTAGTTCGACAAAGGACAAAAAAAGGTGTAGTAGTATACGAGTCAAGAGACTGGTCTGTCGTTCTTATCCTCACCTTCCCCACAGTCTTTTGGACTGCACAGACGCAGCGACTTGTATTGCGAGTTTCTTCAAGTGGCGTAAAAGCCAGCAAACTTATCTTCAAAAGACCCTGTAACGAGCTTTAACCGGCACAGGGGTAAGCAGGCACAGCTTCAGAATATCAGGATTGTCAGACCACTACCACCCCTAAAGTCGACCCGCTTGCTCTAGAGGAGAAGCAGCAAACGACAGCGCCTAACCACGTGATTGAGTGGCGAACCTTGCACAGTGAACCCTGCTGTCAAGTCGCCCAAAATCCGATCAAGTGCTTCGCGATTAGGGACTTGCATACGAGTCATCTGGTCGCCGCGGCAATACGGGTCGCACGACGCCCTCTTCCAAAAACAGCGAAGCCTCACCTCGAGTGCATTGGCTCGTGGAGGAAGGCGACACAGCCCCGGAAGAGCCCCGTGCGCAGGTCGCCGCCGTGCTTGCACTCGAAGCTCCCCACGTCGAACGGCGTTTCCTGTGCCCGCGGTGTCGTCATCTTTGAAAAGATCTGCACAGATAGGACGAAAGAAGCTGAAGTGATTGGTTTGAGCTGAAACCGTTGGAATTCGCTAGAGCTCTTGCGGCATCAGGAGCGGTTTTGGTGAGATGGAATGAGGGTTTCCTTTCTAACTATTAAGAGGACTTTGGATGTTGTACTGCAAAACGGAATTGAGGAGAGACTGAAAATCTTCAGAAGTAAGATGTTCGAAAAATGCCCCAATAAAGCTGGGAAAGCCCAGGCAAGTGATTTTCAACTCGCTGTTGAACTGAGATTCGTAGCGTCAAAATCCTAACATCGCCCAAGTCAATTCTTACTCTTTAAAAAGTACTTGTTAATGTTGATAAAAGTCACGCGCCCCTACACAATCAGCATATTGTCAAAGACATCGGCTGCTTATGCCTATGAATTGGTTGGAACAGAATGTTTCGAAGGCTCCACCGGATAAACCGCACATTCTCAACAATGTCTCAAGGCCTTAAAAAAGTTGTGTCCAATCAAGAAATCGTGAGGAGAGATTCCATTCCAAGAAGGTTTGATGAAAAGAATGTTAAAACACAGAATTGGCGAATGCTCAGGATCTCGAGCTCAAAAAGCTTCTGATGTTCAATAAACTAGATTTCTGATGAAATTCAATCGTTCATAGAAATCTAAGGTCAACTACAATACTTCGAAGCGCCCACAGGGCAGAGCTCGCCCACCTGTCTGAGGTCCACCTCTTCGATGTCGTCATCATATGAGTCGCCAAAGCCGTCCAACTCATCTGATCTCGCGTCGTTCGCCAACTCTGCCAGATGCAATCGGTGCCTGCAAAGGATAACGAGCTTCAAACGCTTTCAAACCAATGCTGCGGAGAAAGGATGACATGAGACCAAGTAGCCCAGATTCATGAAGCATTACGGCAGGATCTAAGACGTGTTGCACAGGAAACCACCGCTCAAAGAACCTTTATCATAGTCGAGTCTTCAAAAGGAAAAGAGCTTTTTCGAAACGGCTTGAAAGGTCTTGGCTTCTTGCACGTTCAGGGTTGTTCGAAGTCGTGTTTAGTCTCTGGCATCAAAGGACAAGGCTTAAGCCCTAGGTAATCGTCAGTCGGCCTGGTTTGCAGTCTCCGTCGATGTCGCTCTCCGCCAGCCATGCGGCGTGAATCCTAAACACGATTAATTGCAAGCGGGAATGTTTTCTCAAGCCCGCGTACCCAACAGAGATCCTGTCGAGAGAAGGCTCCAATGCTGGAATAACAAACGTTGGAAATAGTACAATTGCCATTGTGCGATAGCAGGATTGCTTTGAGGGTTGAGTGGGTGCGCTTGCGGATTACACGGAGTATTGAGGTTAGCTTTCTAGTGTTGCGAGCTGAATGAAAGTGAGTTGAAGAATTATCTCTCTGAGGAGCCTATTCACCTCGGCCTGACAGGAAGCAGCTCCCCCTGCGCGTCGCACTCCGCCAGCCAGTCGGTGTGAATAATATCCATGCGCGCGCAGATCGCCGACCACTTGATGCCCCCCGGCCGGCCCGCGACAGCGTGGGTGACGTCATCGGTGACGTTCTCTGACACGTGGCCGCCGTGCCGCGCGATCAGCCGGCTGACGTCAGCCTTGGATTGGCCCTCGGGCGTATTGCAGATCACTGCAAACACGGACAAGTCAATCAGAAACTTTCGACCAGGATTCAAGTTTCTCGGGTTCGGAATTTTCAAGGAAGTAGCTCGGGTAGATTGATCCTGGTCCTTTTCAATAGATCTGCTGTGTTTAACTGCGTCTTAGTCGAATGTTTGGCTAAATCACCAGTATTCGTGGTAGAAAACGTTCCCCTCTTTTCGGTAGGAAGAGACACTGTATTTCAAAGAGTCAGCCAGCATCCAAGGCGATGTGTAACGACTTTTTGCAGCTTGTCACAGATAGACGTTGGGTCTCTCAAAGCGTTCGTAGATGAATTTCGATAACGAGAGCCCATTTGATCCTCAAACCCTCCCTAAAAGCTTGTTTCTTACTGTAGAATTTTTCAGATGTCTGTTCTCGTCGTTCACTTTAAGAGTTGTCAAAGGGACCTTTTCCTTCTGATGCCGACTTACCCAAAACAAGGCCCTCAAAGATGTCCGTCTCCGGCTGCACGTGCGACATGTCCGCCAGCTGCAAATGGGGGGGTACCAACGGCTGGCCGCTTGCCTTCCGCTTGACCCCCCGTTTTGGGTGTTTGTGCTTTTTCGCGAGAGCTGCGTACTGCTCGCCGGTGATCACTCCGTTTTGAGCGACGATCTCGATCAGCTCTGCAGAGCGGAGCTTGGAATGGGTGAGAAGGTAAGTAGGCAGTTATCGAGGAGCAAAAGGGGGCAGGGATAGCAGATGATGCGCCGGTTTTTCGTCCCGCAAACACACTTCTCTTTTGCTTAGATGGAAGATATCTTCCATTCAAATAGGTTGCAGTCGGTTCTGACAACACCGCTGGAAAACAGGAAAAGACAAAGGAAGAAGGACTGGAGTAATTTCGGGTGAAAGCAACAGAGCAGGATTGTGGAGCTTTTCGCCGCAGCTGTCAGTTGAGACACTAAGTGCGCCATCACGCAAACCTTGAAGACACTGGACAATATTAGCGTATCAAGGCAGACAAGGAAAACACAGCGAAAGGACGAAACGCATGCAGCACTTACTTTCTTTCGTCTCGCAGCAATATCAGATAAAGAGAGACAAACAACTGAAAATGAGACTCTGACGATCAGCGACCCAAGACACGCCGCGAAGAAGAGGGGACGCAGGGAAGAAGCAATTGAGAAGCAATCGCAAACACCGCACCTGTTTTGATGAGGCAGTCGTACCACGGTTTGTCGTATCGGATCTCGTGGCAGCGCGCGAAGCACGGGGCGCAGGGGGCGGCGAAAGACTGGGGCAGAGTCAACAGATGGGTTGGTTGGTGGCTGAGTGCTTAGCTTTCTAGCGGGATAGTTTGTGCTTGGGCATAATCCCTCAAAATCACCTCTGAAACCTTGCTTTGCCAAAAGTTAAACAAGCCAAACTGTATATGAAAAGACGAGCGGGATTTGGCCTGCGTTGACGGCTCAGGCGATTTTGTGGGCATCGCGTTTTAATGTAACAAACCGTAGCTTTGAAAGGAAGGTTGCTGACTTGATCTTCCGGTTAAGCAGTTCGCGCACGTTCGCACTCAGGAAACTGATATCTCGACGAATAATTTTGTTTTGACCGAAGCTCTCGGCTCTCTTTGGATAATCTTCGCCTAGTAATTCGGAAGTTTGACCGGCGGACATGCGAGAGGGCACAACCAAGGAACATCCGGATAGACAAAACCTTGTTGCTCTTTTACATGAAATGAAGCTCGACGAAGTTGCGGAATAGGAAGTAGAAAGGAGGAAAACGGTGACAGGCGGGATTAGAAGAAGAGTGGAGGAAAGCCAAAACTGAAGGAGCTGGCAGAAGGACCTGACTCACCCAAGTGGGTCGTGGCTTGTTGTCGCAGCTAATTGTCAGCACTACCGAGCTGCCACAGAAGCAAACGGGCAAGCTTCAGGATTTTCAAGGGTTTGCGTTCCAGGGTTAATGGGCCTTAAACTTTTGCCGTTAGCACGACCGGTCAACTCCTTGTAATGACACCAAAAATGACTCTCGTCACAACATTTTTCGAAACAGCTGCTGAAGCTCTCGGAAAGAGAGCCCTTCAGGCGGTGCTAAACCGTTATGACGCACTTGTTGTCAGCGTTCTGTCAACTTATGTTATCAGCGTTTTGTCGACTCATTATGTCGGCGTTTTGTCTACTTATGCACGTAAGTGTACGAGCCCGTCGAGGCCCCCTCGTAAGGGTCTCTGCAGGCCTCCAGGCTGTCAGTCTTGGTGACCTACCATTTGGCAGCTTTCAGCAGCAGAAATTCGAGTTCTCATCTGTGAAGCAGCAAGTGCGGCAATGTTGTCGACTTTACCCAACCCTACTTCCTTCGCAAACCTTTGGCGTCGAAATCTTGGGCTTTCCCAAGATATTCGCAGCCTTGTGACCCTCAATCTCCTTCATTAGAAAGCTTGAGAACCCTGCAACCTCTCAGCCCTTATATCTGCAATTCTTCGAAGTGCTCAAACCCGTAAACGGGCAAGATGCAACACCTAAAGAAGTGATAACACGGCTCACCTGCTTGGCGGGTCATACCAGACGTCTGGGCTGTAGAGCTTGCTGGCAGTGACCTCGTAGCACCGGGGGGGCTTGGAACCGGGCACGTTTCGCCTGCTTAAAAAGTGCCCAGTTGGTAGTTCTTCTACATTTCGAGGTCAAGACACTGCATCTTGGCGGCAGTTTCGAAAGCGTCTCAAGCAATTTGAACGATCATTTGACAATGAAGATCCGTGGACAGCAAGTCCATCAACAAGAAAAGCTTTCACACTGAAGCACGAGTCTGCGTACTTGTAAAAGCCGGAACTTCTGATGACAGACTACCGTGAAAGTAGATTCAAATGCTTTCAGATGAGGACCGAAACCTACATCTTGCAACCTTGAAGAGCAAAGGCTGCCGACGAGACAAGTCAAGCAGAGTTTAAGCCTTCTCCTTGGAATGAATGAACTCCAGACACGTTACAAATTTACTGCTTTTTCCCGAGAGGGTGAGGGCTCCAGGGGTCTGTGTTGCTCACACTTTGAAGGGTTCCAACCTCTCCCGCAACGCCCGCAGATTGAGCTTGGTGAAACCGGTTCCTACTCGGCAGAACGACAGGAACCTGCAAAGGATATATAGAAGGTGGTTAGGGCCAAATCACAGGTAGTTAACAAGTCAAGCAGCATACCCGAAGGTCATAACGGTGTCGCCAGATCTCATAACAGCATAGTCACTATTCTGTTGTGGTGTGCTTTTCTACAGATTGTCGTGTGCAACTACGGGCTTTTTGTCCAGTGACGAGTGGCATTTCAACCCCAAAGTTTCAGTTTCCGGACGCAACAGAACGGTGCGATTTGCAAACTTAGATGCGTGTTTCAAGGGGATTGGGAGCTTATTTTCGCGAGAGTTTTGTGCTCAAGAATCTGTGACTTAAACAAGTCTGGCATCTAAGCAGAGTGACAGATTGGGATCGTCCGAAAAGACTTGCGCTTACTTGGTTGGCCTGTCCGCCTCGAGAGGTCTGTCCGCAATTCCGCACAGGAACTGACCCACCTGCACACGGCAAGCAAAACTTTTCCTCACGTCTCAACTATGTTGTTCCCGTATCTTATCCGCATCTATGATTGCTCTTCAACCCTTCTCAAGCCTTGCAAATGGCCGGCTTGACTGTTATCTAACCCGCATCTGGTGCTCTCTAACCCCTTTTTAAGCCCTGCAAATGGACGTCTTAACTCTGTTGTACCCGTATTCAACCCGCATCTAACTGCTCTAGATCTTTCTCCAGTCCGTCGAACCGCCCCCTGAAGCGGGTTTGAGATAGAACGCAGCAGCATTCGAATTAAGGACGAGGCTTTTGATTTCCTCACCGCCAATCAGTTCCTTGCGGCCCTTTATATGTTCCAAACTGAAAATTGAATTCTACACCACTCCTCAACTCCATTCACAAAAACCCACGTAACCTCGGCTGTCGCCCTTTCTACATTTCAGACTCTTTTGAGAATCCAAACCAGGGGCAGAAAGCAACGCGCACGTTTCAACAAGCCCGGCCCACTTCAGCATGACGTCAGCAACGCACCTTGCCCCCGTGGTGCCCCTGTCCGTAGAAGCCCCCGATGATGAGGACGTCGAGATCGACGGCGCCGTTCACGTAGTCCGGCTTGACCTTCAGCCAAGCGCCGGACTTGTCGCCGCATTCGTAGGGGGAGGCAAGGTCTTTGAGCACGATGCCCTCATCCCTGGAAAAGAAGTACATAAAGGTTTGTTGAAAATGGAGACGGTAATGATGAGAACAGAACTTCATGTATCTTTGTTTTCAGGTAGGGGGAAGCCAGATCTTTGAGCACGATGCCCTCGTCCCTGTGAAGAAGATACATAGATTATTTTTTGAGAACAGGGGCAGTAATGATGAGAACAGAGCTTCATGTATCTTTGTTATCATCGAGGGCAGGTCTTTAAGCCCGAGCCCTCGTCCCTGAAACGAGGAAATATAACGTACTCAAGAAGAGAAGCGGATAAAAGGACCTGATTGTAAGGAGACATGGCAGTTTTGGGACTGAAACTCGTTGGTATCTAGTTTTTTTGGTTGTTGAGATTAGCGGGACTGAAAAGTCCAACAACTGATGCCCGTATCCTGACCAGACCCGTGACAAATCAAATGTTGATATCAACGTTCGGAGGTTCAGTTTCTTTCGTTATTTAGGATTGGTGACTGATACTATGGATGGACGCGATTTGTGAGCACCCAAATAGAGGCATCGCATGAGGACGGCCTGGAAGGATGCTATTAGAGATTTCGCGGATACGATGGCCCTTGTCCAGAAGACAATTAAATGAGTGGCGAGATCAGATTTGGGCCAAGTGGCCACACACAGGTTGGAAACATACAAAATATTGAAAGGGGTATCTTGAGCCCGTGAGGAGTTGAATCTAGGAAGGTGACCTATGAACAGCTAACAATTGGTAAAAGCGGTGGGTTCGGAATGTGCGTTATCATGAGGCGTTCGGTGAGAAGACCAGGACCGTTTCAAAGAGCGCACTCTTCCTGAGAAAGCAAAACAGGATCTCAGAGAGTCACTGCGACGTCTAATTGGTCGCTTCATCCACCAGACTCGTTGCGCCAAGAGATTGGCCGTACCAGTCGACTTACCCCGCAGTCACGATCGTGCTGAAAAAGTCGTCAACTTCTTGCTCGGTCTTCGGTAGGATGGAGAACGGCGCAACCCCTGAAGCACACGTGGAGGTCAGTAAGCGGACGTGACACCCACCTGAAATTTACGGCTGCCAATTCGCCCAGCGATTAGCTCTGTGATCTCCGAGTAGTGCCCAGAAGCGCACAGGAAAGCAAAGGAAGGAGGAATGCGTTTATAATCGCTGAAGTGAGCTCGTTGTCTTGTAGAAATTTTACCTTGTCAATACAACGGAGAGTGGCGACCGTTTGACAAAGCACGCCATCTTGCCCCCTATCTCCGAACCAGATCCCCACGCAAATGGATACCGTTTGTGCGGTGAAGTGAAGTATCACACATTGTCATTTGACACGGTTTGTGAAGTCTTCTCAAACCTTAAGCAGCTTATACGGTGTACTTTTCGGGACGACTCACATACGAAGTATTAGAACCCGGAAGCAGCAGCAATATGATTCAATATCCTCTGCGGAAAGCGCTTTGACACTCTCGAGACTTCAATTCAGAGTGCGAGTTGCAAACTCACCGCGGAGGACTCGGTAGAGAAAGGAGGAAAAGCAGAACTTCATTTTCATTAGTATGAGCTTTGACAAGACGAGAAAACTTTAGTAAACTCAAAGTCAGAAACCAGGAAACTTTAATATAGAAGCTTCTCCAAAACCGGGGAAGAAATGATTCAAAATGAGGATTTCGAATCAGAGCGAGCGTTGCGGTCTCACCCGGGAGGACCCGATAGAGCAAAGAGGGAACCTCGGGCACCAATTTCTCCAGTATGATCTTGCGCTCTTGAAGGCTTCGATTTAGAAGGTCAGAGTCACCCAGGAACACGATGTCGAAGGCCACGAAGCAGTTCTGCGCCGCAGGAAAAGCCGTCAGATTGTAGAGACTTAGCGTGTCAAGGGCAAGCTTCAAGGTGCGGGGGCACGTGGGTATTTCTTTCAGAGCAAGGCACTCGAATCTTGGGCCTTCCGTTCGCGGTTCTTGAATATCAAACCGTTGAACCATTCAAGTACGGATTTCTTGGACACCAGACGATCCACCGGGCCGGAGAAAGATCTGACAATCGGAATAGTAAGTTTGAGAAAGTAGGAACGCCGACCTGGGACGGCTAGGGTTGATTTGGGGATGTCAAGTGGGTACGGGTGCGGTGCAGATGATTCTACAGCTTAGCAATTGAGTTGGAGGTTTCAGCTTACAATCGCTGACGCTTTATACCTTGACACGACATGGACGCAGAGCGTGGAGCGTACCTGTTCGTGGTGCTCGAAGTCCTTCCGGAGGGCCCGAGCTGCAGCGGAACGACAGCGGAAGTGGAAGAGTCAGTGAACGGAGACTTGTCGTTTCGGGTAGTCCCAATGATATTGAAAACTGGATCGAGCACTTGTCGTCTCCCTCTGACTCTCTTTATGGAAGTGCTGCTCAAACTTACACGAGGTGAACAACAAACAAGAGCTCCTCCACCGGCGGTAGAGATATGGCTGGGATCGAAGGGGGCCTGAATGCGAAAGTCGTACTTGAAGAAGCACTTTTGATTGAAGAACTTCTCGGGTTGATGCTATGAAGACTTTAGCGCTAAAAGACACAAACAAACCCTACTTGGATAATACTTGAAGCAGACACCTCCTCTCCTTCGTGAAGTTGCCTTCTTTCTTCCGCAAATAGCGGAGGATTGGTTTTCCACACCAGGCGGCAGACCCATAAGTATTCAAAGTTGCAAATCCTATATCCTCAATCCCTCGAGGCTCCAAAGCCCGGCACATTAGTTGTCTGGCAAAGCCGAACCGAATTTGCGGACGTACGAAAAGACCCATCATCACCCTTTCGGACGAAGCTGCAGACTGAGCCTGTTAGGTTGCGCAAAACGCTTCAGCTCGCAGAGCTCCACCCGAAGGCTTGATCTTGTAATAATCGATCCGACCACCGTCAAACGCAAATAAGACCCCTGAGAAACAAGATTTTCCACAATTTCGAGCCTACCAACCTTACTCACTCATAAATAAGGTAGCCCAATGTGAAACCCACCTGCATTTTTGTTGCTCGCCTTGGTACGGGGTCCAAACGAGCGCCTCTCCTTGTCCCACGTGACCAGCTCTCCGTCGAGGATGCACCTGCCACGTATCACAAACGAAGTCATGCTTCCGTCAGCGCTTCAGTAGCCCTGTCGCCGCAACTTGACTCTCCATACCCAAGAACCAAAAATTCCGAGGAGTTCACACTCTAGAACTTTTTCTCACCCCTTGGCTAGACTCCTTGGGAAGGTTGTGAGATTTAGAACTCCGTTGAGCGACCCAAGGCCATCACGGCTCCATGTGATGGAATCCGGAAGAACCGCAAACAAGGGGGAGGAGAAACTATATCGGAATGGATTGAAAACCGTTGCGAGAGATCACATTCATCCAGCCTAACATCAGAATCGATACTCAGGGACGGAAAGTTCGAAAGTGTTGTGCAACGTTAGATTACTTTTGCAGTCCTGTCCCGTTAAAACCGCTGAAGAGATCCCCTTTTTGTTCGGATTCGAGCTCTCTATACAGGAGTTTTCTTTGGCACATAGACACTGACAGGCCGTCAAGATCTTAGCGCGTCTACTTGATTCGCCTACCAGTCCCTACGTGCTCGTGGTCAATCAGGAAAAACCGCTCAATCACGATACTCCTGCAGAATACGAGATGAGGGAGAAAGGAGAGAAGGAATCCAGCTCGCAGTTCAGAATCTGGGACCGCGAAGAACCACCCACCGGGCCGGCAAGTGCTCCTTCAGAAGCTCGCCGAAGGGGAGGTACTCCGGATGGAGGATCGCATTCCTGCACGTGTAGACCGTCCGATCAGTCTGGTTAGCGTATCGGACCGTCGATCATACAGGGTGGACTTTCGGCACCCGTTTTTTCTGGTCTTTAGCTCTAGTACTGTCGTAGTAAGCGCGGTTGGAAGAGGTGCACACATTAAGCAGCGTTTGAGCCTCATTTTAAATCAGAATAGACGAGGGAGGGTGAGATTGCTCGAAGGAGAAACAAGATGAGGGCCGGAAAACTTGTGACAAAGAAACGGCCAGAACGTTCAATTCTCTCGGGCGTCGCCACGACGGATACCGCTCAAAGCAACGCTTTATTGAGATAAGGAGCCCAGAGACCCAGCGTTTAAAGCGCCGTCTCTGTTTGTAAAGCCTTCCCAGTATCGCAGAAAATGTCCACGGAGTCAGAAGAGAGAGTCACAATTGAACTCCTTGTGAAATGCAGAGACAGCGCGCGTTGAGCGTACCTCGAGATGAAGGTGATCTTGTCCCCATTCTTGTGCAGCAGCATCCGATCCCCGTCGAACTTGTGCTCTACCGTGATCGACTTCCCTTTCATCTGTACATTGGAGACAACGATACTGACGTTTCCAAGACAACGATCCTGACGTTAGAAGAGAGTTTGCCAAAGTTGGTTCCTTGCCTGTCAGAAGGGATTTGAAGGGATTGAACGAATCGGAATAGATCGAGTGGATTGGTCACCGAAGCCAGCAACTCAAAGTTCCTCAAAAGCAAAAGTAGGACCGTGTGCGCATTTTTGCATCATGGTTGAGAGTCACTTACTACCTGTAACAACATAAATGTGTTGGAAGCGTCGTTAACATTACAGTCTATACACAGAAGACAACCCCTAAGGACATTAAGAGACGACTTGAGCGGGCAGAAGTCGACGGGCCCTTATGTTACTGCTTCTAAATATCGTAACACCTTGCGCTTCTACAAGGAGCACATGAAACCAGAGAGCAGGTGATTCTGCACGGACAAAAATCCAGGCCTCGAAAAAGAGTCTCCATGTCGGCAAAAAGCGCAAATCGTGTACCCTTATTTCCCAGAAGGTCACACAGTCCGGTGTGCGGTGAATGGACGGAGCGGAATTCTGGCGACCCGCGATCGTACCTGTTTCCAAGCCTCTTGCACGGTGGTTCCCCGCTTGAGATGTTGGGGCACAAACGCCGTCCCGAGTTCGATCCCCTGGAAACGAAGGCTCGAGTTTTCAGTGAGAGCAACGCTCCCAGATTGGTCTTGAGAATCTGACGAGAAGACAATCCTAGATCCAAAAGCGGCTTATAATACTTCGCGTGACAATAAGCACAACATCCAGCACTTGCAGCTCGCTCTAGGGTTTGCAAACGCGTCCAAAGTCCCTCCGAAGAAAGTTGGAAACGTTCCTTAGAGCCCAGCGATGGGTTTGCCAGCTGTAAGGAAGCGTTTGGTCGCGTGAGCTTTGTGTCCGATCCTTTGCGCAAGGAAGAATTATCACGCCATATGGCGCTTCTTTGTCTGGGCCGTCTCAGAACACGCATCCTTTCCGCTTTCTCTCCCTTCCCCTTTTTCAAATCCTTAAGTTTTCCCCCATTCCGCATCCTTTTCTTCCCTAGTCTTGGCTGTGCATTTCCCTCTCGACCGAGTACCCCTTTCTGCCTTCATTTGAGCAGTTTCCAACTAATTACAAACACAACTAAGATCTTGTAAAGTCCCCTCACCGTCCGATTCCATGGCGTGTTCCGGTCCGTCAGCGTCGCGCACAACGCCCGCAGGTCGCACCTCGTGTTGTAGAACGCCACCGCATCGGGGTGGAACGTCTCGAGAATCGGTTCATCGCCCAATCCAAAGCGCAGTTCTGCGAACGGGGGAACGACCGCATGAGAGCCGGGTTCTAAGCGTGAAAGTTTGACAACCTTCAATCTCAAAACAAGCAAATGCCGCATGACAGTAAGCCTCAGAAAGATTGGGGTAGATAGGATGCACGTTACAACTTGACAACTTTATCAAAAAGGTGCGTCGGATTTCTACTCAAAATATCAGAGGCCCCAATTGCGAACTTTTGAACTCTCTCCAGGATCCGAGAACCAGAGGCACAGCGAGCCGACAGCGAATCCAACCATGCCATCCTGAAAAGAGGGTTCAGAAAGGGGTACGAGAGGGTTTAACCGAGGATTAGACCTGAAATTTGGTAGCAATCGGCATCTGCCGGGTCCGGTAACTTAACCCCGACTTCATTAGCCAGAGCGAAGCCAACCAGTTGGCTGCCGTCCCACCTTTTAGCAGGATGGCAATGATCCACTTCATCTCGAGCGTCGTTGTCTCGTGAATCAGCTCCCGAAAGATGGCCACCCGAACGTCCCTGCAATATCAAGAAGTAGCGCTGACCATTTGAAACGCGACATCGCACAAATGCAGGATCTGACAACAACAGCTTTTCCAAGCTCGGCATGTAGGTTCAGCATCTCGTGGCACAGAACCTGGGGAACGAAATCTTCAACACAGAGAGACATGAAACCGAAAATTTAATGTATGTCCCAAGCCTCTCACTGAAAGCAGAGTTTCTATGTCGAAAACGGCTCGAAAGCGATCAAGGACAGTGACTGAGACTGTCCTTCGTGGGCGTTCCAGTCGTTCGTTCATCCAGAAGCTAAAACAGACTCGTGCAATATATTTCGTTACCAGATAGACGGTCATAATATCTCTCTGCTTCTAAAACCCTGCCGCATCGCACCGTAGGCTAGTCAGTTCCTTGCACGGAACCATGGTGCATCTTATTACCCCCGTTGAGGAAAACTTTGAACATATGAGAAAACGAGAGGGCTCACTTGTAGGTTGTTTTTGAGAAGCGGTCCAGAAACTCGTTGATCCTCTCGCAGGTGATACCTGAGGGAGTCGCGCGCTGTCGTGCGGCTAACACCTGCAGTAAGCACCACTAAGCTTGGTGAGCTTTGCGGCTGAAATTTTCCATTATGCTGCGCTTCTCAAGAACGCCTGCGAGCTTTGAGTCTGCCCTAAATCACCCGTTCAACATCTGCCCTGGGTCGTTGGTCGCAATCATAGCTTAGCGACTGCCTATCATGGATTTCCCGTTTCATCGATCTTCGACAAATCGCCTGTTGAGGGGCATTTGTGACTGTTGATTCTTGGCGCATTTGCAAGTCCTGATTCCCTAGTATGGTTAAAACTCGGATCGTTTTGGAAGCCGCAAATCCGAGCGTGGTAAAACAAAGAAGCATTCAGGGTTCCATAGCCCGTCTGTAACGGCTTGAAAGAAACGCGCCACTCGCTGACAGAACACATGGATGGAGAACGCGGTTTCTTGGGGGGACATATCAAGGATCCTTTTGGCTATGGTTCGCAAATTGGCGGTCCAGATCCACTTAAGAGTTCCGACTTTAGCCATCATTTTTGACACCGTTCCCGCAAGCGCCATTGCGGATTGGCTAGAGTTCGTCACCTTTGAACATCTGACCTTGCACTACTGATAGGACGCCTTGGCTTCAAACAGGAGCAAACCGGGCCGAAGTGGAGTATTCCGCCCCAGAAAAGTGGTTCATGGAAATTGGCTCCGACTTGCAAGAGCTTGTCCCTGTTGTCTGTGAACCAGCCTCGAACCGGGGGCTAGCTCCGGTTCAACCACCACGGAGCGGAATACTCCGCTTTGGCCCGCATTCCGCTCCTGTGCGAAGCCAAGGCGCCTTGTGACTGCTGATGACAGGCTTACCTCGACGCACGACAGCGCAAAGTTTCCGGCGTTGACGCCCATCGCATCCCCCCCCGACCGCCACTCCACCAGTGTTTTGACATCCGCTGAGTCGGCGGCCAGTCCAAGGGCATCGCCAATGACTTGGCCGATGATTGTAGTCTGCATATTGTACGGGGGCCGGGACTTGTCCCTCTGCAAAACGGAACCAAATTTAGTTAATGTGCAACTTTAGAGTGCTGAATCAAGTGTCTGTCAATGATGGCCGGGAACGCTTGGCCGTTTGCAAGGTGTAAGGAAATGACACCTTAAGCAGAGATTGCTGGGGTACACCCGACGGCAAACATTCATCCATGCCTGGTCTTGACTAGCTTCAGTATGCATCTAGATTTAAGGGTGCATTCATGTTCCTAGTAGACAAGATATGAGAAGAAATAAAGCGAGTGAAGGCACTTTGAAGATACATATCAATGATTGTAAAGAGAAGGTGCTCTCTTTCACCTGAGGCACGAGGAGGCGCAGCACGGAGTGGTGCCCATCCCTAGTTACGCGGTCAAGCAGCCTGCGAAGTATTCGCTGTTTGGCTTTCTTCTCCTTCTTGCTGCTAGTGAGCTCCAGGGCTCGGCACAGCTGAAAGAACTCCATCTCGTATGACTCATGCCATCCCAGCAACTTTCGTGAGGGCTGTCCCCTTTCTGAAAGTGTCTGCCCGCTGACTTTCTTTGTCCACCACTCTGCTGGTAAGCAGCTTCAAGTCTCAACACACCTGAACAAGCTTTGCTGCTCATGCCTATGCCAACAAGTCCTTTGCTGTATGCTTACAAGGTTTGCTGTCAACACCTTGCTTGCTTTTCTGCTTGAAAGAATCTGAGAAATGCGATTGCATTGAATGTCCACTGCAGGCTTGCAGCTCAACCATGAGCTGTTGGTCTTAAAGCGGCAATGCAATGAGAGAAGTCCTATAGAGGAAGCATTGCTCATTGCTCATTCGAGTTTCCTATTGTTCACCCCATTTTGCCCGCTGAGGGTGATGCTCACGCATTAGCCGCGCGCGCCTTCCTGCATGGGCACATCCAGCAGCACTACCTACTTCAGTTAGAGCGGGGTCAAGGAGAGTCGGTAATTTCAGGACCGGGGCCGGGGAAGCTGTTGAAGGGATGACGTGGCGAGGTTTAGGGTTTTGACCGGGGCCTACACATCTTTGACTGGCCGAAAGGAGCCTAGCCCAGGGTTTTGCCCTTAAACCTCACCACGTCATGCCTTCCAACAGCGTCCCCGGCCCCGGTACTGAAATTACGGTACCGATTCTCATTGACACCCCGCTCAGTTAGCACGCGTTGCTGAGCCGAGAATCCCGGCCAGTTCGAAAGTTTTGGCGGGTGTCTAAGATCAACCGGGTTCCACAACCGGTCTCCTCTCAACCTGGAAACTCCGCCAAGGCGACACCTGGCACCATCCAGGGCCCCCGGTCAAGAACTACCGGGCTCCGCACTCGACGACAAGTGGCATCCACGTAACAAGTGTCAAACTGTGGGAGCTTTTTCAGGCTTTTGCACCGCCACAGATCGAAACAGAGGCGATCCCTCAACAGAACGCCAAGATCTTAGCGCGCCACTGTGGATTGTATCCTGTTGCCAAAGTTTGACGTGAACACTGGCAGTGGTAGCTGTTCAGCTGTTCACGAAGTAAATGATCATACGGTCATTCTTTTTTGCTTTTAGGTAATTGTGGCCATTTGTGTTCAGTTGATTCGAGCGGTCAGGTTCACCACTCTCTACGTCCAGGACGTTCCAGATCCACGGTCCCTGCATTACTTGTTTCAAGGGTGCCGACAACTGGGACAGCACTTCGAGATTGCCAATTTTCGTGGTCTCTGCATCATCAAATACGACAGCTTTCTGTTATAAGTTAAGCAGCTATGCAGACGGTCAAGGAAGCCACAGCCAGTGTCGTGGAAGGCGCGAAGGGCGTGGCGGAAAAGTTGGTGGGAGACTCACACGACCAGAAGGCGCAGGAGGACACCCAGGAGAAAGGTGAGCGGCTCAAAGGCTTGTGTCGCAAGTTGCATGCAAAGACTTTAGTTATCATGGCGTAGCAGCCTTTTATGAGGTTCTACAAGCTAACCAGGCCTCGTTAAAGGCCGGTTTGGTCAACTGTGGAACCATGTTGTTTAGTTTATTGGTGTGACTGGATATGCCGGGGTGCAATATTCTGTCCTTTCCTTGAAGCTTGACCTTTCAGTAACTTCAAACACAACTTGCATTGTAGCTTCACAGACCTCTTACTGAAGTACCATTCAGAGGCCCCCCTGTTTTTGTGCCGCAATTGGTGAAATTTGGCAGTGGGTTACAGTCAGAGTCAGAGTGTCCAAGAACTCCAGCCATGGTTAATTTAGAGCTTGTCAAAGTGGTGCACTATAGTTTACTGTCATCATTGTAAGAAGCTGCAGAAGAGTGACGCAGGTTGTCAGAAAGTTGTCGAGCTTCCACTTTCATGGCGCCAGGGACTCAATAGCAAGCATTCCAGGCTTATTGCAAGCCACAAGATACAGACAAGCTTGGAAGCTGGCTCTTTGTAGGTACTTGCTAACCATTGACTGGACAGAATGCAGAAAGATCAATATGGAATCTTCTCATAGATGTCCATATTGAAACGTGCTTGACTTTCCTTTCCTCTTGTCGTAAACAAACGTACCTTTCAATGACCTTTTTGGAGACAACAGCCTTCTGCAGAAATGTCTGAAAATCCTTGTCCTGTTTTGAAGGAAGTATGCCCTGTCCACTCCGATGCATTGTCAGTTCTTGACATAAGCGTGCGCCATTAGACCATCCAGCTCGAGATCAGTTCTTTACTGTACCTCCATTAGTGATTCAGAGTATGCCATAGACAATGTTTTGCCTTGGAGTGATTATGCCCTGTCCATTGTGACGCATTGTTACTTCTTAGCTGAGCATTGTGGCACTGAACCATCCAGCTCAAGATAACCTCTTCCCTGCAACCCTTTGCATCCTCCATCACTGATCCAGAGTATGTCATAGAAATGGTTTCACCTGTCCTTCACGGAGACTTCGATGCACCACCTACCGACTTGCAAACTGCCGAATCTTGAAGCAAAACACAGACAGGTTCTACGAAAAGGTTCAGTCTGCGAGTCACTGGGACCAGCAAAAGTTCGAAAAAATTTCTCACTAGTTCGTTTATGCAACTTAGAAGGAACTAGCTTATTTGACAGATTGCACTCTTATTTACAGTCAAGGAGAGCCAGAAAGTTGAGGAACCTGGAGAGACTGATGCGGTCCAAGAAGCAGTGGCTGGGCTAGAGGACGTCAAAGAGAGGAAGAGGAAGCATGGTGACGTGTTGGTAAGTCGTTTCGGTCGTAAGCCATCACAGTGCTTTCTCGATGCTGTTGGAGGGGGTTTTGGCAGATCTGATGATGGAGGCATGGGAACGGAAAGAATACGACGACCAGTGTTGGAACGTGCTTTATTGCTACATCACAGGTTAGTTGGGCGTGATGCGCCACATGCTGTCGTGTAGAAATGCTCCTTTTGGTGGCAGTGCGCCTGAACGATTTGTTCGAGCCTAGGGGGAGGCTATGACAACTTGAAACCAATTGGAAAGGCGTCTCACTATCGTCAACAAAGTTAGGAAGGCAAGAGGATTGAGGTCTAGATTCCGATCATTGCTGAGGTTGGAGCTCTGGACTGCTTGCATCGATCGTTGAGTGTGAGCTGGCAACTATACGAAGAAGTGAAGTGACAATCAGAAAAGCAACCACTTCGAGACCTGTGTTCAAGACTTTTGAGACCTCAGCGATTAGGCCATACCTCAGTAAAAGTTTGTACTTCCAGCCCCTTAAAACCATAGTGCCATACCCTCACTCTGACTACGTGGGGACGTGCAGGGAAATGAGCCTGCCACCGAGAAGATGCCGGACAAGGAGGACGAGAAAGACGTCCAAAAGGCGTCCGCGGCGGACGCGGGGCTGAAGGAATTAGAGCGGCTAGAACGGAACGTGGAGAAGGAGAACGAGGCCGCGCAGGACGAGTTGACGAAGATGAGCAACGACAACAAGCGCGCAAAACCGAACGGCGCCGTCGAAGCGCAAGGTGGCGATCAAGAGTGACTGCGCGACTTGGCATAGGGTTGACTGTGTTCTGTAGGTTCAAAGCTGTGTTGAGCATGTTGCCATCGTTGAGTCCGAGAAATTATGACAGCCCTTGTTTTCATTGGTTGTTGCGGTTCACCAGGGGGCTACGAGATAGTGGCTTCCAACTCTTGTAAAAGGGGCTCTGGTTTTGTTGATCGAAAAGTCAAAATCTCGTCAGTTTTGGATCGGCTAGAGCCGTAGTTGTTGGGGCAGCTAAGAGTCATACTTTCTTGCGATTAATCATTGTTGATATTTTGATTGGACTCGCGCGCTGAGCCATGAGTGAGTCTGGCGCACCGCATGGCCTATCATTCTTAGCACCGGCTCCATACATGAATTCGTTGCAGACTCATGCAATGGATAAATGATTGGCAAGCACATGCGACTTGAATATGTATGGCCGGTCATTACGAATGTTGGTCATGCACTGAGTTAGTACATATAGTTGGGCCGCGCAGCCGGGCATGCAAAGAAGACGGTATACTAACCGTTGGAAACTTGTATACTAATTGATCTTGCCGCCGACTTGAATAAATGCTACGTTGTCATGTCAACAAAACTTCCAGCTTTGTTGTTCAATGTTGTTTAGTACGTCCGCACCGTTATGTACCGACGGTCGTTGAGTAAAAGAAATGTTGGCAATCGACCGCGCCATGCGCCATACATGCCAGTGCAGTGTACTCATACCGGGGTATATGAAACGGCCGCGGACGTACATGCTCTAGCCATGTGAATCAATGTGTACTTCTAACGTGTACCGTGGATCATGGCATGATAAGTTATGCTTGCACTGATTTGCAATATGGCAAGTGCACTTCGACTCGATTGATCGATCGGCGGACTGCTAGCTTCAAAGGAATTTTTCAATCGAGATCGTATATACATGTACAGAAACGTTTGTACATAAGCTATCTGCGATATTCAACCCTGCCAGGCTGACGCAGTCAGACCGGCTTCCGACCAGCGACTTCACAAAAGGACACGACGAAGACGGCATCTGGGTCCGACTTGAACTCCTCAAGCCCCGACAGCATGGCATCGGCCTCCTCTTTCGTGGTCCATCCCTTTTCTAGAGCCCCCTGCTTCTCCACAGACTCCGTGACATGCTTTGCAAGAAAGTCCGCTCCCACGTCCGGCGAGATAATGTTTGGATCGTACCGGTAGCCCACGTGTAACGGCTCCAAGCCCGCTTCAGCGATCATCCGCTTCAGCTTCCGCCCGCAGTGCGCGTCGCCCCCGTCCTTGGCCTGCATATAGGAATCCAAAAATAGAATCCGCTCTTGAAATCTGCTCTGTGGAATAAGGGATCTGACCGAATTTGACAATCATCTTCTGGTAGACAAGTCAAGAGATAGAAGGTCGAAGTCAACGATACTCCTTGGGCAGTGACATCATCTTGTCGCTGAAATACGACTTACAAGTCAAGTGCTCTGGAGATTGCGTGACTGGAGCAAAAAATGTTCGACCGTGCCAAAGAGAGTGATTTCGCTAAAACTAGCAGAGCGAGTCCTGTTCTCTGCTCGAATGTGTCCGATCGTTCAAAACGGAAGTCGTCGAAGCACGGCGTTCCTACGGCTTTTTCCAGATCAAGCAGGCAGCTTTCTCTCAAAGGACGTTGATGGATCAAGTCATGTAAGGCGTAGCCGCCAGTTCATAAGAGCCTGGTAACGACGGACGGTTTCCCGAATCGACGTCTCTATAAGCCGGTCAGGATGCACCCAGGACGCGTTTGTTCATACAGCGCTCCTGAGCTCGTCAGCTTCAGCTTTTGTGTCGAACGCATCGACTGCAATGCCAGATCTGTACGGTCATGGTACGAGTCCGTACTCTTTGAGCGCTCTTTCAGTGCATTCAGACCCACTGACTTTACAGCGGATTATTGAATCAGAGAGATACCATTTGCGGGCACGCTTGGGCTTGTTGTTTGCAGGTGTAGCTCGAGGATCATTCGAAATCCCATCTAGCGCCAACAAAGCGAGAACGACAGGGAAGAGCTGTCCATGATCTGGAGCAACGTCTTTCACATCTCTCACCATCATCTTTTCGAAGTATTGCATAGCTGCCACCACCCCGGGGGTCTCGGGCGTGTACAAACAGCCCCCCCAGTCCGCAGACAGAAACGCTATTACGCCCCCCGGTTTGAGGACGCGAAGCATTTCCCGGATGGCCTTCTGGGGGTCACTCAGGTACAGGATCAGGCCCCAACCGGTGACGACGTCATATGTGGCGTCAGCAAAAGGCAGGCTGTACGCATTCGCCTGCGCAGAGCAAGAGAGTCATTGCTTTCGCTTCTTCGGTGGAACCTTTAAGGCGCCCTGCCCTCTTTAGACGTTCCTATGACAAGCCAAAAGCCTGCGAGCTGAGAAAGAGTTGGTACCTGTAAGTCAGAGTTCAGTAGGTCGGATACCAGATGCTTCCTCGATTTTGAGAGCAATAGTAACTAGATGCAGGCCAGATGTGGGTCAGATGTTGGAGAACATGGTAAGACTATCATCAAACCACCTTCAAATGACCACATGAACAAGTGTGTGGCTTTACAGAGCATTTTCCCTCACCTGATGAAACTTCGCAACATCCGCAAGCCCAGCCGCCTCCGCATTCTCATTCGCCTTTTGCACCATTTCAGCTTCTCTGTCGATCCCATGCACTCTCCCCCCTGGAGAAACCAGCCTTGCGAACCCCAAAGAGAGCCCCCCCGGACCGCATCCGCAGTCCAAAAGCGCTTGCCCTGGCTTCAGGTACGGCAGCAGAAAAGCTGCTTGGACCTCTGGAGTCTTGGCCATTTGCATCTTCATCAGATTGGCATCGTAACCGGAGGTGTAGACTTCGGATCCAGGGGGCGGGGGACCGGACGCCATGTCGGTGCAAAGTGTTTCAGTACTGCGTGAGAGGGCAACAGAGAATCAGGACACATTGCGCACTCTGCAGTGGCTTAAGAAGTACACTCCTCTTGGGTCTGGAGGTGAAGATTGCTTGACCTCATCTGCAACTTGAGGTGAGATAGGAACACTGAACATCTGACATGATTTTCAGGAGGGCGTCTTGACAGAGAACGACACTGTGAAGTGTAATCAATGTGAAGAACAATGAAGACAACCATCAGCAGACTGTCGACAAGACATTTGATGGTTCCGAAAGGCTGTGACAAATGGAATGCTTCAGGCGAAGTTTGTGTGTGTAGCCAGCAAAGTGCGGCAGTGCAGTGAGACATGCTGGAAAGCAGACTTCCGAGTTCTTGTGGTATTTGCTGAGCTTGTCATGATCTGGCCCACACAGCAGTAGGTCAGTCAGAGCGCTGATCACGGTGCACAGGTGATGTAAGGCAACAGATGCATCAGTGCGAGTGCTCCTCAGAAAGTTTTTAGAAGAATTTGATGTATGAAAGTTCTGTTGACAGCTGGTATATTTTCTTCTGCCTGATAGAGTTCCTTCTGCCTGATTGAGTTCCCCTCGATATTTGCTTGTGGCAGGGGGCGGCAGAAGTCTGTCTCTGGGAAGAGGAGAAAGACATTGATCTTGTTTGGCCACCCACCTCTAAGGGAGTACAAAGACCACCTTTGTAATCATGAGGAATGCACTTTTTGTTTTCTGCCCTCTCGAGGTACCATCATCAATTCAGTCTTCAGGATGCAGAGTGTTGCACAATCTGGCCATTCAGCAGCACCAGACATGCCCCGGATTCACTTGATCGTTGAAATTGAGCTACCAATCGATATGTTCAGCATCAGAGTGGGGTGATTACATTTGGAGCTCTATGCTCTTGGAACTTTTGAATGCGATTGGCCATTCAAGAGCTGAGCACATCGACACATCTCAAGCGCTGGAAAGGAAGCCACCTTGAAAGCCTTAAAAACCCTGCGACCTCAAGAACCAGATTAATACAAATCAGGAAGCACATCAAAGCGCAGGACCCCCAATGTGTGGGACGCAGATTTTCAAAGAGCAAAAGTGTTTTGAGTCGCAGACGGCTTGAAGCATTGTTTGCTCCTCTTGAGAACTCACCTCCACACCGAGCCGTTTGGAGCAGACACAATTTCCCTTTGGCGCTTGCTTGTCACCTGACGTCTCCTGACTATAGTGTAGGAGTGCACATTGGCCCACAGAATCACAAAGTTTGAACCTACAGCAGAGGAGGTGAGTGAAGTATCCAAGTCTGCTTTGGATGACGAACGCTGCAATTTGCAGACAGCAACAACGAGCAGCACAACCCCTTCTGAGTACCGTGATTCTGTTGTGAAGGCCTGCGGCTCATCTCCCTGGCTTGTTAAAGTCAGAGCTCAGCTGAAAAGTTTCTGCTGGTGACCAGCTCAGCCTGGTCGAATCTGCTCAGCAGATTGCCTGACTTATCTGCGAAACCTGACGAGCGAATCAAACATATCGACGGTCGTCTGTGATCTCCACAAACGATCGACGGATGGCAATCCACTCGTCAAGAAGTCCTCTGCGGTCCTCACGATGTCTTGATTGAGCACTCCCTCTGCGTAGCAGACTGGCCGGGGCGACTGCCAGGGACTTCAGTGCATGTTAGAAGTGTTAGAGTCCGATGGATTTCTTCTCGATGCCTCCCCGGGGCCTCCATAGATCCATATTAGGACTGATCAACAGTGGTTAACATGCTCCATCAATCACAGGCATCACGAATTGCCAGAGTTATGACTCATGTTGTCTTGTTGCCTGGAAGTGGCATTCGCTCGCAATCCCGTTCATGGCAGCAGGCAAAATGTTAATACAGCTCTTTTCAAGCAACTTGGCGGTTTTAGATATTAAAGCTGGGGAAGCTTAAAGTTAGTCAAGATCTCGTCAAGATAGTTGTCATTTTGATGCCGAGGACTCGTCTAACTTAGTCATCTAAATTTGTAAGCTTCCCTCGACTCTGCATGATTCAATTCGGCAGGCTGCTCGCAACGAGCTGTAGTATGTTGCAACATGCTAGTAGGCCGCCCAATGATTCTTGAAGCGGATTGGATGGGCTGGCTCAATGGCGCCTGACACTGAGCACGTGCACGGGCATACCATATAGGACAATCAGCTGTGCACTACAGTGAGATACGTGTACGTGCATCATGATTGGGATGAAACGATAAGGCGACAATGTGATCGCATGGCGGCCGGCCCTCCAGGCGGCCCACTCCGTGAATGGACGCTTTGACGCTGCTATTGACGGCCAGCTTAATTTGACAGTGAAGCTAGCTGCCACTGAACACGGCATGCGGTCATGCTGGGTCCGACGCCATTGGGCGCACATGCAAGTTCGTCGGACATGCGCTTCAGGCTTGTTGAGCGCTGCGTACTAATGTGTACCTTGGCCAGGAAAGTCTCGTTCCATGGCAGCCGTATATATCTTCTCGCTGGAGTAGATACTTATCCTTGATGATCGTCGAAGTAACAACCTCGCAATGCACTTAATCACGTTGCGCGCTCTGCAGATTTTCGCATTGCACCTGTATCAGGTTTGATCCAGATCATTGCTTGATTGACCCGTGGCCTCGCTATCTTTGAGCCACTATCGTTGAATCTCAACAAGAATGAAAGGGGTAAGTTGCAGATTTTGGCAGCCAAAAAAGTCATCCAAAGAATGTTGAGTCCTTTGATTGCTTAGTATCTCATCGTCCATACATATCGCTTATGTATGGTACTACGACCATCTCAATCTGTAAAACCAGCTAGGCCGTTAGTCAAATCCAGACTGCTACATCCTACTGAAGTTACTAAGTTCCTGAAAGTTCCTGATAATATGATTTAAGAGCTGCTTTCAAAGCGTCGTGATTCCGACTTAGTTGCTTTTCCTAGCAAGAACCTCACAAATGGACGCAACAAAGATCGGATCAGGGTCCGACTTGAATTTCTCGAGCCCCGATAACATGCTATCGACCTCTTCCTTTGTCGTCCATCCTTTCTCGATGGCGCCATCCTTTTCCACAGAGTCCTTGATGCGCTTACTGAACTGATCGGCCGCCATTGCTCCTGGCATAACGTTGGGATCGTACCGGTAGCCAACGTGCAGCAGCTCCAAGCCTGCCTCCGTCATCAGGCGCTTTATCTTCCGGCCGTTGTGCGGGTCACCCCCGTCCTTGGCCTGAGTGAAACAGCAATGCTTTCGTCTCGATGTTTGTGTTCCTTATTGGCTTTTCTTTTTGCTTCCACTGGATCGTCCGTTTGAGTTGCCCTGATGAGAAGCACTAGGGACGCGCACTCAACGTTGGCGTTCTGCTCCGTTTAGATGGTCAGGTGAGTTCCCGAAGCAATGAAGCTCTGATTTGTGTAGTCTCTGAAACGGGAGACTCTTTTTCAAAGAAGAGACAGCTCTAGAGCCGTCTTGCAATCTTCTCGGTTTGGAAGCCGTCGTTGAAACAAATATATTCTGGTAACCCAGTTTCTGTTGAAACTACGAGTCACAACTTCACGATCGCAGGTGAAACAGACTTCCAAGAAACACAAGTTACAAACTGTAGTCATGACTGGCCCTCACGCAGACATCCTGGCAAAAGGATCCGAACAATCGAGAAGAATGGACCCGGTCCCGATTCACAAGGATTCATAAACTTCCTTGCTTGCACCCCAGGTCAAGTGGTCCGTCCCCTTCTAGAAGGAACACGGTACTTCCGCGGAACTGTGTGTCACAAGTAAATCATAATCAACAGTCGTGAGAGGGGGGGGGCGCTCAAGGTTCTCACCATCAGTTTCTTGTAGTAATTGAAGGCTGCCACCATCCCCGGAGTCTCGGGCGAGTACAACCAGCCACCAAAGTCCCCGGAAATGAACGCTGCAATGCCCCCCGGTTTGAGGACCCGAAGCAGCTCCTGGAGGGCCTTCTGAGGATCGCTCAGGTATAGGAGCAGGCCCCACCCAGTGATGACGTCATACGTGTTGTCCTCAAAAGGGAGGCTGTACACGTTAGCCTGCAAAGCAGAGGAAGTTAAAGTCAAAACAGAAGTGCCATGAAAATTGCATGAATATTCGTTTTAAGTGCTGGGGGTCGAGATCAACTCTGACGAGGAGTAGACTGAGTGGAAGTGGTGAGTTATGGTTGATAGCTACGGAGGGCACCCGGTCCTCCTCAACCGCCAGGGACGAAACATGATTGAGAACGGCACCTAGTCTAACTCTGATGATGCCTTGGTGCAGAAAAGGACCCGCTTGGTGCAATAGCCACTACATCGAGTTCACCGATTATCCAGCTCCACGACGAGACCGGACGTAGCTGTGAGGATGAAGCAACATAAGCGGTCCCCGCTTGTCAATCATTGAAGACCCGTCCTCTGCAGGTGCTACATCCGCGAGTTTCGCAAGCAGGAGCCTGAAGAACTATATGCCCAGGGGTGCATGTAAGTTCGTGTATGTATGCCATGTTTGGCGCATCTGGCTATTTCAAAGCTTCTTCTCAAACACCTCCTGTGGTCGTAGGCATGACGGAAAGGCTGTGTACTCACAAGGACACAAATCAATCAACCTTACTCTGGTGCACTCTATGTCCAGAAACACGCCGCTGCACCTACCTTCTGAAACCTGGCAACTTCCCCAAATCCAGCCTCCTCCGCATTCTTGGCTGCCATTTGCACCATCGCCTCCTCCATATCAACCCCATCTAACCGGCCCCCGGGGGACACCAGCTTGGCAAATCCCAGTGAGAGGCCCCCCGCGCCACAGCCGCAGTCCAACACAACCTGCCCGGGCTTTAGGTATGGCACCAGGAAGGCTGCTTGAGTCTCTGGGGTTTTCTTCAGCTGTACTTTGATAGCGTTGGGATTGTAACCAGAGGTGTACTTCTCGGTGCCTGCTTCTCGTTGAGAGCTAGATGGGGGCGGGGCGGAGGCCATGATGGTGGAAGGACCTCTAAATGACCTGCATAAGGGGAAAGGCTTTTCAATTGAGCAAGATTGCATGGCAGAACATCAGTTAATATGCTGGAGACAGACGTGGTTTACAGTGCTTGAGGGGAGGGGCAGAGGCAATGCCAAGTGGAAGTTCCGACCACCAATTGTAGGCTATTTGTCATCAATCAGATAGAAATACAAGCATTCTAAAGTGAAAGAAATTGCAAGGACCAAACGACTTTCTGTTGCTGATAAGGATAGTGAGTCTGCTTTATAATGAAAAGTATCTCTGACTGAGCCAGTTCCATTGAGAACCATTTGCCGAGGTGTCGTCTTGGGGACCTGTATTGACCTCAACTGTATGGTCAAACAAGTAGGACTGCCCTTTCATGACACTAAGATAGCCTCTATCTATCCTTAAATCTGTCTCTGAAGCAGGAAGCAGCAAATCACCTTATTGTTGCTTGCTTTCTTGCACACCAGCTGCCCCTAAGCTGTCCCTTACAATGCCACAAGTGTGCACCAAACCTTTCCTGCTTGAAAGAGAATGCGGGCATCAGCTTGGCAAACCCAGCTAGTACTGGCTGCTTGCTTGCAAATCTCGAAGCTGACGGAAAATGCAAGGACAACTGGGGCCTGAATGCCAAAATTTGTAGGATTGATGACGCCCAGAGCATCATCTTGAATGCTTATAAGCACTGTCGCATCTGTCAAGAATTTTCTACAAGCTCAGCACGCTGGCAGCTTGTTCCAAAATAAGACGGGCGTCCACATAAGCTGAAGGCAAGCGCACCCTGCTTGGATTGAAATTCCTAATCCGAACAATACCTCCACTCACCACTCGAAAGCTCATGCAGGATCTGGTAGTGCCAAACGCTGGGCTTCTTTGTTGCTCTGGAAGTGCACCTCCTGTTTAATGCGGACAGTGGCAAGAATGCCCAGTGAATGCAATGCAGCGCATGAGCTGCCTTCAAACTTTTCTTCTGATGCAGCCACTAAGATCTGCAAGAAAGAAGCGCAGTCTGCAGAGGGCTGCTTTGCTGAATTCAGGAACGGATGAACATTGAAAGCGCTTTTCGTTGACTGATCATTGATGTGGACGGAGGAAGGCAGAAGAACTTCAAGAAGCTGCTATCGAAGCTCTAGCGTAATCCCCCATCATGACTATCTGCCACTTGGCAGATGCACAGAATTGGCAGATCGCAACCGTCCATCTCACGACCTCTAACCAAGGGTTAACCCTGCATTCAGAACCCTGCGCAAATTCAAACGTCCTCTGCTAGCTTGGCGGTCTGCCTGTCTCCACCGTGCAGAAAAAAACGGCGCTCGTAGCGACCACACGGGGCATTTGCCCACATAACAGACGCTGCGAATTGCTCGTAAGCAGAGCCCGGAAAGTCGTCAGGGTGCAAAACCAGCAGAGGATGGACAGAAGTTGGAACACATTCACAGCCAAGAGAGAGGGAGAGAGACAGAGAGAGAGAGAGAGAGAGAGTTGGAAGGTTCATGCCGGCAGCTGATGTACTTTTCACTGTGCACAACAGCCACAGCTTGCACCAGTGCCAGCGCCTTGTTGCTCCACTGCTTCTGCTGGCTCCAGGCTGTTCACGCAATGTTGCTTCAAGTTCTGATTTACTTTCCTAGATCACTTCGTGGGATCCTCTCTGGCCACTTTGTGGGGTCTTCTCTTCAATTCAGAGTTTCGGCGCTGCCTCCAGACGCTCCATTACTGCTGACTCGATGAAGGGGATGCAACAAAAGCTTGCCTCTGAGATGAGCAACTATCGCCGCATCAAATCTGGCACAATGTGAGGTGAGCCAACAAGGAGCTGGGTATACCAATATCAACTTTCTTGCCGCTCTAAGGAGGCTGTATCGAAAAAAACGGTTAGTGTGAGTGGTTAGCATGCCCTTGGTCTGCAGCTGACTTTTGCAGCATCTGTAAGACGTGCGCAGCTTTTGCTAGGCTCTCATTCGCAAGCTGAAGTCAATTTCTTTAGTTGACTTGCCACTGTCACTTAGCTGCTGGAATAGCTCAAAAAAACCTGTGGTCAATCTGGCACGTCCGGATAAGTAAGCCTGCCAAGGGCACTCAAAAAGTCCCTAGGACATTGGCCTGGCAGAATGTAACTTGCCCTTTTCTCAAAACAATGATTGGCTGTTTCACATTGTTGTATCACATTTGGTCTATAATAGCACTTGGGAATTATTTCGTCTAGGCAGCGAATCCAATGCTGTGCAATAATTGAATTTTCTCCATCATCCAGAAAGTATTCCTAGCACTCCAGACAGCCAGGCGCCAAACAGATCATGGCCTTTCTGCAGAAGTCTCGTGGCGTGGGTTCTTCATAGTTTGCAGTCCATGATAGAAGCTGACCAAGCATACCCTAAGGTTTCAACAATCATAGTCATGAACCCTAACTCAAGTAATCTTGATCTGGACCAACACAGTTTGGTGCTCTTTTGCAGCCTGGGCGCTCCCTGCTCCCAGTTGCTGAATCATGTCCACAATGGAGCTGCCAAATGTGGACGTCTTCTATGACTCAGATGGAGCGGGGCCATGCACCCAGGCACCCTGGAATTTGCTCCCAAGCCCCCTCGAAGATGCGCCTCCTGACGGCAGTGCTTCACCTGAAGGGGTTGACGCTATTCCTGCGCCTTACCCGCTAGTAACTTCGCAAGCACCCTTTGAAACGTTCGATGGGAATCTGCACGGCGGACAGTCGGATGAGGGGGACGGTTCAGGGGACAAGGGGCCTCGCAAGCTCGCCTCTTTCGCGGATCTGCGAGATGTTGTAGACCCCAGGACTCTGTCTAGAGGGGGCTCTTTGAGCACTTGGACGCCGCAAGAGGTGCCACGGTTGGGCGAACTGGTTACACAGCCGGTGACGCAGAGAGTCACAACAGATGACGGTTTTTCTGACGATGACCCGGGCGGTGCGAAGGAGATGGGGGTATTGCACGTTGAGCGCGAGGGGTCTCCAGGTTACGCTGAAACCCCTCTTCCTTCGAGTGGCGTTCAAAACGGGGCGGGGGTGAAGTCATCGCTGGGGGGGAAACACGAAGCACTCTCCGAAAGACTCCCAAATGGTGATGCTTCGTCAGGCATTACAAGGGTCGGGAGGCGGGGCGGCGAGAGCCTAGACGGAACAATAGTGGCCGTTAGTCCAGTCATTGATATCAGAGCTGCCTCGAAGCCAGGGCAGGAGCACAATTCCTTCTTTCTGCTTGATTTACAGCTGCCAGAATCCACTCCGGTATTCAGTCGAGGAGTGGGACAGGCAATCACTGGGAGCGCATGCTGCGGGCCTAGGGCGCAGAGAGAGGCAGGGCGGCTCTTGGGTGGGCTGGTGTCAGCTGGCGAACGCGAAGAGCGACCCGTGGGAACACATCCTCCTGCACAAGTCCTGACGGCGGCGGAGCGGGCCATGACGCCGAAGCTTGCTCAACCAGAGGCGCTGATGTCTGAACCCCAGCGAGCGTTCCTCTACTTTGAGGGGGCCCCGGGGGTGAAGTGGCGGGAGGTGTGCGTAGCAAAGGCTGGCCGGCCTGTGCGATTCACAGGGCTCAGACGGAGGACAATGGTAGTTGGAAGCCAGGGAACTGAGAGAATGGTGTACGTACCAGGGTCAAATTTTGGGATGGATTTAGGGGGCCATTCTCTGACAGTCAGCGCCCCAAGTGGCGGCTTAGGGTGTGAAACGACGGAGGGTGCGAATGGCAGAGCGGGGTGCCCCTTGAGAGGGGTCGGAGCAAGACAAGTAGCAAAGGGGGAAGGGGGCGAAGGCGGTGTCCCGCATGGGGGGGTCCAGCAGGGGACAGAACGACCCCCCCAGGGGGAGAGTCCGCTGCCTAACCACCAGAGAGATCGGCAGTGCGCGGGCGGACCTTCAGACGGACAGCGGTCGTCGGAAGTCCGCGAACTCGCTAAAGGTCTCCCTCAGAACGGAACCCTATGCTACGTCGGTGTCGTCAGTGCCGTCTGGAGTTCGGGTCTGGTCATTGAGCTTGACCGCAAGCTTAACCTGCTGCTAACCCACTACCCCGCGACCGAGCTCCCGGGTCTGAGAGTGGGCGCCTTGCTTGCCACGTGGCTCGTTCATCCGATCCTGAGGGGGGGCCAAGTGATCGCGCTCGGGGCGTGTACTCACAGCCTCGTGACGGTTTTGGGTTCCCCTAACCCGACGGGTTCGGAAGCCGGGTTAGCGGGCCGGGGTCACCCGCTGAGGCAGCTGTGCGACCGGCTGCCGTTTTCGGTGGCCTCCTGGGTGGGCGAACTAGAGCGGAGTCTTCGAGCGAAGCTAGGCGGGGTCTCGGACAGGAGCGTTCCTACCGTGACTAAGAGAATTTCAAGCGGGTTGCATCCGGTTAGAAAGGGTGTCGACGGTTTAGGGAATTGCCCAGACGGGTTGGGAATTGTGCCAGCGGATAAAGCGGCCAGGTCGAAGGCGCCAGAGACACTACCACCGAAGAGAGGGAGAGCCCCGAACGTTCTGAACCCAAGTCTTCAGTCCCTGACCGATGGCTCTGGTGACTATCAACCCGCTAGCGCTAATGAAGGTTCAGGCGCGCGGGGAAGTGTCCTCGACAGCGGAAGCGACTGCCGTTCTCTGCTGCAAGAAGTCCTCGTGCATCTCCTCCCGGGGTGCAAAGATCTCAGGCAGCGCTGGGACGTTTTTGAGGAGTTCATGTCCCACGACACGGAGTGCAAACTGGGGGTCGATCCTGTGGGCTGGAAGACCCCCCCGAAAGTGCCAACAATTGCAGCCGTCCTTGGGGAGGTCCGGAAACGGGGCCAAGGATCGGGGCGCAGAGTCGAGCGGCTTTCTGGCGACGAGCTCGGGGCGAAGCTGCTGGGGTATCTGACGGTCAGGGCCTGACTTCTGGGTCCTCTTTTCGTCCACCTTTTCCTGCCATATGTAACGATTCCTTTCTCTGTTTCCCCTGCAAGGACAACAATCCCCATTCTCTGCTTCCCGCATGTCGAGCTCCTTCTGTTCTCCAGTCTTAGATCTTCCCTCGGATCCCGGCTCCTCCGGCTCTTCCCCCCCTTTCTTACGGACATTGGCAAATTCACTTCCTTCCAATTGGAGCTTCCAGTAAGCGCCCCTTACGGTCAGGCCGCATATCAGAAATGTTCCAATCTGAGGCAGTGATCCGTAGCCGTAGAAGCAGCGGAATCTTTCGAAGTGACAAGTGGGGAAATGTCGCCATGCCTGTGTTTGATGACTCCCTTCTGGCTCTCACTTTACGGATAGAAGTCTTCGAAGCTTTTGGGGGAAAGTAACGAGGCTGTTCTTCGTTGGGGAAGGGTTTGAGCGGTCCTTCATGTCCAGCCCGACACCTGCCCTTTTCGCTGAACCATTACAAGGTCCATAGACAGAACGACGGAACCCAGTTCCCTGATTTCTGAACTTTCTCGGTCGGAAGAAGCAGCATTGAGCGGCTCACAGTCTAATTCTACAGCCTTCGTCCAGCTCAATAGTTTTTGGGTCTCTCGTCTTTACCTCATCCTCGTCTGTCGGCTATACAGCGCAAACTTCCGTTGCCTCAAACCCTCACAAACCCTTTCTTGATTTGTCAGGTCGATGCGTGTTCCGGACGGGCTGTTCTGTCGGACGCAACTGGCAGTGTCCGAGTCGAAGTCAAGGAGCGTCTGGAGGCGGTCCATCTCGGCCGGTGGTTGCTGGTAAGAAAGTTTTGCCCACCTTCTTGTTTTGACGGTGGATCACAAGTCCTAAGCGGTCTAAAATGTTCTAGAGCTCCGGCTGGATTCTGGAGAGGCCCTTGTCGTCTGTTCAAAGGAGCAGGTTACGCAAAAGTGACATTCTATCTACCTTGAGTGAGCGCCGACGAAAGTTTCCTGCCCATCTATCGTAGCATCATGACCAGGATATTGTGTTTTTTCTCTTGTACATAGATGATTTAGAAGTGTTCATTCCTCCCAACTGAAGTAATTTCTGCCGCTGCTTTATTCGCTTCGCTGGTTGCATTTGTCGAAAGATTCCTCGCACCTTTCTATGCCGTCCAGATAAGTTATGGTCTAAAGCAGTTCTGCTGTACTCTTCTTTTCATCGGCGTTTGCTTTAAGTGGAAAAAGCCGCAAAGAGGGACCGGATGTGTCAAGTCCTGCCAAATCTGCACAGTGGTCCAGACGGAATCTCTAGCTGTGCTTCTCCACCTACGCAGGAAGGATTTTAGTCATTTGAAAGTTTTCCAAGACGGCATTGAGTCCTGACCGTGAGCGTTTTTACAAACTTACCCTATCACTCAACTAGAACTGGAGGCATCGCGGTCGATCCTTGCTTCGCGCCGTCAAATGCGGACCATCTCCAATAAAAAGAGTCGCTCTTTCACTAATCGCCGTAAAGGTCCGACGCAGGTGACGAGATTTTCTGCGGATGTCCGAGCCGCCAGCGATTCCGGCCCCGACAACCTTGAACCCTCCGTCTCCTTCAGCCTTGCTGACGCTCTACTCGTCATTGGGCCTCCCCCTCTCACGTTCACGCACGAAATGCCGCCGAACCCGTACCATAAGACGCTAGCCGAGCCAGTCGCTTATGGAAGGGGCACGTGGCTGCGGACGGAGGTTCGGAAACGAACGCGAACAGCGTCCGCGCCAAGCGTTGGGCGAGGTGCTGCCACGTGGCAAAAAGAGGGGGGAGGGACAGCACTGCAGCCGTTAAACTGGCGTGGAAACGCCGGGTGCGCCGCGGCAGGGGGGTCGAGCAAGCAGGCGGGAGGGACCCCCTTTTGGATGGTCTCAGTCATTCTAAAGTCGGCGGTCGTGAGAGGGGAAAGGGGCCTCCAGTTTGCGGCGGAGGCTGTGCTGCTTCCACGTGTCCTCATCCTACTGGACCCAAAGTTGGGGGCTCTAGGCGGCATTTCGACGTCAGTGCAGCGGTCTGGTTTCGAAGCGGATGTGGAGGCCACTTTCGGAGGATTTCGGTTTCCGCGAGACCCGCGAAACTGGCGCCATAACCCGCACCATAACCCGCAGCTACCTGAGCCTCGCTCCGGCCTGGTACGGTCCTACCACCGAGCCAAGGCTAACGAGGTGCGGGAGAAAAATGGTCCCCCCTGGCTGGTACGCCAAGCGGGAACCGCGCCAGGTTCAGCCGCGCCGTCGGACGGGTGCCTTTTCACACCGGCCTGGGAGAGGCGCCACCGGCCCATCCAAACCGCGCTGACCCGACCACTGGCTAAGTGCACTGCTGGGCCGAGCCAACCGGCGCCACGTGGCGGTTCCCCGTTGGACGACGGGGCGGTTCCGACGGAGCCCTACGGGAGGAGGGTCCTTCACCTAGGCGCTGGGTTAATCGTGGTTCCGAACCCGTTTAATGCGAACCCTGTCTGGGGTATGGCTAAGGACGGACAAGCCGTCCGAACCGGGTTGCCGATGTCCGGGCCCTGTCCGAGCGTCGGAGCAACGGTCCAAAGCCTGAGAATGAAAACTGCGGATGAAAACGGAGCCCAAGGTTTCGGTCACCGGACGGTCATTGGCGCCGCAGCGGCGGCCCGATCAGCGGACATCCGGCCGCCGAAGCGTCCGAAAGTGTCCGGAACGGAGCGACCGGAATCCGCTCAGTGTTTTGTGTACAGTCAGAGGTTGAATGTCACTGGCAGGGCGGACCAGGAACTAGAGCGGGGTCCTCCGGTGAGCGCGGTGCTTGAGAGACGCGAGCCGCTTGGGAGCGCCGCGGGTTCTGAAGCCCGGGTGCTGCTGACGTTTGCGGGCGAGGCCGCGCTGCTGTATGACGTAAGTTCCGCGTTTCTTGGCAAAGGCTTTTTTGGGGCTTCCGTGTCACTGCGACCAAGTGTGACCAAGTTTGTTCTTAGGCGACCGTCAGAGTGGAGCCTCGGCTGAACGGTCGCTTACGAGGACCAATCCTCGAAGCACTTTTTACTGCTTGAGGCAGCACGGTCTATTCTCGGATCGTACGGAGGAAATGCTTTTAGCATACGTTGATCTGCCTGAGGTGACGAAGCTATCCAGTTCTCATGTAAGTCATTGACGAAAGATTCTTAACGCCCTGCAATCTGCGGGTGGTGCTGCGTGATCATCTTCGAATCAACAGCATCTGAAATTGTCTTTGATCAGCGCAGTATGACTGAGGCTCGGGACTGTGGAAGCCTGAGCTTTCATACGAATAATCTACTGATCGAGAAGCGCCATCTCTACTTTTTTGGGAACCTGAAGTCCTCGACCCCAAAGCCCACAAATGCCTGCAGTCCCCTTCCGAGTAAACCTCCTTCTGAGATCATAAAGACCTGTACTTAAATAAAAAGTTAGAACGTCCAGCATTTTCTGAGTATCCTCTTTGCAGTTTCTTCACGTGGGCAACTCGTACCTCATCCCTGCTCAACCGCTTGCCCCCAAGCGGCACGACCCCGATCTCAATTCAACGGTCCCAACTCTGCCTCCCCGGAACTACAGTCAGTCCCGCCTTCCCGTCATCGACCTCACAGAACGAGAATCGGTGCACAGCTTCCGCTTCGTCAGCAGCGAAGCGGGGACGGGTTCTGAAACAGGGGAAACGTCGGAAAGGTCGGTTGCGGAATCGGCGAACGGCGCTCAGGCTTCGTTGTTGGTACAAGTGCCGGAGCCGGTCTACCGGGAAGTCTTGCCGATCGTGGGCGCCAGTCTGCGCGCAGGGAGGACCAAAGATTGCGCTAGAGGGGCTGGCGGAAAATGCGATGCGGCCAAGAGCGTCAAACTGCGAGGCAGGGTGAGTAACGTAGCCATCTCCCAATCGACTTCCGTAAAATAATGAATGGCAACTTCCGATATTAAAAAGGCTGACATCCAGAGGCCTGCCAACGAGTCTGGGGACCATGTAATTGCTTCTCCTTCCTTGAGAGTAGAAATGAAGTGTACTAAGTAGACTGGGCCTATTGTCTTCCTCAGAAGGCCTTTTGGGGAGCCGGGATCACTGGAAGAGGTTGTACGCCTTTGCATAGACGGGCTAGTTGCCGCAAATCACTGGTGCTGGCAGGCGTAGTGCGCCCCGTCATTGGAGTCTGTTCTTTCAATGTAGCAAACTTCTGCACCCCAAGTCATCTGTAGGCTCCGACTCGTCGAGCCACAAGTTTAATTTTGGTCCTACTATATAAACGATCTTGCTGGGCCCTAAGAGCGCGCTCTCGCCCGACTTAAGACTCCTTACTACTTCCATCTGCCAAAAGACTCAACCTGTGGGATATGGTACGCACTCCCAGTTTTATTTGTGACACAACGTGTCTGGCGGTCTCGTCTTCTCCCTAACATTACCCTGTGTGTGAACCTCTTGTCAGGTCGTTGCCGTACTCGAGCTGCAACTAGCATGGGGCTGCCCGTTCTGCGGCGCCCAGTCGCATCCAACATCGGAAGCTCGGACGGTTTGCTCGGGCTGCGTCCGCTGCTGCGCGGACGAGTCTCAGTACACTGTTCTTCTGCGCGAAGCCTGCTTCTCGTTTGGTAAGTTTGGAATTCAGGCACTGAATTGAAGTTGGAATTAATTTGTCTTGTCTTGGAGAAGGTGCTGAAACGCGTGCCTAACTCGCACTATGTAGTATGCGGGCCTGACATGCTCAAGGAATTCTCTGGTTGCAGCAAATGGTGCTATGAGTACTACTAGAGTTATTTGCCTTCTTTCGCCAATGCAAGTTGCATTTCCCTGACCTTAAGGCAGTCCAGCAAGCGGCGTGCTTTGTTACGTGACAGAGAGAAAGCCCGGCTTCCATCCGGTGTCATCATATCCATCCTTTTGACACCCCTGCACAACCATCCTAAGACCCCTACAAGCCTGGTCACATCGGACAAAGTTATAAGCGGTGGCCCTCATCTCTTGTTCAGATGACGGCGCATCGCAGTGCGAACTTTGGGCCGAGGGCTCCGCAGCGGCGGACCTCTTATGCCTGCCATACGTGCCCGCGGATCCCCTCGTATGCTCCCCAAACAAGGCCACGAACCCCATCCCTGCAAAGCAAAACTCTGCCGCGCACGCAGCTGATTTCCTCTCCACAAACAACATGGCCGGATCAGTCATAAGCTTAGGCAATAATCGCTCGCATATACAGCCCAGCCAGGAGCCCTCCTCTAGTGTGCAACTTTCAGCAAATGCAGCCTTCAAGTTTGCCTCTGCGACCGGTTTGTATAACCCCGCTCCCCACGTGACCTCGGACCCACGTCAGCAAGCGGCTGCCGTGACGTCACCGTCCGCTCACGGTGTGAAAAGGCTCCGAACCAGTGATTTAGACTCCACCCGGGAGGCCCTATTGGAGAGTGTGAAGAGGCGCCAGCGGCAGGGCAACTCCAAAGCGGCGCAGTACGAACCGGCCACCCTGTTCGGGCATTTACACCGTTGCCTGCTCGATCCTTCGACGCTGGAAGCGCTGGTTAGAAGGGAGGGTTTGGTGCGGGTTAGGGTTAACCCGGAAGGGGCTGCGGACGGGTCGTTTCAGGCGGCGCAGAGGGAGATGACTGGCGAAAGGACCGGACAGCTGTCCGGTCCGAACCGGGAGGTGCTAGAAGTTCTGTTGGGCAACGCGAGCCGCCAGAGTCAAAAGGTGCGTCGACGTCGCAATCTGCCAAGCTTGGTTGCCTTTGGTATACGTATGAAAATATTGAAAGTAAATCTCGTAGAATGTCGATCTCGTCAGACGGTCCGCCATTTCAACAAGGCCCCCTAATCTGTCCCTGGTATCGAAGCATTACGTTCTTTTGGCGCTGAAGGGATTGATGATATCGTTTCCAGACCCCTCTCTACGCTCCCTGCGCTCGTTTTCCCTATCCCTTTTCATATATCGAAAACAACCCAAACCCGCAGATTGCTGGAATTACCTAAGACAGCTTCAAAGAAGGGTTTTTGAACAGGCCTGGCCCTTTGACCCTGATATTTGAAAGTCCCATGAATGAACATCTTGGACGCCCGTTCACCCCTCTTGGCAGCTTCATTCTCACATTGACGGTTCAGGAAGATCTTTCTGTCAACTTCAACCGTCGAATCGCTGGGACCAGGGCCAAGGCGCTTTTCGAGGCTCACTTGAAAGCCATGTTTTCTCTCCACCCTTTCGATTATTTGAAACGGTCTGGAACGTCAACATTCAGCTCTCAAGAGATTACGCTAAGGACCGGACTGCCATTTCCAGATCCTGACCTGCGCCCCGTTGCCCCGGTCGTCTGCCGACCGAAGCCGCTTTCTCAGCAAGGAGCAGAGCGAGGCCTCCCGTGGCGGCCGCTGCCGCGTCTACTTGTCGGGCCAGGTTTACGAGATTTATGCGCCCGTGATAGCGGCCTACAGGTATGTGTAGACGGGTGTTAAAGGAAGTGTGGTTTTGGGAATGGTTGGGCTGTCTAAGTGTCAAGCGTCCGGGAGAGCGACGAACAGCGATGCATGTCCATATCTCCGACTTAAGCGCAAGGAGTCTACGCGTCAGATGCCAACCTGCAAGTGCGCGTGAAACTCGGAGCGCTACTACTCTCGGGAATCGCTTGCCAGAGCAGAGGAGTTTGGGTTCGATCCATCGCAGGTGCTAATTGCTGCCCGTTGACCACTGATGTCAAGGACAATTTTGGTCATAGACAGGGCCTTGAAGAGCAAGCTGCCCACTTCAACTTTATTCAAGAGGCGGAACCTTAGAAGAACATCCGCAGCTAGGGACGTGGTAGACCAGTGTAGCCGCGGAAACTGCTTACTGCTCCGGTGCAAACTAGTTTGGAGATGGAAATGACAGTCTTTGAGGCGCAATTTCGAGGATTGTTCTTACGTCGCTCGGCCTTTCCTTTGTTTGCAGGGTTTTGGTTGCGGAACCGGTGTCTGCTTCCGTTGAGGCTGAAAGCCTATGCAGGCAACTGACTTTAGATTCCGCGCTTGGTGTTTGATGAGGAGTTGAGCATCGGCGTTCATAGACGAAACCGCTGCTTTTGTATTGCTGTCGCGGCAGCCCATGTTCCAGAGTCAAAGAATTGCGCATATTACCGTTTTGTGTCGACGAGCACGCCTTTTCCGGGTATGGCAGACTTGTTCTGCTCACATAAAGCACGGTCCATTGACAAACATATTCGTTATATTCAAATTCAAGGGCTGGAGACGTTGGACGCCGACTTCCTTACAAGTATTGTTGTGCGGAAAATATTAGATAGCATCGATCCCATGCATGCGCTATGATATACTGGGGATAAATAAATATACCGACGGTTGTATCCAGTCAACCTATAGGTATGTACGGGTAATCACAATACTGATAATATCGAATGGCCTATGTAATATCATCATTGTCTTCGAACGCTTCTTGAGATCTCAAAGCTGGTGTGCAAATCAAGGGCATGGGGTAGTGATGCGGGTACAGTGGCATACTTCGCATGGACCGGACGCATTGCATAGGGGACGCGTTCCTACAACGATCTGACAACGAGTCTCGAGCTGCATGAACAACTCAACGGCATCTACACTATATACCGCGGTAGCTCCTGCTAAGCTACGGCCAACATCATGTCCACATTCTTATATTAGTACTAGCGTAAAGCTTACTACTAGGCTCTAGCTGTCGGTCGCTTCGATCTTGCAAGAACTTGCAGCCTAGTGCTGCCTAGCTGATGCAGCCTTCAAAGAGAGGTGCCTTGCATGAGAGCCTAGCTAGGATGCATAATGCAGTTCACTGGCACCTAAGACACATTTTAGAATTGTTTTGCCTAGGCCGTACATAGAATATCCATACCGGTTCTCTTAGCAAGTAACCCTTCAACTGCAGAAAGGTTGAAAAGTTTCATAGAGAAGAATCGACGTCGAAGGTGCCGAAATCAAATACCGGTACGGTAGGTACTTGGACTACCGGTATTATAGGTATATGTATTCGTCAATTGGCAGACTCCAAATGCCCGACCGGCGAGACAGCCGCATGAAACTCGGGGTCCGAGTCGACTGTCGCCGTCGGCTATAGGAAGCTAGCGCGCGCTCGCTGCGATCGGCCAAACCACTGAGCGGGGGGGTCTAAAATTTCAAAAAGCCGACTACAATAGGTAGTGCAATGAGAAGTACCCGGCTGAAGAGCCGGCCCATACCTGGAGGCGCGGGGTTGAAGCCGGGTAAAATGGCCGCAAACTTGTGATATGCCGACTGGAAGCCTGGGTACCCGGCTTCGAGCCTCGAGCCGACCCCGTCAATATTTATGCCGACCCCTGATCGCGGGACTCTTGTGACTTGTCACTTGAAAGTTGAAATTCCAGATAATCAGTACCGTACAGCCGGTAATTTTGAAGTAAGTTCGTCATAGGTACCCGTAGTCCAAGGTAATGATTCCGAAAAGTTAAATAATTATCTGTATTCGGAAAGTCACAAATTCGGATTTCCCGTTCGGAAAGTGGGAATTCGGAAAGGTTAAAATAATTCTGGAATGGTCCTCGGAAGCCCCAAAATGGCCAAAACAGCCTCTAAAATCCTCTTCCAAGTGTGAACATAGGGCATTCGAATTTTGTCGGAATCAGCATATATAAATCCGCTTTCCTGGTCGGATTGTCGGAAAATAACTCGAACTAAAATCGTTCGGGTTGGACTACGGGTAAATCCAGATGGTGAAGCCAGATGGCGGCTCAGCCTGCTTTTCATCAGGACGGGTCAGCAATGGAGCCGCCTTTGATTGAAAGCGACGTCCAGGCGCTAGGAGGGAATGCTGCAGATGTTAAGAGCATCAGCCGGCCGGAAGTCTTGAAAGAAAATGTCAAGACGTTCTTCGATGAGAGCAAGGGCAAGGTAGACCAGGGCTTGTCAAGGATCTTCACGACCTTCTCCATTTATGGGACCTTGTGCACATTCTGCTTCGCCTTCTTCTACAGCAGCAAGCTTTTTGAGAACAAGAACTGTTGTATCCCTTCCGTGAGTTGGAGTCCTGACCGGAATGAGTGCTGCACCAAGCTCTTGACTGACGTCCAGCCATCTTGCTGCAACAGCCCAAGGCTAGGGGACCAATTGACACATTGTCAAATCTCCCCTGAAGGGGGATTCAAAAGCCTGGCGTGCAAGCGAAGAGGTCAACCGGTCTCTGTCCTTATCAATACAGACTTTTTCAATGAGAGCTCTCTGAGGGGCTTAATGCCTGAGGTGGCGGCACGAAGGGCAGCCATGAATCTGCTAGGAAACTGTACTACAGGCGCAAACATCCAGACTTACCAGCAATTATTAGTTGCAATCACTTTTGCGCTCGTGTCAGTAGGCTCTGCGCTTCTCACATTTGCCGCTTCTCAAGGGCAGGCTGTGGCTATTGCCGTAAGGGAGTTGGCAATATACAGAGCCTACCTTCAGGGAGAGAACATCAAAAGCCTGCAACAAATATTTATGGATACAACGATAAGTGCCCGAGCCAAAAAGCGCAGGAGGCAGTACTTGCAATGGACTTGGCGCTTTTACTCTCAGCTCTTAGTCAACGCCCTAACTGAGGCACCCTTATCTTTGATAAGCTTGTTTGTCCTCCTTCTAACCATTGCTATGGTGGGGGCAACTTGGTCAGCATGCGCAGAATGCTTTTGCAAAATGCGCTTGCCACACGCCGGATCTGTTATCCGCACAGTCCCTCTCCCTTTCCTGGGTGTCATTTCCATATCTGTGGCACAGACTATTTGGGGAGTACAGCGTGAGTTTACGAGGTTCAGAAAGCTTCAAGAAGGATTGCTGGACCTAGCTCAAAAGTCAGAAGATGACATTGCCAAAAAGACTGACAAGGAAGCGGTAGCAAAGGACATTGCCTGGTCGTTGAGGGTGTTGGCTAACAGACCGATGGAGGGGATAGGCAATGATGGTTTGCTAGGAAGCCCGCCCCCGACCTGAGGCCAGACCTTCAAGACCCTGGAATCAGAAGGTTGAGCAGTTTGGAACATCAATGGGCACATGATGACATTGAGGTGGGTTCTGTTGACAGTCTATGGAATCATATCTTTGATAATAGATGCCATTGAAACTATAGTCATGTACTTTTCAGTCCTATCCAAAAGAATTTACAGAGTAGTGGGTGCTTGGAGTACTCATGGATCCCAGGCTTTGCTTCGAAAATATAATGCACTTGCAAGATTTGCAGTAACTTTCAATCTGGTTGGTTTGGGTTTACAAAACTCTACCAACCAAGGCCTTATCTTCTTTCCAGATTGTTTGGAAATGATTTGATGCCGCATGTCACCGCTGCCATGCTGATACTTGAGACTGCTTTCAGAGAAGAATGACCCACAATAGCAATGCACAGGTTGTGATATAGTCCCGATATATTTCTTAAGGGAAGTGTCTCCTACACCAGAAGCATGCGAGCGAATGAGAATTGTTTCGTGCCAGACTCGCCTTCGACGTTCATTTTGCAGGTTGATAAGTAACTAACAAATGCAGTCTTTTGCATCTTGATCACTACAGTCAGCAACTTTAAGAGCAAATTTAGAAGCAATGAGCAGCTTCAACTACTCGGAGAGACACGGTGAGCCGGAGTTTGAGGACAGTACCAGGAGTCTGCTGAGGTAACGCCCCTGCTCCGGCGACCTCGGAAGCCTAACGCCCCCCACCTGGCAAACATAGAGGAGGCTCCAAAAGCACAACCAGTGGTGAAGTTGCAAAGCAGTCGGGCGGTAAGGCTAACTGAATCCCTCAACTCCATGGCAATACCCTCAGGAAGTAGTCATATGGACATTATGAGCAAACAGGTAAAGGCTCAGGATTGCCTGCCCGTATCAATCTTCTGTCTGGGCTACCAGCGTCCAGCTTTGGTTGCAAAGGGAGGCATTTTCGTGTGGGCTGGGTTTTTACAAGGTGTTGTTTTCTCGTTGCTATCAACATACACAACTAAAAATATATTATTTGATCAGCATTCTGTCAGATGGGCTTACTTACATACTCAAGCCTACTGCTTTAATTTGATCCTTCAAAGTAAAATCTCTGACGGGCCGTGTCCTGGATCTCCCCTAGATCGATCTGCTCAATCACTAAAATCTGAAGTCACTGGTTTGCTCGATTCTGAATGTCCTTATCTTTACTTGCAAAGCAGATACGAGTATGATCCAGCAACCCTTTTTAGTATCGAGTCAACCAGCTTGGCACTTGATACTTGCATACGAGACGGGGGAAATTCAAGTACTTGTATATTAACGATCTTCAATCTCTTGTGTCAATCTCACCAGTTTCCCTTTGGAACTTTGTGTCTTCTGCAGACCAGAAGTGCACCGTCACATACTCCAGATCGGATGCCCCAATCACTTGCACGAACAAGGAGCCTCGGCTTGCTGGTAAGAGTGTTTTGCGTTTGAAGCATTAAGTGCTTGGTGAAGCGGGAAGTTTCATTGACATGGTATTATTGTCGAGAAAGCTCTTCAGATCAATGACCACCAAACCAACGAGGGCTCTGTTTGATGTAAGATGCAAATTCCTCTATTCCTGCCTTCCATGGCAACACGCTACGAAGTTAGCCTGCCTTAGACGAGGTGCATAAGATTCGCCTGTGCAAAGACGCCAGAGCATACTGTTCAATGCGAGAACCGGCTCAAGCGTAGAGCCTGCCTTGCGCTGGCCGTGTGGCATGATCGTTGCAAGCCCAGAGGTGGCCTTTGTGTCTTGTGACAGCCTTTGGACCGCACACATCCTTTGTACGGCTTTCTTCCGTCAAGTTAGTGACGAACTCGTGGTTGACATGTGGTGTCTGGCAGTGCCAAATTAACGGTTTTGGTGCTAGAGAAGTGGCTACGATGGCATTCAGAGTCCTTCGTCCGATTCTCGACCGTTTCAAACGTAGCTCCGACAGTTGAAGATAACGGGTCACGGTCGCTCTCGTTTTGCAGCCGCCATTACCGGGCAAGGCCAGCAACAAGCACCAGGAGCATCAGGAATAACTGGCCGCTTGGTGTCAGTGGTAGAAAATCATGTAGCCTAAGTTGATGAATCGACTGAACAGCGCCAGACAGCGTCATGGCGGGGCCTAGCTTTTCTGCGTGTATATTTGTGAATTTTGGTAGATGTCTTGCGAAGTTAAATAGCTACTATTGATCCGTTGCTAAATGCTAAGACCTTAATAACCCACGATTTGAATCTAGGTCGACCGCAAAGGCAAACTTAGTGAGTCGTCCCACGTACGCAACTATTCGTGCTTGCTGTTGACACAGCGACCTTCCCAGCATAGTGACAGCTTTGAAAATTTGATCGAGATGAAACTCTGTCCACTCAGAAGTCATTTGTCACGGGGCGCGGCTCGCGAGCAAAGTTATCATGACAGTGACAATCATGCAATCAGCGGGCTGCAAGATTTTCAAATTTATGTGGGAGTTACAAATATGTTGAGTTATGTGATAAAAGGGAGTTACAGATATGTTGAGTTGTGTGATTAATCACATAACTCAACATATCGATGTAATCGGGTCAATTGAGTCGTGCTGGGGGCCGGGACGCCGGGGTGGGCTGGGCCGGGCTTTGGGGTGTAGCCGCGCCGGATGCCATGATCGGGTACAGGTGTGGAGCACAGTGTCGATCACATGTTCCGATAGAATTCTGGTTTTTAGCACATCAGTGATCGGATTGACGGTGTCATGGCTCGCGGGCCCGGAATTACCATGTACATGATCCAATCAAAGAGCAGGCTCAACCGCGGCCGTCTCACTGTCCGGTCACCTGATCAACCTAGTACGCAAACTGTAATTACTTAATGGTGTTCGGGCCATGCACGTGTATAACTGCTCCTTGCCCGCACGTACATATCAAATTCATGATGCTTGCATGCACTGGGGCTGATTCCAATGTTTGCAGCTTGATCATGTGCGACAATACCAACCATGCAGGCCAAGCCTGCGGCCACGGGGTGGCAACTCCAGTTTTAAAATAGAGAGCGTTTTTATTTTGCCTTCATCCAAAACGACGGAAAACCAAATGCATCCAATGTTTTGTTTCTGACCATCGTATAGCCCTTCGTCTATAGTTTCTAAAACACTACTCGTTTTGAAATTTGGCCCCCCCCACAAAAAGTAAAACGGTTTTAAAACATTTAAAAACGCCAAAATCTTAATACATGTATCTGCGGGTTAGGCGGACTTCAAAATAGCCCGTTTTATAAAACAAACAAAACAGCAAAACGTTTTTAAACGCCTATAAAGTGTATTTAAACAAGGAAAGGCGACAACCCGAGGCCCTTCTGAGGCATGTCCTGGGTTTGGATTTCCGCGGTGGAAGCAGTTTCCGCGTGTTTCCGCAAAGCTTCCGCGGCTCTTCCGCGCTGCTTCTGCAGTTGGTCCGCGCTTCCGCATACTTTCCACTATGCTTCCGCTGTCTTCGCCGCGTATATGGCCCTCATGTTTCTAGGGTACCATATAGCTTTTGTATGCACTTCATACTTCCGCGAACTAGATCCGCATAGAGTTCCGCACGCTTCCGCAAGCATCCAAGTGCTTCCGCAAGCATCCGCGCATTCCGCGTCTATCCGGGCCTTTCCAATCCGCATAGGCTTCGCAAGGTTTCTACAAGCTTTCGCAATCTTCCGCATCTTTCCGCAAATTCCCGCGCTCTTCCGCAATAGCTTCCGCGCTTTCCGCAAACATTCCCGCGACGCTTCCGCGGTGGAAATCCGAGCCCAGGACATGCCTCTTTTGGCCTGTTTTGTCACCCTAATATACATAAAAGTGCATGGATGCGGCATACGAGCTCTTGACAAGCCGACAGCCGCCATAAAAACAAGGAAATTTCTACAAATTGGACTTTTCATGCCGTTTTAAAACTGTTTTAAAACGTTTTAAAAGGCAGTTTTAAAGTTTCAAAACGGCCAAACCCCTTGTTTTAATCCGCAGATACCATGTTTTGAAACTGGGAGTTGCCACCCCGGGCCTGCGGCGCTTCGATTGCGAGTCGCTGCAGTCATTGAACAGGTCAATAGTCGGAGCTAGCTGTATGAGGCCCCCATGCCCTAAGCAACGTATGAGAGTAATCGTTTGTATGCGCTTGAATCCGTTTTCGACTGGAAGCCTCACTGTCATGGCCTAGAGCCGGGGTCGGAGCACACCATTGGAAATATGGGCCTGCGCAGCTCTCTGTCGCGCTGCCATACTAACTTGGTCACACGTATTCGCATAACATGCCATGATGCGCGCGGCACTCGAGAGTAGACGATAACACACATACATTATATGTGGCCTGCAATCCCGGTTGGAAGAACCATAGGATTTGAATCATTACAGTCGAATTCAGCAAGAAACGTTCTTCCCTGCCTTCCGAATCGAAGTCTAAGAAAACAAACACATGATTTGTTTTAGTAGTCCCTTTCTGACCAATTCCTTACCTTGAACGATCTGTCCAAAACAGGGGTCCGGTATCCTCAGACCGTAAATTGCTGCCTGTAAGTCGCTAGAAGCGTCTACCTCCATGCCTATCGCCGCCTCGGCCAATAACCGTGCACGTAGTACCCAGACTTCCACTTGTACAACGCCACAAACTGAGTTACCACCCAGAATCCTAGGAACAGGCAGATTGCCGACCAGATGCGCTGCGACGACTTGCTCTTCAAGCGCGGCACAACATACGTCATGATGAACAGCAGGAGGCTCGTCACCAGGTAGAACAGCCCGGCGTAAAAGCCCTCCCCCCCGAGCTGGTACCCCTGCCCCTGGTGGAAAAACACGGGCTTCCCGCGCTCGTCGGCGGTCGCCCAAGGGATCCCTCTGATGATATTATACATGCCTCCGCTGACGGAGAAGTAGTACACCCCAATTGCGGCAATGGCCCAGAGCTTTGGCTCTTGAACGGCGGGGAGCGAGAGCACTTTGTAACCGATGTAGGGCCCGAGAAGAAGGACGGCAGCCAGGATGAGGGACACCTGGAGCTTCGAGAGCGGGGGTGGCCGCACGATCTCGCCGACCTTGAGCTTGGTGCGCGCCTCGACGAAGCTGGCGATGCCCTCCGCGGTGCGGGGGAATGAGTTCAGGTCAAACGTCTGCAGAGAAGGGACAACTGAGAGATCAGTCTGCAATCATTAAGACGGATGTCCAGCCTGAAAAGTTCATCTGGAATGGCAGCGCTTGCTTGGTGTTCTGCTCGATGTGGATGGAAACACGTTTGCGTGTACGAAGGGATCGATCCTAGAAGGAGTGTAAGAGCAGGATGTCGGTGCAGAAAAACCAGGTTTTAAAAAACAAAACATCAAGTGCAAGATACTTGGTTGTGTGATGGATCAAATTGACTGTCTGCATAAGTGCAAAAGCAAAGGCGCAAGGAGGGGATTTAGGGGGCTTAATTGAAGTGTCACCCGCTGTCAACGAGAGTCCGATCGGAGCCAGTATACACCTTGTTTAGACGAAGAAGCTGACTAGAGTTGCATGAGTGGAGGACAAAAAGCAATCGAGGCCCCCCTGACAATGAGACTGAGTGGAGCATCATGGTGGACCACAGCGCCTTGCCCCACTGCAACATTGTGTGATTCCAGAGTCTTCATAAATGACTCCTTGCTTGCAAATTGGATCAACAGGAAGCATCTTAAAGCAAAAGCTTTGCATTGCACGCAGGCCTCAATCAGGACAAGCCTGAGGCTATGCGGAATAAAAGAGTCGCAAACGAGAGGAGCTGGAAACGTCACTGGTCGCACCACCATTTTACTAGCAGTTATTGATAGTACTTGCTCCGCTGCAACTTTGTACTGAGCTGCTTCTCAACAGCATTTGATGATCTAAACTTTCATGACGATTGCTTCTGATCATTAATTGCTTTAGGTTAAAGTAAACCTTGCTTTCATTTGAAAAGTATCTGTCGAAGGCGATCCTTCTGTGCTTCCACTGTAGCTACTTATCAAAGCACTGCCACAAAGTTTCAAAGGCAGAGGGCTTTTGTTACACGCCGTCATCTGAAACATCGGCGTTGTCTCAGCGAGCGCTCTTTGACCATTCTTGAAGCATCTGCCATTTAGGAGAGCAATTGTACAAAGGCAGACAGTATAGACAGAGCGGAAAAACCAATCCAATGGTCTCTTACTGACTGCTCAACATTACGCTTGTCTCAAGCAGTTCTGTCCTGAGCGTGCGTAGCGTCAGATGCCACCGCCCAGACTGATATGAACAATGGTTGCGCAGTTGCATTGCTAAGCGCTGCCACACACCAGAGGTGGTATGAGAATGCGCCGCATTACCTGATTACTAGGATTGGGAATGGAAGCCTTTCAATCTCTAGGAAGTCGTCATTCTTGATTGGCTCACAAATGTAGGTGGCCAATCACTAGCACTCAAAATTCAATTAGCACTTAGTGAACTTACATTCCCCAGGTTCTCAAGGGAAAAACTCAGCGGTAGCAGAAGGCATCTATGAGATCAGGATCCCTCACATCCTCTCCGGCGCTGCCATCTCCGACCGACGGGAACCGCCTGATGTGCGGCACCGCATTCACCCCCGTATCAGCAAACACATTCGGGCTCTCTGAGAACTCCACGTCTGCGAAGAAGACCAGGAGCTCTTCTGGCGTCCCCTTATGCGTCTTCTGATAACTCTGTGCGACTAGGCCAAAGTCCTTCCGCAGAGCAGGCATCCCCAACTCCGGCTTGTCTGCAACCTGTTTTGCTGCGTAGAAGAGCACCAACGAGTATCCTCGGGGCTCGGAGCCGCGCACATATCGATCGAAGCTGTCCTCCTTGAAATGAATCACTCCATCGCGCGAGCCCTGCTGCAGATCCAGCAGGTCTTCAGCGCGCTCGTTGAAAGCGAGAGCTGCTGGAGGGAGAAGGAGCAGCAGCGCCAGGGCGGCAGCCAGGCGCACCAGGAGCGCCATTTCCCCTTCCCTTGACGCTCGATTTGATTCCCGATTCAATTCCAACTTCGTACTTCAGCCTTCAGGTCCAGAACTCCAGATCAAGGCAGAACTTGAAGGAAGGCACGAGTTCTGGGACACAGAATACTCTGAGACGCCGTCCAGCATAAAGTGGGGGTAACGCTGCTAGGCGCTTATGTGCCAAGTTACATTGCAAAGCACCTCCGTAATATCCGCTTGATGAATAAGCACGATCTTGGTTCACGAGCATGGATTTGCTGTGCATGTGCTGATGCTCAGGGTGATTTCGAGGCAAGTAGCATTGCAATCTGCTCTTTGAACCACCTTGGCGCTTCCCCTTGTCCCATCAACGCAGTGCCCAGTGGCTTGGTTTGGAGCCATTGAGCACAATGGCCAGCGGCGCGACTAGTGCTTAGCTTAACCTTGAGGTGGAAAGCTTTCTTAGCTAGAGGCCCAATTGGTCCTTTCATTGCTGAACGATGGTGGCTGCGAAGGCAGCATTGAATTGACTGTAGAACAGCTGAAAGCTTCATCGGAGCTCAGCATTGCTTCCATAGTCTTACAATCATGCTGACTGAAGAATCTGATGGGTTTGTCTCGTAGAACCGATCGGTGCAGATGACTCCAAAGCAAGGCGTATTTCACGCGCCTTTATTCACAAGGCTTTAGGGTTCAGCCGATTAAGAAAGAAAGGATAGATTTGGCCGCAACCTAGAATGCAGGAGCGTGCAAAGTTTTGGAACCAACACTGCACATTTTAGAAAAATTGGGGCATGGGGCGCCCTCCAGTCTATAATATTCTATCAGATTAGACAGCAGAAGCACCAGTGTTCAATTAGTGCTTGTTCAAGATGGCCGCAACTCAGCCAGGCGCCACCGCCATGTGCTGGGGCTGCGGTTTAGAAGTCGCCCTTCCAGGCCCTACAGCCACTTTCAAATGCGGTTGGTGTGGGGCGATCACTTTGGAGAGGCAACAGCCTAGGAGTGATCCACGCTGCGTAAAGTGGTTCTGGCTGCGGGACCTGGCGACGTCATCGGCGCTGGTGCTTTTGATACTCTTGATCATCGGTGAGGAACGGCCCTTGCCAGAGTTCTACTTGGCTGTGCATTGGTGTGCATGGGTGACATTTATGGCACATTTGGTGATTTTTCCAGAAGTTGCCAAGTGTGACAAACCACTCGAAACTCGGTTCACAACACTTTCAAGCCTCTGACAGTCTCATTGAAGTGGTTGTCATTGCAAAAGAAAGGCAGAAGACCAAGCGGTCGAGAGAGCAGGAGACAGATGACAGTTCACTAACATTCACTACATTCGGCTCTGAGCAATTCTTCCATCCTGGAGTGATGTCACGACAAAGATTCTGGGTTTGATATGTTTCAGAGTCGATGTACATCTGCAGCCTCCCCGTCCTATACACGTTGTAGTGTTCAACAACAAAGCACAGTTGACACACAACTTACACTGCCCATTCTGCCCCTCACAGGTGGAGGTGTCGCAGCGATCTTCCCAGTCGTCTTCCCTTCCTTCTCCACCCCCACCTTCTACCTTCACTCTGCCATTGTCTGCCTCGTCACCTTCAACATCTTTTTCAACTTTTGGGCGGCTGCCAAGGGATCCCCCGGAACGGTGCCCCCGCTCCCGTTCGGTTCCGCCAGCCTGGCGCCCCAGGGGGCCTTGGACGACTGCACCTTCTGTGTTCAGTGAGCCCCTAAAGGCGTGGCTCTCAATGGTAGAACAAGTGATGATGCCTGCACGAGCGCTTCTTGTATCTCGGTAGATTTTCGGAACGTGATTCTATGTTGTGTCCAGCTATTTGGTCGTAGTTCACATCTGAACCCCGAGCTTTTGAAAGTCATCGTTAGGACGAAGTGAATGTCCAGATTCATAGTAATCTGACGATACAGCAGCGTTCGAAGCATATCGTCAACATCAGGATCTGGAGTTTCCTATTCCTGCTGGTTCGTGGCTTGCAGAGGCCCGTCCATCTTTCGCTGCATTCTGCTATTAGAGTACAATAGGCTGAATCGTTGAAGGCCGGAGTCAAAGTGTCGAAGTGGACCATCCTTCCAACCAGCATTCTTGTGAGTTAACCTTCGAAACGAGTTCTTTTCAAATGCGGACCGATTCCCATCCAAGTTGCTCTTCCTGCTTCTGTGCAGGTGTGAGCAGCCGAAGCCGAGCAGGGCGCACCATTGCCGGGCGTGCAGAGCATGCGTCATGGGGATGGACCATCACTGTCCGTTCGTAAGTGATCTTCATCGACTATTCCTTTTTCCTCCTCTTTGACGCTTTCCTCCGAAGTGCAGCGTCAAAAAGCGACATAAAGAGCTGCCCTCACTTTTGTCTCAAACGAGTCTGACGTAAATGCATTTGATTCTTATTCAGGTGCGAGACCATGTTAGCCCCTTCCCGCGCATTATTGAAGCTTATGGGCGTAGCTTTTGAATCTGCTCTGAGCCCTTCCTTTTGGAACGGGGAACGAACCCCGTGGTCGATACCTCGAAAATCTCTCCCTAAAAGGTCTGTTGCCGCCAGTTAGTAGCTCCGCTTTGCTGCGGAGTTCCTGACTCGTAGTTTCGAGATCTGCTAACGAGCAGATCAGGGCTTTGAACCTTCACAGGACTGGAATCGTCCGTGTAGGCCTCAAAATGACGACGGAAAGGGGCTTTCCGAATGATCTAACAACCATAACCTCTGTCTTTGCAGATAGCGAATTGCGTGGGCGCCGACAACCAGCGCGCCTTCATGCTGCTGCTCCTGTACGCTATCCTCGGCTGCACATACGCAATGTGCATGGGCACGTGGGCCCTGTACAAACTGCTGCCAGAACTGACGGCCGTCTCACGCGCTGGCAGGGAGCTGTGGAGCGGCTTCCCGGACAAGATCCCGACGATCAGGGACGTTCTAGGGCTGCTTTTGCTGGTTCGAGTCCGGGTTAGCGTCCGGCTAGTTGCTTCGTTCTACCTCACGTTCATGAGCTTTGGAGTGGTTATTGGGGCGGGATTCCTACTGAAGCAGCAATTAGAGGGAATCTTCTTGGGCGAGACCGCAATTGATGTGATGCGAAGGGTCCCGGTGGTTGTTACCGGGGACATCGTTCCGGGAAGAGTGGTCGAGAGCACTTGGGCGGGGAGGCTTAGAAAGTTGGACCGGGTACTCGGTAAGGGTCGGGGCGGGCGGTGGTGGCACTGGCTGTTGCCTCGGTGGCCTCGAACCGGGCAATTTTCGGAACACAAGAAGGCCGGGTGAGGTGTCTGTCACCCGTTTAAAATCTTAGCATTCACGGCTCGTTTTGCAACAGAAATACTGTGTATTTCGTCCACTTATAGTGATCGACATTCATCTGGTTGATTGGCTATTCTGTTGTTAACAGAGATGAGGTCTCATGAGATGCGTGCACTTGTCTGGGTACAATGTCCTTAGTCAGCAAGCGAGGGTACGGTTCTTCAAAATCTTTTTTTCCATGCTGCACGATTCTTGCGAGTTCGATACTTGCACGGACAGCTTTCTGGTCGTTTCGAGGCCTGAGACTGTGGCTAGCATGTAAACCTTAGTTGTTTCGAGTCACAAGCAGATTATTGACGGTGAAAAGCGCCAAGTGATTTGACTTACCATATTCAAGATCGAAAAGAGAATAACAGTGTCTGAATTGTGAGATCGACGTTCATCCGAAAGGAGGCCATTGGCGCGCGGCACTACATCTGATAATCCTACTAGCGTAATGAAAGGCTTCATTCAGAATTCCGTCTATTCGGAAACGAGCTATTGGCCATACGACCGTCCAATGGGCGGGTGCGGCCAGCGCCGCTTCACCGTCGTCCAATCATGCACCAAGTGCGGCCCGCCGCGCGCAAAGCTTGCGCGTCGCGGCCGCGATGTAATTTAACGGTACAGTACAAGTTAGCAGGTACGAACCGGCAGTTGAACTTTGATACCCGCTTTCACCTGCGTCATCCGATGATCTTACCGACGGCTGCGATGTCGTTTCATGATTATGCGCGCTCCCGGGGCGAGTCCGAGCCTGCAATGACAATGCCTACTTAGCCATACAGCATTGGTAGGTACCTAGTGTGTACCGTAGAGACATTCCTAATTCGCACTAAATTAATTATTTTTAGGCCTTGCGAAAATTGAAAAACTAAGTATCGACTTAAGTGTGAAAACGCGAAACGAAAATAAATCCTCTGGCAGCCCAAAAAATGGCAAAACCAAGGCAAAAAAGCCAAAAACGAAAATTTTAATAAAGTCGACGATGCTGGTACGAAATGACAAAACCTTCAAAAATAAATATTCGCACCAAGGTGGTGCGAATTAGGAGTGTCTCTAGTATCTACGGTATTAGTACTTTTTTAGATAGGTACAACCGTACAATTGAAGGCTCTGCGTACTGAAACTAACAGTGGACAGTAGGTACCCCAAGCTAAGTACTTACGGTATGTACCTACCTAGTAGTCGCTAAGAGCTCGCGTGGAGGCGTTTGGAGCTCGGGCCTGAGTGCAGTTAGCGTTTTCCTCCACCTGGCTCTTGTCGTGAGCTTCGTTTCTAGTGACTGGGTCGCTTGTGAGAAGGTCATGCGGGTCAACTTCATCATGCTGTTCAAGTTCTCAGTTAAAGCCTGGTCAGAAGCAACTTGTTGCGAATGTGAGGCAGGAAAAAAAAGGGAGCCTTCAATTGAATGAGCTCTAGAGAGATTTGAAAGGAGCCACCTGTCTAGCTCCTGAACAGATTTTGATTCTGACCCTGACTTCCTAGAATGCTTTTATCCAGATATTCTGAGCTCTTGAAGAGCTAGTCAAGGAGCAAACTAGATTACAGGATTATGGTGGCATGCAGCTAGAGTAAGCAACAAGGACCAATTGAGAGCATCCAAGACAAGAGGTGGAGAAATTGTGCATGAGCTCTTTTTGAAGTCACTGTAAAGCTAGTCAGCTCTAGCTCAGACGAGCTCTGCAAAGCTGCACGCTACGTTGTGTAACATTTACCCTGACTACTTCTTTTCGCCCCATACCACTCACTTATCACCACCCTGAGATGGTTGCTACCTGCAATCCAATCTGGGGCCTGGAAATATGAGGCCTTGTCCAGGGTTATTTCTGTGGCTGGTCGTTGTGATAACACTGAGCGCTTTGCAAGCAGTCCGCGGACAGGGCCTCGTGCTTCCGGGCACTAACTTGTGCCTATTCACTGACGAGGATACCTGCCAAAAGTCGCAGCAGTGCAGCTGGGTAACAGAGTGCGAGCCTTTGAACGGTGAGTCGCTTTACAACCACTATGCCAATCACACTTTATAACCGCCAAGCGTCAAGTGTTTCCTGTCTGTAACCAATCTTGCCACCTACGCATTATTGCAGAAGAGAGAACACCTGGACTGACGTGGATATTGTCTGCATTTTTTATTTGCCTTTTCTTTATGGACCTGTTTTCAGAGCAGAATGCTTGGAGAAGTATGGGCCAACCTTTAAAAACTCTGGCGTATCTCATGTGAACATGATGGTGGTGTCTTAGAAAGCTATCAGGAGGTAAATGCGGCTGCAATGACAGAGGTAATTTTCAGCAAAGTGGTGCACTGACCATGTGATGCCACTGCTGATGAACTCTTCTGAATCAAAATCGCTGCTGAGTCAACCACCACCCTTTTGTCCAAGCTGGAAAAACTACTACCTTCAGCACAGTGCAAAAATGCGGAGCGCAGCAGCGATCCAAAATTTTAAAGATTCGCCCGATTATAATCACACTACACAGTACACTAGGGTATCAACAATGTATCAGCTCAGGTAACAGGTACTCTTCGTGAATCACTGCTACAAGCACTGTCAACCACCAATGTCATGATCGAAACCTTCTGCAAGAATTCTACTCTTGGTGTGAATGCCCTCCTGCTTTTGCAGATCCCTGCAAGTCATACTCGAACAAGGGCTCGTGCAACCTGTGCCATGGATGTGTCTGGGACCAGTTTACACACCCGACCATCGGCAACTTCTCGTACGGCACATGCTCAAGCAGTGAGTCGCAAATCTCTTCGGCCCTTTTCTGAAGCGACACCCGAATTCACTACAATGCTTCTTTGTTGCGAAACAGCCATCTTTTCTTTGGTGCATTTGCGAGAACGTTGCTGAGCGGCTGTGCAATGAAGAACGTAGACGCCCTCAACACAACAACCTTTCGAGTGCCTTCCGCTTTTTCGATTATTAGGGAAGTATAGTCAGTTTGTTGAAGTCTTTTCAACTTGATCAACTTATTCATGTAACAGTGTGACTTCCCACGTCTTCCAAAAGTGGCAGTTTGTTTAAGAAACTGTTTAAGCTCTATATTCCTGGGTCGCGCAGTTAGCTGCCAGCTCCCCAGCTACGGCGACCGCTCGACGCTCGCGTGCCTCGCTCTGGGGGGCAAGGACGGCGCGTGCCACATGACCGGTAAATGCGTGTACAACGGCTGTTCGGACGCGTCGGACCAGTGCTGCGGAGTGGACAACTCCGGACGGTGCGGCGGCATCCCAAATTGTAACTGGGAGTCGCTCTGCGTGTTGCGAAATGGTATGCGATCCTCTCGTGGTGCGAACCTGATGTTTTGGGATTTCCTATGTTTTGATCGTCCCCAATCTTGCAGCCGACGGCGTGGTGCGTTCGTCTTTCGTCAGAGCCCCTGATCCTTCTTGAAGCCTCGAGTGTGCAATCTTTCAGAAGTTAAGGACGGAGCCACCTCCTAAGGGGAAGACTTCCTTCACAATCGTCTTCTTACCTACACTTCAAAGTATCTTCTCTTTTACAATCCATTGCTTTTGAAGCGTAGACAGGCACATTAAAGCATTCCTGAGACTATTCGATTCCCGCTACCAGGCTTCGTGTTCTGGTCACATAAATCGTCCCGATCCTCAGAGCTGTGCCTCTCCTCAACTGTGCAAACGCTCTTCACTGATAGGAATCTCGGATTCTGCCCAATATCGCAAACCACCGGTCTCTAGAGTTTATCCAAGCTCTCGCGTCCCAAAACCTTCGTTCTTCAAAGTGCGCTGATAAAGCACGGGCACATGAAACACGAACATACGTCCGAAACGTCACTTGGACGTAGTATCGGAGGAACCTTTGACGTTTTTGGGTCAGACAGAAGCAGTCAGCGTCTTTGACACTCGCAGACACTTGCGCCGGAGTAGTGAGCCAGACCCAGTGCGACAACACGATTGGGTGTCAATGGCGGAACAGCGCCGGGCACGGCGCAGACTCGGGCTACTGCTTCAACGGTAAGGCTTCCTATAGAATGACCCTCAAATTATACTCCTTTTTTTATTCGTTGCCTTCGCTCGTTGGCTTAACAACTGCCTGCTAAGATGCTGACAGAGCTTTTCATCTTCCATTTTCTGTTCTTTCTTCGTGTTTTTGTGTACCGACGACGTGCACTTGTGTATTGACCTATCGTTATGAATGTATTTTTGAGAACAAAGTTGAGTTCACGAAAGTTCAGGCTTGTCAGACTCCGATGCTTGCTGCTTATAATGTTCTGGTGTCGCTTCTGACGTCACATTTTACTCGTCGGGCTGATTGGATGACCTCACGAGACGGGAACAAGTGAGGGTCAAAACTTCACGGTTTGCTTAACCCGCAGTTGCAAATCCGTGCGGCATCGAGCGGCGCGACCCGACCGCGTGCGCCGCGGTGGCTGACGTCAGCGGCGCGCCGCTGTGCCGCTCAGAGTACTTTTGCAACAGTAACCGGTGCAACCACGCCTTCGAATGCTGCACCGTCGATCAGCCCGCCACGTGTAACGCGGTGACGAACGGGACGTGCTACTGGAAGTCGTACTGCCTCGAAGTGTGGGGTGAGAGAAATGTTTCGATCGTTGTTCTCTGAATCTCCGGAGATATTTTGGCTAAAAGTAATCCCCTGGCTAGCTGAGAGGACTGATAGGTGTCGCGAGATCTGGCGAGCTTGGATGTTTTGAAAGAACACTTAGGAGTGCCCAACGGCGATTTTGAATGCTATGGCTCGCTCGTATTTCCACTGCTTGATTCGCCGGAAGCAAAACGTCTTCCGGTCTACACCCTTCAGAACGTCCGAAAGGCAGGACCATTTGGGGAGGCAGCAATGCAAAGGAGACACTTCCGGTCGATCTCCCAGCTACTTGGAACAACCACATATAAACAACCAAAAAGGTCGTTGCAAACACCTAATAGTACTAGTAAGCCAGATACATTACAAAAGACGCTGACGTTTGCCTTTCTCAGACCCGTGCTGGGCCCACGACCGGACGAGCTGCTCCCAGACTGCCACGTGTCACTGGCAGCTGAGCCACGTCAACGCCACTCTCGGCGGCGTCTGCGCGAGCGGTGAGGATACACGCAGTCCTCTGACGTCACCTTTTCGTTCAGCCCTCTTTGCAGGAGGCCCCTTTCGAGTAACGAGTATCCGTCATTGATTGGTTGAGAGCATTATTTTGTCTGTGGTCGACTGGCATGTGATACCGCCTCGTTCTTGCCGACCGATAGAGAAAGTGGTGCGCGATAAGCAGGGAGAAGGGCGTCTTTTTGCCGCGCCATGCTTTTATTGATCAGCGGCATCATTCTAAACCCCTAAAACCCTAAAAAAGTTTCTTATCATTCTGATCCATTTCCGGGGAGATGTTGAGAAGCGAGTCAGGACAACAAATCTAGATTCTTGGACTTATGCGGTGTAGGCCTCTGCAATCTGTCTAGCGCAGTGCCCTGGCTTTCACTGCTTTTAATCGCCACTCCTCCCCCGGTTTGAATAGGCGGAATCTTGATCTCAATCTCCGGCCTCTGTAGTGTCTCCGATTTGCCCGCTCGAGCTGGACGACCTGGCCCAGTGCAACGCCCTGGTTGATCCACGGTGCTCAATCGCTTTGTCTCCTCCTTCTCCCCTTCATTCCTTTACAATAAATCTACCTAACAAATCAGAAGACCTAAACGACTTTAAATCCTCGTCTCTGCAGTGTCCGCGGTTTGCCCTTTGGAGTTGGACGACCCGGCTCAGTGCAACGCCCTGGTTGATCCGTCCACCGGGCGCCAGATGTGCCGGTCTCAGGGGGCGTGCAACCACGACGAATGCTACGAGGGGGACAAGTGCTGCGGCGTCCACGATGAGGACACGTGTACAGCCAGGGGGAGCTGTGACTGGAACCCGTACTGCGAGCTGATCATTGGTGAGGGCTTACTTTTAGCATGCAACTACAAAGCAACGGCACTGACGAATGTGCTCCATTATTCGACTTATGAGAGACCTGATAAGGAACCGCCTCTTCAACATATATCGGCGAGAGTCGCCTTTCGTCGCTCAGATCCGGCTGTCTACAAACAAGATTGACAGAGCAGTATAGTTTTGAATCGATCACACTTTGTGTCCAGCGGAATCGATCCACAGCGACTACGGGAACCAATCAAGAAGCCTCAGTACCAAGACTACGAGTCCCAATTGAGCCCTTGACGAGTGAAGACAACCCACAACATGATGAACTGAAAGGGACATAAACCTCCGACTTTGTCGTTTGCTGCAGATCCGTGCTGGCTAGGGTCGTTCAGCCGGCCGGAGTGCGTTGCTTTGGAGGGGTGCTCTTGGCGGCCGCTAGCGGGCGGGGGCGGCGATTGCATGAGCAGTGAGTCCCTCTCTCGGGCCCCTTAACCTCGCACCCAAGATGTTGTTTTCGACGGAGTGTTCGATGTCTACCACAAAGGCGGGGAGTATGGTGTATCGTCGATTCCCGTAAATTTTGCACCTCATGAAATGCAGACTGGCCGTGCAACATCTTGGGTGCGAGTTTAGGGTGCCCGAGTCTGTTCCTCATCCATTCCGCTGACCTTTTGAGACAATTCGCCTGTTTTCGAAATGCATTCGTTATCGAATCGCCCTTTGCAGCAAAAAGGAACAGTTGTTTGTAACACCAAGAGTGTTTCTTGAGCAACGAAAAATCATATCTGTACAGATTCTCGAAACGAGGTGCCGTGAATTCTCTGTCTGCATTGGTTCACCGCTTGACATCGCCAGTCAGCGTTCCTGAATCACATTTCGACGGGCTTTCTTGTTCGAGTATCAGCAATGTCGTTCTGCCGTCGGGCCCTTCAGGTGTGGCACAAAGAAGGCATGACGTACTTTCCGCCCACCATGTCAACTTTCATTCCAAGTCACTTATGACCTGCAACCCTCGTTGCTCAATGCTGACGCTTTCCGCATTGCGGCCGTCAGTCCTGCCAGGAGCCGCGCACTTTAGTGTAGCAACGTTACAGGAGCGAGCTCAACGCTCAGAGTTTCAATACCAGTTCCAGATCTTTCTCTTCCTGGTGCTGGTATCATTCTTCTCTCGCTTGCCTTCAGTCCCTGTAGAGTGGGCAGCGATATCAGGCGCGCTGGGAGAAGACCTCAAGACTCGATCAAGTTCCTGATTCCGGATGCTGACGTCACTTTTTGCCACCGTCGGAGATGCTCACGTCATCCCCCTCCTCGCAGCCGTCAGCCCCTGCTGGGACGGAAACATCAACGAGCACGCGTGCATCAATGTCACAGGATATGATTGATTCGCTCTCGAAGCTGACGACAGCTTTTGGCCAGCCTTGGCAATGCTGACTTCATCCCCCTTCTCGCAGCCGTCAGCCCCTGCTGAAGACGAGAACGACAACGAGCGCGTGTGCAACATCTTCGATGATCAAGCGCGCTGTAACAAGACCACGGAGACTTCCTGAAAGATCTCTCTCGAAGCTGACATCAGCTCTTGGAAATGCTGACGTCATCCTTCTTCTCGCAGCGGTCAGCCCGTGCTGGGACGGAAACGCCAACGAGCGCGCGTGCAACAACATTACGGACGCGCTCGGGACGCGGCTCTGCCGCTACGAGGGCAGCTGTAGCGAGACGACCTGCCAGGATGACGACACGTGTTGCCCCCTCAGCGCGCCAACGGAGTGTAATGCGGAGGACGCGTGCGTGTGGGAGACGTACTGCAGCCTGCGATACGGTGAGCATGCCCTTTGCGTAGCGCGTGTGATACGCTATGTTGGCCTTGCGTTGGCTTTTACGATTTTTGGAGGCTCCTCTCCGCAGGCCTATTCACTTCCTTCATCTCGTGAAAGTCAACGATCTGGTGAAAGCTTCGAAGCCTTTTCAACCTGTTCCAGGAACGCCGAGCAAGGCCGGCGACAGATTTGAGAAACAGTACTGCTTCGTGTCCGTTCCTCGGCTTCTGCCAATCCACGTGACGCAGGCAGACTGCAAGGATTCTTGACACAATTGATTGCCTCAGTCCGCTGAAACCTGTAGAGTCCTGCGACCTTGATTTTCTGCACATGTTCCTTAAGAAAACTTGGAAAGGAGAGACGCAGACGAAGCAGGCCTCCTCACGAGGCCCCCCAAATCCCACGCGGGCAGTGCTTCGTTTTGAACAAGCCCAAACTCGACTGGTTTGCAGCATGAATCACCTCTCGTGGGTTTTGCAGACTTTTGCGCCAACTGGAAAACCAAAGCCGACTGCTCCGCCATTGCCACGTGTCTCTGGGAAGGCTCCCCGATCAATGGCTCGCACGCCGGCCACTGCTTCACCGGCAACAACGCGTGCCGCCTGGGTGACGACGACCCTGACGTATGCACCGCGATCGTCGACGGGTTTACGGGCGAGCCGCTGTGCCACGTGGCGGGCCACTGTATCTTCGACCACTGCGACCCGCACGATCAGTGCTGTTACCAGCACAATCAAGTGGACTGTGCGGCTGCGGGAACGCAGTGCTCGTGGGCGCCTCAGTGCAACCTGCGGTGGGGTGAGTCGCGGTTTGTTCCCAAGATAAGTCGCAACTCTTGGATCTGAGAGTCAAAAGTGCCAGAAGCGTCGTTTGGAAGTGTTTTTTCCGGGAGCGCTCCAGGTTACAGTAGCTTTTGATTCTCCTGTGCGACCTGCGGCGGCCCACATGTATTACATGGGCTCAGTAGTCGTCACTAAACAAGAGAATCATGTCTCTCGTGGTTTGGAGGCAACTTAGAGAAGTCTGTACTCCGTCTGTGAGGGCTCAACTCCAGAAGTTTTTCCGATGAAGGCAACGCCACGCGTCGAGGTGTTAGCATATAGAAGAATGTTCTACACTTTGGTTCGACGCGCGAGATACTCCGCACAAATGCTTATCACGAATCGATCCAATGATCGACGTTTTGCTCATTGGACGCACTGATAAGATTGAATCTTCCAGATCGAGCTGGGTGCAAACTGCTGATGCAAAAATCGACACTTCAGCTCGAGAACATTGGACACGTGTCACCTGACGAGCGACTCCCGTCTTGCAGATCCTTGCTGGGACTTACTAGATGATAGCGCGTGCGCGCTCGCTCCGTCGTGCCACTGGCTGGCGGATCTGCGGGGGAACGGAACCGTGGCAGGGGGTTGCTATTCAAGTGAGAACCCCGTGTGACTTCTTACCCCCTGAAAGATGCGCAGCTTGGCTTGGAAAAGAAAGAACGCCAGTATTTCAAAAAAATACTCAAGTTCGTATGACGAGGGCTTAGCTATGATTGCTAGTGCACGAAGGCTGGTTCAACGGCAGAGATATTGTGATTTTTATGACGTGATCCGAGGTCCGTTGTCCTCAACGCTTCTTTGGCTGGACCGTCGTTGGTCCCTCTGCAGTTGCTCGTTTGACATCCATTTGGTTTTTGCACGCGCATTATTCTACAGACTCTATTCCGCTTGATGCTTTTTCTTTGTCCGCGGACGTTTGAGGGAACCTCACACAAGTGCGTCCCGGAGACTTTCAAACACCGAACCCGGCTTCTGTGTCGCCGATTAAGTAGCTTTTGCAAGGCTTTGTCCAGCAAATCGGGAGTCTCAGGGCGATCTAGTCGCTCAGCAAGCAACTGCGGCCGACTGACATGCCTCTACCAACGTAAAATCTCCTCTGCGCGTGCGGAAATGAAACTCTCTCAAGTAGAACATACCGGTATTTCGCTAATCTGTATTTCCCTGCGCGTGCAGTTTCCAACCCGTGCTCCGTGGCGAACTCCGACGCGCGCGTGTGCGCGAACCTGGCTTCCGGTCCGTTTCCGCTGTGCCGCGCGTCCGGATCCTGCTACAACAGCGGGTGCAAGCCGGGGGACATCTGCTGCGGCCCGCAGAACGAGGCGGACTGCGTCGCGCGGTCGCCGCAGTGCGTTTTCGACGACTCGTGCGAGATCAAAACCGGTGAGGCGAAACGTTTCTAGGAAGGAGTTTTGGCTTCCTCAATCGGAGATACAGTCGCGAGATTTGAAGGTCTTTTGGACGACGCCCAGGGCTACGCATGAAGCGTGGTCAGAATGGGTGGGAGGAAAAGCGCGGAAGTTGAATATCATTCTCCAAGTCCAGGATTCCGTTTGTCAATGAGAAGGCGTTGCGGAAAGACTCCTGACTGATGCGACAGCTGTCACACGGACTACGCCCACCCTTTTCTTCCGTCTAACCGGATCTGCGGCGCTCAACAGACTTGCCTCTATATCCTTCTTCATGGAAAGGCTGTGTAACCTTGGAAAAGGTTTTCCTCGAACTGGCAAGAAAGACAACGGCTGCTGCACTGGAGTGAATGCCCTCATCAGCTTTGACTTGCCACGAAGCTGACGCCACCTGCTCTACACCAAAAATCCTTCCTTCGCTGACATCACGATCCACGCCGCTGACACCATCCAAAGCTCGCGCAGACCCCTGCCACGGTGTCACCACCAAGAACGCGTGCCTTTCCACTGGGCCCTGTTCCTGAAACAACAGCTACGCTTCCTTAACGAGCGTCTCCGTGCTGACGGTCGCTCTCCTTTCCCCTGACGTCACCTTCTTCTCCGCTGACGTCATCCTTGCCCCCGCAGACCCCTGCCATGGCGTCACCACCAGGAACGCGTGCCTTTCCACCGGGCCGTGTGCCTGGGACGACAGCTACGCTTACTGCCATTACGCCAACAACCCGTGCGTCGCCGGGGGATCCCCCGATGTCTGTGGGCGGATCACGGACCTCTCAACCGGGGCGAGTTTGTGCCAGTGGCGGACTGCCTGCATGGAGCGCCCGGGTTGCTCGGGGGGCACGTGTCCCCCGGCCATCAGCCCGTGCGATGATGGCGTGTATTACGGTGAGTAGGCTTACAATGGTGGCATCTGACACGAACATGGAAGTTTTGAAAGTCTTCTTTGTATCCATACCGTCGGCGTTGGGCAGTAGACAGTATTCAGGATCCTTCCCCTTCGAGCGAAGGTCTGATTGCTTCGAGGCGTTTGGCTCTTGACCCGTTTTCCGCTCGCTTTTCCGTTTGCTGTGGCCAGATCAAATCCTAGAATACTCCATCCGACCGCACTTCGTGCTTGGAATGGTCTGCATGAGCTCCCTCGTGACAGACTCACAGGGCTGCCCTTCAAAACAGTCCTGTGAACTTGACGTAGCGGTTTGTGATGCGTACGACTCAAAGTGCCGTGGAAGCGCATCCTGCTCCGCGTACCACAGGCTGCTTCTGGGCGTCCCACTTTCTTCACCTGCTTATCCATTTTCAGCTAAAAGGCTGCCTGACCTTGAGCGGTCTACCTATGCAAAATCACCTCTTCCTCAGACCATTCCTCCGCCATACCTGAATCCTGATTTCTGTCTTCTCGAACGACTTTTCGTAATGCTATTATTCGATCATCGCACGAAGTCTCCAGAACCAGGTCTGATCGCTCTTCCCTCCCTGCAGTTTGCCACGAGTCCGAGCTGCGCGCCGCCCTCGGCACCGCGACCCACATCGTAATTGTGTGCGACATCCAGCTCAGCGGACCGTTACCGCCCATCGCAACCTTTATCAACATCACCGGCAAGTACATGACCCCCCCGTGCCGCCAGCCCTCACCCAGTCCATACGCGCTCCCCCCCCCTGCGAAACCCTCCCCTTCGTCTTCCCCCGCCCCCTCCGCCTCTTCACAACCGTCGCCGAGCGCTTCCCCGGAACCGTCGGTGTCGACGTCACCTGCTGCGTCAGCGTCCTCCTCACCCGCCACGTCAGCGTCCCCCTCGCCTGCCGCGTCGTCATCCCCTGCCGCCTCCGCTTCTTCCTCCCCTGAACCGTCTCAGAGCCCGGAGCCCTCGCCGTCGACGTCAGCATCCCCGTCAGCATTCCCGTCAGCATCTCCGTCAGCATTGGCGTCAGCATCTTCGTCAGCATCCCCGTCAGCATCCACGTCAGCATCTCCGGTTCCCTCCTCCTCTCCCTCCCCTTCGAGCTCCCCCCAACCGTCTCAAAGCGCGGGCGCCTCTCCTTCTGTCTCCCCCTCCACGTCAGCACAGCCGTCCACGTCACCCCAGGCGTCAGCTTCGACGTCACCCCAGCCGTCAGCTTCCTCGTCAGCACAACCCTCCGTCTCGGCGTCCCCTCAGCCGTCAGCTTCGACGTCAGCGCAACCGTCAGCTTCGACGTCAGCGCAGCCGTCAGCTTCGACGTCAGCGCAACCGTCAGCTTCGACGTCAGCCCAACCATCCCCTTCGACGTCAGCACAAGCATCCCCCTCGACGTCAGCACAGCCGTCACCCTCAACGTCAGCACAGCCGTTACCCTCAACGTCAGCACAGCCGTCGCCATCGACGTCAGCGCAGCCTTCACCCTCTACGTCGGCGCAGCCGTCACCCTCGACGTCATCTCAGCCGTCCGCTTCTCCCCCCACGAGCGCCAGCCCCTCTCCGAAGACGTCAGCAAGCCCGTCCCCCTCGCCTTCCGCTCCGTCCCCTTCGCTTCCGCCGCGGACTCCGAACGGAAACGGCTCTTCGGACAATGCGCTGGCGTTGACCGGAAGCGGGAACCCGCAAATCTCGGGGGCGGGTCTTTTCAACATCATCACGGTTGTGAATGGGAGCATCAACCTGTCTGGGTTGGAGTTGACTGGGGCGGTGAGTCGACGTGTCAAACTTTTGCTCTAGGGAGCTTACGGTCCGTGTGAATTGCATCAAGGTTGAGACTTGGATGCGTCTTCCGACATTGTCGCTGTGTTGTAAATGAGTGTAGCTAAGTTTGGGGATCGTCCAGCACTGATTTGATTAAATCTAATCATTGCTGTTTCGTGTGTGTGGTTTGGCGTGGATCGGTGCTTTTTTGATGGCGCTTGGAATGAACCAGTTTTAAAATCTGCTGCAAATCTTCGCCTCAGGGTTTTCTCCGACGCTCATCAATCGCGGTCAGCATCTGCTAAGGTATCCGCACGGCAATGGGCGCCCTTTTCAATCCTGAAGTACTCATTCCAAATTCTCCTTCCCCCTTGATTAGGCCGGGGCGATTGACGGCGGTGCTGTGGTCATTACGGCAGGCGGATCCGGAAGCTTCAGCAACGTGGTGTTTTCCAACAACAACGCTGGAGTAAGGCTCTTGGAATCTCTCTCTTGCGCTTGTGAAACAAATGCGGTTCCATTGGAAGGTGACGAGTGTGCGGCCAGTCATATTTGAGGCAAGCTCTCGAGGAGGAACGCTAGAGCTCGTTAGAATCATGATCACATAAATTAAAGAGACTGCTATGAGCGCTGCTTGAATACAATCTTCCCGCTCATAAAGGTTGCGGAAACGTTTCCTTTTTACACGATTCTTGTACAGATGGATAAATATACCCCAAATTCAACTGCGCATGACCATTAAGGTGCTGCTTTTCCAGTCTGATCATTAAGATACCCGTTCAATCTCGTGGAGCAAATTTAGCCCCGCCTTACTACGATCTCATCTCAAACGGCGGGTCGTTCAGTGGTTGCATCCGAGCATTTTCTCCTCGCTCTTAAGCTGGATGCACAATTGCCTTTGGCAGGCCTCTGGGGCAGCAGTGTTCATCAACAACGGCAACGGCGACTTCTCTGACTGCGTTTTCGTCAATAACACTGCCATGGTGGGTGTTTCAACCTGTTTCAAACCCCAGCTTGTCACTGCTGATTCGCAGTCGGCCCTTCTTGACCGGCAAAACTCAAGTTTGAGATTTGAATACTGGTAGCATAGGTGAACGAAAGGGGGAGGGTTTTGCAGTGCCATCTGGTATCGCTTTTGCTGTCCGTTTGCAACGAGTATGTACTTGGTATGGTTGCTGTCTCTGGTCGAATCATAAGAGGTGGATGAACATGTACCTATCTTATGTAGAACGGCCTGCACCGTCAAAGGCGCGCGATCGTGGAACTCGAGCTTACCCCCTTCCTTTTAACTATGAGAGTGCTGTCTGGGTGATTACTGATAAATGTTCAAGCAAAATCTGGGATCGAATCTTCAACTTGACCTTGACCAACACATTCCGCCGTCACAGGATTCCGGGGGTGCTGTGTACGTGCACGGAACCACGACCTTCCAGCAGACCCAGTTTGTAGGCAACGCCGCTAACGTGAGCCCACAACCGCACAAAACCTTCAATCTGCGCTTGCATTTCCGTGAAGCGCTTGACAATTTCGCCAAAGTGATTCAATAATCCTGCTAACCAAACCGTCCCTTGGAAGTCTGGTAAACTACGACTTGTTGGGGAGTGACTCTATTCTGAAAAGATTGTCGAGTCTGAAGGTCCAAGTCCCGGGGGTATCGATCTCCATGCCGCGGACAACCGTCACAGTTGCGCGAACTGTTTGACAAAGTAGCACGTTGAAGGTTTGGCAAAACCACGAATCGCGATTCCCACTTTTTCTTACCGGCAAGCTGTTGGTCCATATTGGCAGAGTGCTTGCGCTCTGTATGTGTGAGAACCGACTGAGCTCCACCAAATGACTGCTTCTTCCTGTTTGTAGCAATCCGGGGGCGCCATCATTCTTGATCAGCAGTCGGGGTCCAGCTTCGTGGGCTGCTCTTTCCAGGACAACTCTGCGCTTGACAGCGGCGGTGAGCTTCTTCATTTCCTTCTCATTCTCCGACGCTAGCCGCAACGAGCGGCGAGCTTTCTAACTAGCATCTGGATAAGCGACCCCCAAGCGATCGTATCCTGGCACCTTGCACCCTGAGTTAAGCGTCGAATTAGCCTTGCAATCAAAAGCCCTAGCGACGCCTATCGGCGTCGCGCAAAGCAAACGGCTCAAAATGGATTCCCGCCGGATACTCGAACCTAGCAAGCTTCTCAAGATGTAGTCTTGCCAGCATCGAGTCAATCTAGCTGTCGTCTCGCCATGCTCTTAGGGCTAGCGTCACCGTTATCTTTCTGGAAGGAGGTCGAATCTGGAATGGTTGAAGTTGTGGACATCCATCCGTCACCCTATTTTCTCAGTGAACTTCCTTGAGGGTTTTACCGATCTTAAATTGCTTCTGTTGTCCAATCGCAGGCGCAATTCACGTGGACCACACGAGTACCGTCAACTCTACATATACGCAGTTTTTGAACAACAACGCCAGCACCGTGAGGTTCAAACCCTTCGTTTTGGATCTTGGAAATCAAGGTAGCATAAGTCGACTGGTATCGAAAAATTCACCTCATTTGCCACGTCTGTGGAAAAGAAGCACGTTGGACGAATCGGATCTGCTTGAGTTTCATGAAGCGGCTTTGCAACGTGTTCCTTGAAGCAAAAGGACGTTATTCAGAAACCGGTGGAACACCTCGCAGATACTGGAAGAACGGTTCTCCATCGTCGACTGATTTTGGCTCTGGGGACATCTTTCGAGCTTTACGCGCTCCTTCTGAAAGGGGAGCCCTGCAATTCTCCCAACTTTACAATTGAGAAGCTGAAGTTCCTGGTCGGACATTGCTCGGAGAAGCAACGCTAAATTTGTATTTGTTTGTGAAGGGCGGTGATCTGTACAACCGCGGGTATCGAGACTCCCAGTACTCCGGCCAGCTCCAGTTCTGCCCGGCGGACGTGGGCGCGCAGATCTCTGGAGCGCTATCCACCGTCTTCCCCACAGGTGCGCGCGCACAAAGCGTCTGCTCGGCGCTCTTGTCAAGAATATTCCTGCACCATATCTGAGCGGACTTCCGTAGAGGTTCTGACGGAAACGTTCGACAAAGCGCACGATTATTTCTTGCATGACGGAAGCAGTCTCGAGCAAGTTGCGGAGGCGAAAAGAAGTGTGGCATGGATTTGGAGCCGTGTGCGTTGAGGGTGTAGTGCCTTCATCGGTTCCTTCTTGAGCAAATTTTATAGGACAAAGCGATCTGTTTTCGAGTCGCCTGAAAGAAAGTGCCCGTCGCTCGGTAAGCAAAACTACGTTCTCATATATCAATCAAGGCCCTGTTTTTTCTCAAGATTGAAATCTGCTGCACTTGCGACTCGCAGATTGCGCCCCCCCGGTCATCCCCATCGGTAGAGGCATATATATCGTCTCTACGCCCGCCCAGCTGGCATACGCTATCAACCAGAGCGCCGCCGACATCCTGCTCGTCAGCGACGTCACCCTCTTCGCGCCTCTCCCAATCATCACCAGTGACGTCACCATTCACGGTCTCTGGCCGGACTGGCCCAACCCCCCCCTCGCCGCGCGCATCAGGATCTCCGGGCTCAACACTTTCCGCATTTTCTACGTTCGGGGGGCAAAGTTAACCGTGGCTAACCTGGATTTGTACGGGGGGTATTCCGGGGATAACGGCGGCGCGGTTTACATCGAAAACCTGGGCGCGTCAACAGGCAGCGGCGAGTTTACGAACGTGGGTTTCGTGCAGAACTCTGCGTTAGGAAACGGGTCCGCGGTTTACATGGTTGATGGGAACGCCGCATTCGAAAGCTGCGACTTCGTTCTGAACGCTGCGTCTGGTTCCGGCGGCGCCGTTTGGGTTTACGGCATGACCACGTTTCTGTTCTGCCGGTTTGTGGGGAACACGGCGCAGAACGCGGGGGGCGCGGTCGTGGTTCCGCAATTCGCGGAGGCGGGTTTCGCATTCACCCAGTTGAGAAACAACACGTGTCTGGGAGGCCCCGGCGGCGCGGTGTATGGCGAGCTCTCCAGCCAAAGCGGCTTCAACAATTGCACCTTCGCCGGAAACAGGGCCTCAAACGCAACGGGCCCGGACCTGTTTCTCGTCGACTCGCCTTCGGAGGATCAGCTCGGGCGCATGGAGCTGTGCCCGCTGACGTGTCGCCCCGTGATTGGCGGAGCGGTCGCCAAGATCCTGACGAAAGCGTGCGGGATCGCGGTGGCCCAAATCGACGGCGTGTACTACGTCACTTCCGAGACGGACTTCGTTTCCGCCCTCAACAACAACGCGAAGAAAGTCGTCATCACGTCCAACGTCCAGCTCAGCGGACCGCTGCCGACGGTCACCGCTGACGTCATCGTGACCGGGGCGCCCAACCCGGCCGCGTCCGACGGCAAGTTCGTCCTGCTGGCGGCGCCCGGTTACGGCATTTTCCGCGCGCTCGGGGCTGACGTCAGCATCGCGAACCTGACCCTGACGGGGGGGCTCAGCAACTCCACCGGGGGTGCTGTTTCCATCACCGACGGCTGGGGCACGTTCGCTGACGTCACCTTCTCGTATAGCAGTGCGCGGCTATACGGGGGGGCCGTTTACGTGACAGACGGGGGAGCGGATTTCGTGGGCTGCGTTTTTGCGAACAACACCGCAGGCATTTCCGGGGGGGCTGTTTTCATCGACGGGCTCGCGACCTTCCAGGGGTGTGCGTTCAGTGGCAACTGGGGGGGGAGTTCCGGGGGCGCGGTTACGGTTCCAACGGGCAGTTTAGCGCAGGTTAGCGGGTCTCAGTTCACCGGTAACTACGCGGCAAACGTTTCGGGGGGGGCGGTTCTTGCGCAGACTTCCAGTTATGTTTTCATCGAGTCGAGCACGTTCTGGGGCAACGCGGCAGCGAGCACCGGGGGCGGGTTGCAAGTTAACCCAGGGGGTCACGTCCGGGTTAGCAACTCGACTTTTGGTAACAACACCATAAGCCAAGTCGGCCCGGGGAAGGGCGGGTTAAGCAATGACCTGCGTAGTGACGCGGGGTCAACACAAACCGTCCAGGCGCTTCTTTGCGCCTGTTCCGCAAATCTCACCTTCGACGGGGCAACCGCGAGCGTTTCAGTGCTTGCCACGTGTCCAAGCTCAGTCCTGCCACGCCGGTTGGACGGCGCCTACCAGGTCGCGTCTGACTGGGAGCTGCGGACGGCAATCGCTTATGCGAACGTCCGGAACGGAACGGACACGATCGTCGTGACTGCAGACATCGTCTTGCAGGGCCCGTTACCCGCAATCACGAACAGTGTCCAAATCGTCGGTGTGAATATCTCCACCCAAGCCGGGCCGGTTCGGCCCGTCTCCGTTTCCGGCAACGGCTTGTACCGAATTTTCACCGTTCGAGGAATTCCGTTCTTCCTGGACACTCTGATTCTTGCGGACGGCAAGGCGTTCCGCGGATCCGCTCTTTATGCTAAGAGCGGCACCGGAACGCTCCGAAACGTGGTCTTCTTTGACGGACGGTCGACGTACAACGGGGGCGCCGTCGAAGTGCGTTACGGCCGGCTACAGCTGTGGTCCTGCCTGTTTGACGGTAACACTGCTGGGGTTTACGGTGGCGCCCTTTTCGCCGAACGGTCAATCGTCAGCGGTTCGGACTGCGAGTTTTCCTCGAACCGGGCTGGGGACTCCGGGGGTGGTTTTGCGGGGCACGATTCCAGCTCTGCGCAATTCGCTACCACTTTCTTCACCAACAACACGGCGCAACTTTTCGGGGGGGGCCTGAGCATTGGCTACAAAAGCAACGCAAAGCTGACGCGAAGCACGTTCAGCCTGAACGTCGCGTTCGAAAGCGGGGCCGACTTCTACGCTCGAGATTTCCCCGGGACTGCATCCGACGGTGGCGTTGATTACTGCCCGGCGACGACTTCTCTCAAATACGGGGGGGCGGTTTATAGAGTGTTCAGGGACAGCTGCGACCCCCCCCCGCCGGTCCTCCCGTCCGGAGGGACGTTCCTCATCACCACCGAGGCCCAGCTGCGATACGCTCTGGCGAACGGCCAATACGATATCGTCCTCGAGACGGATATCGCGATGCAGTTGGGGCCGTTGCCGACCGTTACCGCAAACCTGGTTCTGTCAGGCAGCCCCGACTTTTCGCACTCGATGGGCCGCCCCCCTATGATAAGCGCCGGGTACTCCAGCCAGATTCTCACCATTTCGGGGGGAACCGTTTTAATCACCGGGCTGGAGTTCAACGCAGGAAACAGCACCGAGGAGGGGGGAGCCGTGCGGGTGATTGGCGGTGCGACAGTGACGTTCCGTGAGGTCATCTTCTCAGAGAATCTGGCGTGGGAGAGCGGAGGCGCAGGTAAGGAAGCGCGTAGTGAATACGACCCATAACAATGACATGGTTGGATCTTACCATCACTCTGCATTAGCAAAATCTGGACGGGAGAAAGTTCATTCAGCATTTCCTATGCTCTCTGAAACCCCGCGATGAATGAGTGCTTTTAAGTCAAGTAGTTCCTTCCCTGTCAATCGCCTAGAAGTGCGCAGCCGCTCCGAGTAGATCATCCCCTGAGACCTATTGTTTTGTTTTCGATGATAATGCCATTGAATTGTTTTGTTTTCTTTCCTGAAGATGTTAATGGCGGCCGCTCGGCTAGATGGTTCTGTTATCACCACGGATGTTTGTCTTAAAGACTCAATTCGCTGCAGCCATAGCATCTAAGAATACGTGATCCCAGAGACAAGTGAGCCTTGCAGAGACGCGTGATACTCAACCTCTTATTCAGTCCGCTCGTCGTTGACTCTTGATCATACTCTGTGCAGTCTTCGTTGACAACGACGGGAAAACTTCGGCGGACTTCATGTCGTGCGTCTTCTTCAACAACACCGCCTTCGAACTAGGAGGGGCGGTTTTCGCGGAGGGCAACGTTAACCTGACGGACTGCTCGTTCCAGAACAACACGGCGGCCATCGCGGGCGGCGCGGCCGCGCTGGCGGTGACGTCAGTCGGGGACTTCTTCGAGTGCTCGTTTGTGGGGAATACGGCCTACGACAAGGGAGGTGAGCGATGGTGCTCGCTCTAGTTTGGGTTTACGGCCAGGTATATAAAGATCACAGGACAGGGTTGGAAGTTGGAAACTGGACCTTGAATAAACCTCCCCATTGGCCCGAACTTTCAGACGACTGAAGTGGTTCCTTCTGGTGACGTAATGTCCTGCACACAGGTAGAGAAATGTCTCTTCGAAGCTTCGAAGCAGCTACTCTAGCCAGTAATGACCAAATGTGATGTTGCATGACCCACTCAAGTTCCAGAACCAGTCCAAAGCGGCATGTTTTTTTTTCGGACTTTCTCCAAAATATTTTAACCGCATTGGTTTGTCCCCTTCCAGGTGCCATTTACGTCGATCCCCGGGCAACTGTCATCCTTTCCGCCTGCACATTCGCTTACGATTCCGCCCATTGCGTGCTCGGAGGAGACGATCTTTTCCTCCGGGGACTCCTCCTTCCGGTCTACGGTTCCGTTGGAGTGGCCGGAACAGCCTTCATCTGCCCCAACCCGAGCACTCTCAAAGTGGCTGGTTCATCGCTCAATCTAGTTTTCCGAGACTGCCCCCCCCCGGTGATCCCTTTCGTGAGCGGTGCGTTCCGCGTCAGCACCGAAGCCCAGCTCCGGTACGCAATGAGCCAGGGCGACTGGATCATACTGGACGCTGACGTCGTGCTGACGTCGCCCCTGCCCGTGGTGCGGTCGCAGCTGCGCCTGACGGGTGGCGCCTGCTCGGCCCCAAGGAACGGCACGTGCCGCTTCTCGATCTCGGGCGGGAACGCCTTCCGGATTTTCCGGGTGCAGAGCAGCGAGCTGTGGCTGGAGAACCTCTTGCTGGTCGGCGGCTGGGGGCAGCCCACGATCGGCCACGTGGCGGACTCCGACGGCAGCGGCGGCGCGGTCTCGCTAACCAACTCGGTTGGCACCTTCGTCAACGTGGTTTTCGCTAACCACAATGCGACAGGAAACGGGGGCGCCGTTTTCGCGACCGGCGGAAGCGTCAACTTCGCCCGGTGCCTATTCACCGGGAACAAGGCGGGGGCTTCAGGGGGCGCGCTTTACCTTGACAGCGTGATAACCATGGTTAACTGCACGGTTACGAAGAACACGGCCGGTGGGGACGGAGGCGCTGTTTCGCTGGCGGTGTCTTCTACCGGGCACTTTTCCGGCTGCTTGTTCGACTCGAACGTGGCTGGCCTGACGGCCGGGGCAATTTACACCGGGCCGAAAGCGACCTCCCGGTTTGACCTGTGTGCGTTTACAAACAACGTGGCGCAAGATGGGCTGGACATGTATATCAAGGTAAGCGGGACGTCCGTTTGTGCCACGTGGACTTTATCACGGCCTTGCCTTGCGTAGTAGAGTGCAGTCAGCCGCTCAACAAATAGGTGCGGAGAAAGGCTTATGCTGCTGATTGTTTGAATCTTTCGGCAAACCAAAGTTCGATATTGCTGTTACTTTGCACTGACTTAGACTTTCATATAAGGGACGCCTCTTGCGGGCGGACAGTTGACCACCCCTCAGCACCTGAAAGCGTCCCTTGTGTGCAAAACTTTAGACGTCACTTTGAAAGGAAAGAGTCCTCCTGTGCTCACAACGCCTTCCGGTCAAAGAAAACGGACGGAGCTTATAGGCCTTTACACACTTCTTCCGCCTGATGCTTTCCGCTATTGTTTCGACAGAACGGAAGCTTTTACCCCTGGTCCAGCGGGGACTCTCTTGCACACTTGCGGACCGCCTGATTAGTTGTTCCAAGCCCCTCCTTTTCCGTTCCGCAGGCCTTCAACATTCCGGGCTCCAACACCAGCAACGGAATCGCGACCTACTGCCCCCTCCCCAAGTCCTTCCCCCCGCTCTACTCCGGCGCGCGTCTCCTGATCGACGCCCTCTGCGGCACCGATTTGTGCGCGGGATTCTCCGCGACCTCGCCCACTTTCTGCGCGCCCGGCTCGCTCGACTCCACCCAGAACTGCTTCTGCCGGGGCAACTCCGACTGCGCGAGGTCCCAAACTTGCAGCGCGTTTTTCGCGGGCGGGAACTGCACGCGCGAGTGCGCCTGCGACCCGCTCACGGGGACGCGTGGCTGCTCCTCCGCGTGCCTCGGCACGTGCGTCAATAACTGCGACACGTGGGCGGCTGCCGGCGGGGCGAGCCAAGGCGTCCCGGCAGCGTCCGCGTGTGGGACGAGTGCGGACTGTCCGGTGAATCGAATCTGTGCTCCCGTTCCGGGGGGGTGCAAAGTCTGCTCTTGTGACCGGGGGACGGGAGTGGCGGGATGCATGCCGTGTGGGGGCACGTGCCAGGCGGTCAAGCCGTTCATGACAGGGGCAAAGGTACGGTGAAACAATCATCCATTGCTTTGATACGTAATGATCGTAGTCAATTGTCGAGGGACGATAGCAAGTACTTCGAAATTGGTGATGCGGTGAGGTACACCCTTTTACCTCGTCACGGTCGAGGTTACGGGTTTGAAAATGAGGGAGGCGCATTCCAGACTCTCCTAAGATCTATTCTGCTGAGTTCATGCGGGGTCTGAACTTGACGCTAAAATGCTAAGCGTGGTCGTGTCGACCATTTTTCTTGTCTCGGGGGCCCCGCAGAGAGGTGTGCTTCAACTTGACAGCGGCTATATAGGAAGAACGTCGAGCTTCGATTCCTGTTAAAGAGAAAAGGTTTTGCGTCTTGAACGTATGACTTTGTACCCTAAGCTTAGCGAACATTGGGTCGAGTGCGTAGAAATTGAACCCTTTAACCTCAATTGAAACAGACTTCTGTCCTAGCAATCCGTGACGGCTTCTTCTCCTCGAAGCGATTCACCCCAAGATCGAACTCGACCTGGAACGGTGGCGCAGCTTTCACCTTCGTCCATTTGGAAGTCTCGAAACATTGATCTGCACTCCCAAGTTCTTCGAGGGGAAAGCATTTAGATTCTCAACGGTTCAGTGAACTAACCCAGATTCCTCCTTTACAGATGAGCAGCGACTGCAAGAGCGTTCTGGTCAGCCTTAACTCCATGCCCGACCCGAATCTGAGCGGGTCCGGCTGCGCCCTCATCTTCGCAATCGCCACCCGCAACCTCCTCGGATCTGGCGCGGTCTGCACCATAACCAGCACCACGGTTACTGTAACCCTGGGCACATCCGCCACTCTAGTTCCCGGCAACACGATCGCGCTCCTCGCGAACGGCCTCATCCAGGCCGGGACCGGCACTCCTTTCGACGAAAACGTCACTGTAACGGTTGACTGGCCCGACAACCCACCGTTACCGATCGCCGTTATAAGCGGCCCCACTCTAGTTGGCGCGCGCTGCGCGGCCGTTAATGCGGCGACCGCGGTCGTTTTGGACGCGTCCCTCTCGAGCGACCCGTCCGGGCGTCCGCTCGGGAAGTACTACTGGACGCTCGCGAGCGCGCCCGATGTCGTGTCGCTGATGTCAGCGCATGATGAGGTGGCGGCGCAGCAAGGGGCCACGCAGCTGTGGCTGGACAGCCGGGACTTGGGCCCCGGGAACTACACGGTGGCGCTGACAGTTGCGAGCTTCCTTGGTCAGGTGGGAACGCAAACCTGAAACGACGACTCTGCCTCAACATTTTTTGAATGTTCTGATTCTTGGATGTTCTGTTTCAAGGAACATTGTTAACGCCTACCTTAGCAGACGGGGCAGCCTAATCCCGGTGTCGAGCACGCACCAAATGAGCTGTTGATGCCTCCTTAAACTGTTCGGAGCATTATCGAAGGCAGTGAGAACTTCATCCTTGATCGAAGCTCATCAGTGAATGATGAATGTCAGTAAGGTAGCTCTTGACGTCTGCATTTGTTTTGGGAGGTGAAATGCAGAGAACAACCCTTACAATAGCCAGACCCTACGGTTTCGATTCCCTTGTTCTTCTCATCAGCTCTAGCACCCTGGGAGCATCGAGGCTTCGCTTACTACCACGAATGCAATCATTTACTGCTGCGAGTCCTGTCGTAACCCCCACGTAAACCGTCAGCAACTACTTCCATTAACGGTGCACTCTTCTGCCAACTTCCGGTCGCCCGTTCAATCACTTCCACAATCCCGGCATGACTCAGTCCGTTGGACCATCCCTCAGCTCCTAAAAGCTACCGTTTCCTTTTCGCCCAGATGACCAACACCAGTTGGACGTTTACCCGCACGGCCGACCCGATCCCGGTTATGAGCGTGGTCGGGGCTAACCCCCGGTCGATCAAGCTACCGGTCGCAACGATTCTCCAGACCGCGGTGGTCTACGCGCCACTCTGCGGAGCCGCGTCGCAGCTCACGTATCAGTGGACCTTCGTCAACGGGTCGACGAACTTCTCAATGGATGGGGTGAGAGACCATGTCGCTTCGTGTTTCGGTCGGTGATTGTTGCGTTTGCTTGCCAATGGGCCTTTCACAATGTACGTGCAGATTTGCGGTGACAGAAAATTTCGGCTCGTTTTCCGGCTCGTTTTCCGGCTCGTCTGCCGTTATGTATTCTTGCCCTAAGGTCCGTTCCACTTGCCGGTCGTTTCGTTCTGAGTTCTCAATCTCTTTTAAACAACTGTAGTAACAATGGAGGACGCCTGTCGATCTGTCCGGGAATCTGAACAGCTAGAGTGCGTAATGTCCGCAAGCATTGCGGGCTTCGCTCGGTCCTCAACTTTCCATTGACATCGTACTGAGCAAGTTCCTCACCTATGCACAGGCAGTCGTGAGGACAGCAAAACTTGCCGGGCTGATCGTACAGAGCGAAAGTGCTTTTCATCATAACGCACTAACCCAGCCGTTGGACAAGGCATGTGTTTTTGAGCTGCCATGCTGCTGTTGAAAGTACTCGCAGTGGGATTGGAGGGTCTTTCTCGACGTTCCAACTTGAAGCGCTCATGCTACCTCTGAGAATTATACCCTGCTCTTATTTTTGCAGCTCAAGACCAACCTCAAAGACCTTGTTATCCCGGCCAACACCCCCGGCGTAACGCCTGGCCGCAAGTACAGCCTCGCGTTACAGGCCAGGGTCGTTGACACCACGCTGGGTCCCCAGTTCGACGACCCGATTGGCTACGCTTACGTCGATCTAGTCGTCGTCCCGAGTGACGTCACTGCTGTCGTCAGAGGAGGGTCACGTGACGCGGTGGATAGCGAAGCACTCGTGCTGATTGTGGACGCTTCCGATCCGGACGATCCCCTAAATCTTCTTGAAGGTGAGATTTCCCGCTTTGTTTGTTTCAAAAGCGAGTAGTCTGATGTGAGCGGTCGGCACGTGGCGATCTGTGAGGTTTTTTTGGGGCAGTCGTGCCTGCCTGCACTTACGTACAATCTTTTGTACGATCGAAGACTGAACTCTTTTGTCTTTTTAAAGCTTTTTAGAGCGACGGGGGGGAATACTTCCTGCGACGTCGCTTCTTTTGACTCTAAATTACTGTGACTGTTCTTCGGAGCCGTCTGCTAGGTGTCTGGACTGATCCACTCGTCGCTAGCTCTCAGTCCACATTTCATCAACTATTCTTAAAACATCAGTTCCAAACATTGTTGTAGAGAGTCCCCGTCTCTTCTAGTCTGCAGGCACGCTCGATATGCTATTGGCCCGCCCCCTCATCAACCCTCAAACCGTCTCCCCCTATCTTTTTGCAGCCTTCAAGATCTTCTGGCGGTGCGTTGACAGCAGCGGGGGCGACTGCTTCCGTAACGCCAACGCCACGTCACCAGACGCTTCGTCGGTAGTTTTCACCGTCCCCCGTTACACGCTGAAGCCGGGCGTATTCACATTCTACGCGCTCGCTGGGAAGGGCGCGTGTGTGAACGGGCAGTGCGCGCGGCAGGCCACGGCGTCGGTTACGATCCGGATCGTGGCGGGTTACACTAACCCGCCCATCGGCCAGATCCTTGTGCTGCAAGCGTGAGAAGCCTCACTTTTCTGAGAATTGTAGTTAATCTTAGGGTTCCATTGAACCTGGTTGGTCAGGACGGGCTGCCCTACCTTAGTATTGAAGCGTCCATATCGTCAAGGTGGACATCTTGGTTAGTGTCGACAAGCAGTGGATAACGATAGCGAGTCTGACCCAAACCCCGGTACTGCACGTGCTGTGAACAATACACGTTGTGATACCGTCAGCGTCACCGGCAGATAGAGGGGCCATTTGACGATCTCAGACGGTCATTTTCAAGCGGGGTCTCACATTCCGAGTCTGCAAAAGACGCCCGGAATGATTCCGACTGGATCCCCGTCTACTTTTAAAAACCGGTCGCCTCTTTTCTTCCCCTCCGGACAGTTGAGCAACAGTTCATCAGAGTTCCGGACATTGGCGCCTAGCAAACGACTAAACACTAACCCAAACCTCAGAAGCAATGTTGGGTTCGCTGCAAATGGTTGATACGTTGTCCTTCTTTAATTGCAGGATCAACCCAACACGCCCAGCGCGCTTCCAGGCTCAGGTGCTCGCTTCCAGCGGCGGACCGATCGGTTACCGCTGGGTTTGTCAGAACCTTAACCTAACCAACCCCGATATCGCGACGACCGGGCAGCTGTCGCAGTACTTGGCGATCAGCCCAGCGTTCCTGGAGCCGGGGTACTCGTATACGGTCATCGTATACATCACGGACGTGTATACGGGGCTGGTCGGAACGGCTTCGTATACCATTCAGGTGCGGTACCGACTTCCAACACACTTAGTTTGTTTTCCCCATAATTAAACCCTAAGACCTTGAAACCCTAGGACCTTATTCAGACACTTCGTCCCTCAATATGCGAGGCAGCATGTGACGTCAACTTCTTAGCAAAGCGAAGACGTTGCGGAAGCCTTTTGGCAGAAATCTGTGGTTCCAAGCACAGCATAACCTAGCTTCATAAAGCCACGTGGCTGAGTTCTGCAGCAAGAAGCCTCTCACGAGATCCGTTATGTCGCTACTAGTATTTGAGTTCGGCATCTCTGTTTACCACGGCTTTGGATGATTCTCGGTCCGCACAAGCGCATCTTTCACAGTCTTGGCCCCTTCGAGCGCGCTGTTTCAACATAGCCTTTTTTAGCCGCTTCCGTGCCCCTTCTAGACCGGCACTCTAGTTGCCATACCTCGATTGACCCTCCTTATATTCCATCTGTAACTGTCGAATACAGAGACAATGTGACGAGGAAGCAAGTACCTTACCGTTGCCATTTATCTTCCAGCTACACGGTCTGACTCTCAAACCGCCAATCTCCAGGTGCCACGTGGCCCGGTCTGCAACGCCCCCTCGCTCTGCCTCACGGTCACTCCCGCCCAGGGATGGGACAACGGCCTGACGTCATACACTGCGTCACTCGCCAGCTGGGCCACCGACTTCCCGCCCCTCAGTTACGAAATCGGTTACGTCGACGACGACGGGTTAGAGATCGCGCTCGTTTCCAACAGCCAGCTGCCGTCGTATACGTTTGCGACGCTTCCCGCCGGGTTAGCGGCGAACAACGATACGCGGACGGTGTACGCCTGCGTTTCGGACGCGTGGCTCTCGCAGGTAAGGGCCGCAAAGGTTGGCTATGGCGGCGTAGCAGGCAACGTCGTTCATTATTGGAACCGTGCTCCCCAAGTGGTCTCTACTGTCGAAGGAAGGATTCGGTGCTCCATTCATTCGGACGGCTGTGAAGATGCGTCGGCACACGTGAATAGAATTCACCCCTCCACAAAAGCTTGTTTCAATCGTGACACATGCTTCGAGATAAACTGCTCTGCTTGCCAACTTCGAAAGCTGTTACGACCTTCATTCCATCAGGGTTTAGATCGAATACGCCCATCCTTCCAACTCCTGGCAGAACGGCCTACCTTGTATCTGGAGTCCTCACTTATACTACAAACTCACCAGCTTAGCTGTTGAATCAAGATCAGTGACTGCAGATAAGTCGCCTGTGATTATTATTCAGCTCAATGCGTTCTTCTGGATCGTCAGATTTAGGTCATCCAGCGCTCAGCTCCGCCTGCGACTTTGCCGCAGATTTGCGTCGCCGCGAGGGTGACAGTCAAGCACGTGGACGTCCCCCCCGGAGAGGTCACCGCCAGCTGTCTAAATGCGCTCCAGGCCGCACTCGCAACCGGAGACCCCGTCGCAATTCTCGCGGCCACTACCGCATGCTCCTGCGGACTCAATACGCTCCCCGTTCCCCCGATCTACTTCCCGGATCTGTCGCCATCTCCTTCCCCCCTCCCCTCCCCATCTATGTCTGCGGAACCCTCTCCCTCTGCGTCTACGTCTCCCCCCCCAAGCCCGTCAACTTCGCCTCAACCCTCCCAAACCCCTTCCCCCTCCCCTTCAATCTCAGCCAAACCCTCCCCCTCGGCGTCAAGTTCCGCTTCCCTCTCCCCCTCCCCTCCCCCTCTCCCTCGCTGTCAGCCCAGCCTTCCGTGTCCGCTTCGCCCAGCCCTTCCGTTTCCGCCGAGCCGTCCG